CCCAAACACAAAGCCCTTGTACTAAGCCCTAAGGGGCCGTAAGGCTTGAGCAGCTCAAGGAAGAACTTCGTGGATACCTGCAGCGCCCGTGAATGCTTCGGACACCTAGCCCAGGGCCGTCTTCACTGCTACCTCCAGTGACTTGACTAGTCTCCTTTCTTAGGAACCTGTAGGGTAACCCCGAAAAGGAACTACAATGGAGACTATACGTAGGCATAAAGCCGCCTAGAAGGTACACTGAACAAATTCCCTTCAACAGTTCCCAGCCACACTCCCCCAATATCGCAATATGGACCCTACAAACATGCATCTCTTCCCCTGCCCGTCCTCTGGTGCCCATCGTTTCGATGCTCAGATGCAGTGACCCCGGAGCGGGATACCCTTTGCTGGTAGTCCCTGCACTGTCTGCAGCAGGGTAGTGGGTTCGTTGCGGATTTGTTTCTAACTTCACCATAAAGGGATTCTATATAGTACAAGAGCACGGCTCCCTGTCATGCACAGCAGCCCACTGGTTTGAAGCACTTCTCCGTCGCAATCCCAAATCCTCAACCTTGACCTGAAGCCATGCCATGCCTCCCGCAGCAATCTTCGAGATGTTATCCGAGGTGCACGGCCGCTCCGGTGACTGTGGGTCAGGACCCACACGATTCTTGCTGCAACCTCGGGTTAGGGTTGAGGGTGTAGGAATCTCCGATTCTTCCGCGGTACTTCTGGGAGCCCTACTGGAAGTACCCTCAACCCAAAGCCCCAAGCCCTACAAACCCCACACCCTGAAACCCGAAACCCTGAAACCCCTACATCACCAAACCCGAACCTACATCACGTCAATCGTACACCTCATGAAACCGCAAACCCCAAACACCAAACCCCAAGACCAAAACCCGGGATACAGGGATTCATAGTCTCCAGTCTAGTCCCTTTTCTAGAAGGATCCTTACTATACAATGGGTTAAAGTTTACCCGTGGAACCAAAGAAGGAATTACAATTGAGACTAGGTGGTGAGAGGTAAACCGAAGCCCCAAAGTCACCACAAAAAAAAGCCCAGTGACCGGTTGGTGGAGGAGCTGCATGCACGCGAACAAAAGAGGCCTGGTTGCGGGAGAGCAGCTCCAAGGCGTTTTCAGGGAAGTCTATTTAGGGGGTTGGGGGTTCGGGGGTATTCAGACTCAGACGGATAGATAGATAGTTCTCACCCCCCCTGCTGAACGCCAGCAGCCCTTCATGCACGAAACTATGAAGCCATGACGCCTGTGTTATTGAAATCCCCACTGAATGTTCACTTGCCCAAAGCTGTCAGCACCGTGCCATGCTATCTTGCTTATGTTGGAGTGTTCAGTGCTGCCACTTCGGGCCTGACACCTTTTGGCCCCTGCAGCCATCAGTGCCCCTTGTCTAGCACATGTTGCCACCCAACTGCTTAATTTGCATTACTAGAACTAGAACTCTTGTCGGTACTCGACACAAAATTTCACGCGCAGACACACAGACAAGCATCTACAAAGCAAAATGTCAATAAACAAATAGAAATAACTCTCTCTCTCTCTCTATATATATATACACCTATCTATCTATCTATCTGTCTATCTATCTATATATATATATATATGTACGCACTCATAAACACACATCATGCATGCAGCCCCATGAGCTACCTTGCCTGTTTCACGGTAAATATGGTTTACACTTTATTATGGAGTTGCGACCCACAGTCGCATCTTCACCCAGGTCACCGAAAGTTGCGGTTGCGCATGTTATCCGTGTTCATGTTGCGTGTTTTTGTTCACATCCTCAGGTTCATTTGAACACTTCACATGCTTGCAGTTAGAAACTCATAGAATGTATGGCGAGTGTATGACGACCGAAATCAACAAGATCATCCATGAATCTGGAGCTCTCCGGCCCCGCCTTTAGTTTAGTTTCTTTTGTGGTGTTCCTTTCTTTTGGGTGTTGTTTTGGTTTCACCCTCCTCACGGACACATGGATATTCGCGGGATTTTGTCACCAAAAGATCAGTTTCGGGGATGATGGGATCAGCTGGTTTTGGGTATAGCCTTCAGAGTTCTCTCGGTTCTGACTATGGCAGAAGTAGACATCATCTCCTGTATGATGTTGTGTCCTGCTTGTGTCCATGCAGTTCTTCACCCATCTCCCCTGCGGACCGTTGTAGTCCTCTAAACCCCAAACGCCGGATCCTGGGTTGTAGTCCTCTGAAATTGAGGGGAACCTGAAACATTATATATATATGTATATATGTATATATGTATATATGTATATATGTATATATGTATATATGTATATATGTATATATGTATATATGTATATATGTATATATGTATATATGTATATATGTATATATGTATATATGTATATGTATATATGTATATATGTATATATGTATATATGTATATATGTATATATGTATATATGTATATATGTATATATATATATATATGTATATATGTATATATGTATATATATTATATATGTATATATATATATATATACATATGTAGGAACCCTATAATCCCCCAAGCTCCTCCTTCCAAACCCTTCATGGTTTCAGGCTTTGAGTCATGTAGACCTATGGGCGTTGTAGGGTGGTTCTAAACCTCAAAGCCCCCTGCCTTAGACCTCCTGACGCACCGAAAACACCTCAAGACAAATCCCCAGGAAGCACCAAACCCCAAACCATGAATTCCCAAAGCGGCTCCAACTCTCCAAACAACCTAACCCCAAGCTGTGCAGAGGCACGTGCGGAAGCAGCGAACCGAAGATGCAATGCGGGCTCGGAAAGGTTCCCCCCGTGCAAGCTCCGACTAAGTAACGCTTCTCAGGAAGTAGTTTTGTGCAACCTGCTTCGCTCTTCCAAAGTCAGTTCACGGTTTTCCCCCCGTGTACAGCTCCACTCGTGCTCTGGCGAAGTCCAGTTTTCGCGAGAGTTGCTACGCCAGCGCTCTTGGTGCCGCTGGCAGTACGCTAGACCGATTCTCGATGTGGGTGGATCCTGTAGCCCCAAATCTTACAACATAGTATGTTGCAACCCCATAATTACGGAACCCGTAGAACCGTCGGTTATTGGAGCCCAGGAGGTGCTCTAGGATTGCCTGAGAAGATCGGACGCAAATCTTTCAGTCCTTTTTTGCCTAGAAAGGTAACCTGGAGCAAACGCACCAGCAATGGTGGCTGTGTCAGAATGCACGAGCCCTTTGCATGAGAATGCATGAAGCTTGTTGGACAAGTTGCTTCTGTATCCGCTCGGCATTCCAAAATCAGCCACCTGTCAGCCATAGTTGCGGTTGGTGGGATTTCTCAGAGTAAGAAAGCCTCCGATTTCGGTCATTGAGCCATTGATCCCCACACGATCGCAATGAAGTTTTGAGAAAGTGTCACACCCTCCCACGTGCGCTCGGTGACGCGCAGGATCTGATTGTGTGATTCATCGCTTGTCGATAGACTCGTACCGGACTTTCGTGGAACGAGGTGGCCGGCACGCTCTTCGTGTCACTTGCATCCAGTGCGGAGAGGTCAAAGAGTGCCCGCATATACGTGCAGGTATAAACATATGTGCAAACAATCAAAAAGGCTTTCTAATGGGTGGGTTAACACATATGCATACGGGCGTGTGAATCCATCCATCCATCCATCCATCCATCCATCCATGTATCCGTGCATCCGTGCTGCCGTGCATCAATGTATCCATCCATCCATCCATCCATCCATCCATCCATGCATGCATGCATGCATGCATGCATGCATGTCTCTCTGTATTCACGCTTTTGGGGTGTAGAGTCATGTCGACGCGGCCCTTTTGGGATGGACCGAATAGCAAAGCTCCACCTGAAAGAGAGGGTGGGCCCCTCATGCGCCTCGCTCCCGTTGGGCGACAACAGCGCCGAAATCCCGGAGCAAAAATCTACACCAAAGAAGTGTGCACTCGGGCTCAAACACGCAGCGGGCGCCTGGCACTCCCGGTAGGCTAAGCAATCCCACGGCTTACAAGTCCTGCAGGTGAAGCGGTTTTCCTGTTTTCCTGCACATCGGGCTCCAATGAGGCGATCCCTTTCCCCGGAGCCCTCATGCCAGGCCGCTTGAAAGCGCAATGCACCCAGGGCCCAGCGGAAAAGCAACAACTGTACAGAACATAAGCATCACGAAGTGGGAGAACTGAAGAAGTCGTGGGACTACATATCACAGCCAGCAGGCTACACTTACATAACAAGTTGTTCTCACTGGCCTACTCTGACCAAGGCTGCACCCTCACCCTCACGAAATCTGAAACGCTACTTGGGCGGTAATGCCTTGCCTGTGCGAAGTGAACGTCGATCTCGCCTTCATGTCAGACTCTGAAAGCTGCAGGGTAATCGGATGCCGTCCCAGCCGTGGTTGAAATTGTGACCCAACATGCCCTCCAAGCGCTGGTTGAAATCGTGACCACGGCAAACTTCGAAGGCTGCTCGGTAGGTCAATGCCTTCCAATGCATAGCTAAGCATCAAATTTTGCAGGCGTTGGGTCCTCTCCAGGCTTTGGTTGAACTCATAGCCAAACATCAAACTCTTAAAGCTCCTGGGTAGTTGGCTGCCCTCCAGGCTCCGGTTGCACGCATAGCCAAACGTCATACTCTGCAGACTGCTGGGTATTTGGATGCCCTACACGCTCCAGGTGAACGCATAGCCAAACACAGCAGTCAGCAGGCTGTTGGGTAGCTGGACGCACCCCATGGCGAACCCCGCCCCGAAGGGCACCTGCAGGGTTCCAGGGTTCTACGGTTTTTGCCCGCTTGTGGGAGCAATTCGGGCTCTCTCTCTCTCTCTCTCTCTGTCTCTGTCTCTCCACATATATATATATATATTTATACTTATATATTTATATGTATATATATATATGCAGACGTATTTAGATAGACAGATAGATAGATTAAAAGAGATGTGTTTGCATGTTTGCCTATGGTTGCCTCTGAGTTCCGATGCATGAGCTCGAATAAGAAGCTCAAACGCCGAGGCGCCAGCTGCAACTACCGCGCCGGTGCGGTCGCGCCAGGTCCCATCTTTGCCATCGAGGCACCGTCCCTTGTGTATTTGGGTTTATTGTGGGTTTTATAGGATTTGTATTACAGGGGTTTATAAGGGCTTCACAAGGGTTCTATAAGGGTGTCTGCAAGGTATCGCTGTTGAGTTTGGGGGCTTCAAGACTACTGAACCCTCATCGTGCTGGCAGATGCGAGGTCCCTGACCCCGCGACGTCTCAGACCAAGTAGGGGCTTTTGCGTATCTAGCACGGTCTGATAGGTTTCTTCTAACTTGGAGCAAGGCTGTGAAGAGTCGTTCTGACGCGGTGCAGTTGCACAATATCTTCATACAGCAATCTAGGCTCTCAGATGATTGCAAATATCTGAAGTTGAACGAGCAAAGGTTTGGAACCGCTCCGAATTTCCAGGGATTTGCGCTGCGCAGATTTTGGCTCGCAACTTTGTTGCGGAGTTACTCCGTACAGTTTGGGTTTTTGGGGATGGTGGGTGATCGATTTCTTGGCTACAGCTGCTGCCTCGTCGCGGGCGTGGGCTTCGGTGTCAACTATTTGCCGGTGAAGGGCATAGACACCGGTGCCCGGGTCATCTCAAAGAGTCTAAGGCCTTTCTAGTTGTAGATTCGGAAGCCTACATCATTTTTGCCGTTTTTTGACCCGTGCACAATAGGGGTCCGAGGTGATGGCATCTTCTTCTCCGCTGTCATGTCTCTGGGCATCCTCTTCGTGGGGCTGTTGACAGGCATGGTGCTAACAAGCACTCCTGGGCTCACAATGCCGGTTTTCGAGCCCTGGGCTGCGGTGGGAGGTGCCATCTGGATGTGTGGAAACCTGATGTGCCCCTATATCATCAAGCTGATCGGGATGGGCCTTGGGCTGACAGTCTGGGACCTGAGTAATATGATCATTGGCTGGTTCACTGGGCACTTCGGGCTCTTCGGAGTGCAGAAGGAGCACCACAAGAGGCAGCTTTCAAATTTGGGCCTGGGGTTTCCGGAAGTTTAGAGTGGGTTTGGCAAGCGACTCCGGCAAGGGGCTACGCCCCAAGAAGCTACGCACCAAATGCAAGCTATCCACAAGGAAGTAAGTCGACTTTCACGTAAGCTTCGCAATGAACAGCGGGACCACAGTACGAGAGACCGGAGCCTTCGATCATTAAACCGTGAATCCGAATCCGAAACCCCTGAACCCCTAAACTGAACAGGCCTCTGGTGAACATCGTGGGGTTGGGCTTGTCAATGGCCTCCCTTGTCTTCTTTTCCTTGGCCGCAAACTGTGATGTCTTAGACGCTCGAGATGCAGAGGTCACCAAAGAGGCAGGGCCAGGATTTGCGTCTTCTGCGCTGGGTGTTCCTTAAGCATCATATGTTTTGTTTCTAGAAATATCCTAGCCTAAGGAGAGAAAAGCATATTGTCGCTATTCTGGGTCAATGCGGCTTGCAGAGTGGTTTATGGCTCGTGTGGCTTTAGCTACGATTTCTGCTCTGGGGTTTCAGACTTTTCTTGGCTTGGTGCGGGTTCACTTCAGGATTCAAGAGTGATTCAAGCACATGGTCTCAGGCTAGCTACACCAGCCGAGCCCTTAATGGAAAGAGCTTCGCAAAAAATCCGCAGCCCCAACACTTCAGGGTTCAGAGCCCAGAAGTACAGGGACGCAATGCTTAGAAGCCCTCCACTCCTTTCAATTAGGCGTGTCAGGCTCCCTTGTTATCAAGCCCTTTCACATCCTCCATGCTTGAATATCGGGTCCTGAAACCCTGGCCCCTGCGCAAGGATGACACGCACAAATCGAGAAGTGTACCAAGGCAAAAGAAACCCTAAAAGCTAAGCCTTCAACGCTCAACCGAGAACCATATGAACTGAAGATCTACACCACGAGCCATGACCTGTCCTGAACTGTATTTAAACAAAATCAAGAGAGCAAACCCAGAGGGTCGGGGCTGTCGGGGTGTGCCAGGTATGCGATCCGGAGGACCAAGATGCCACTTTTGCAGCACCTGCCTCAGGCTACTATAAGCCCACCGTTTGAGCAGGGTCTCTGTTGGCTGTTAGTTAGTTCCATTCCTTCTAGGTTTTCTGTGAGCTGCTAGGGAGCTTGCGGCGTCGGAGGCCTCCTCAACTGAAAGCTAGTGTTTTCGCATTCGGCCGTGCATTCGGAGGCAGAGAGAGAGAGAGAGAGAGAGAGAGAGAGAGAGAGAGAGAGAGAGAGAGAGAGAGAGAGAGACAGAGAGAAAGAGGGAGGACTGCTCCCGCCTCAAGCCCCTAGCAAAGCAAAGAGAGAGAGAGAGAGAGAGAGACAGAGAGAGAGAGGGAGAGGGGATGGCTTGAGGAATTTCGCCGCGAGAGAGCGAAAGCAGAAACGCAGTGTGATTACTGCAAACCCCCCAAAACCGAAGCACTGCCCCAAACCCTAAACCCCTAGACCCCAGATCTCACATTCCATGTCGCCAACCCAGGCCCCTGGCCCTCCTGAAGAGTTGCCATCGGAGGTGCGAGAGTTGGAGGGTTTTCTCCTCGTTCAATAATTCTTAGGGGTACTTAGAAGCATTTTTTAATTTTTGGTTATTATAATCCTTTAAGAAACAGCTAAAATTATGATTTTTGCTAGCGTTCTAAGTTCAGTATAGAATAAGGACCAGAGGCTGGAAAGATGGCCCACCCAGACATCCTCAAACCCCTAGAAGCACGTGGGCTTGAAGGTTCAAAATTCTATCCGTCCAGAAGCCTCTGACAATATCGAGGCACCAAGGCGGCCATGAATCTTTTCAACATGAGGGGCTCCAGAAGCATTCCTCCACCCTGGGCCCTACACTCTATCGCCGAAGGATGGAATTCACATTGAAGCTATACCATCATTACTTGGTAGATACACAAAGCTTTACGGAAGACATCTTTGAAGAGACCTGCAAGGGGCCCCAGACCTGGCCTCTGAGCCGGAAGGCCCCAGGCCGAGCCCCCGCAAAAACCCGAGAGGCGGTGAAGCCAGCGACGACCGAAGCTCCCCCGATGAGCGGTTTTGGCATCGGTCTAGCAATGGCGCTCCTGGCAGGCCTGCGCGGTGTTCCAGGGCGGAGGTTCGGAGTGTTCCTGCATTTCGGTACACTCATGCAGATGTACATGAGTATGTGCATAGACCATGGCTAGCATGCAAACTGTACTTCTTTAAACCTCAAACCCTGTTAAACCTAAGCGGCATCGTTTGAAATATTTGGATACCAAACACCAAAGCCTATCGGCTTATCAAAAACCTACTCCTCGCGATACCCTAAGCCCTATGAAGCCCAAAGGGTTTAGAGAAGCTGGAGCCGTGGCGCTCTAAACCCACCTAAACCCCTAAACCCACCCTGAGGCCCTAAACCCCTGCAACCTGAACCCTAAACCCTTCACCCAAGCCCCCCAAAGCCATAAACCCCTACACCCTAAACCCCTTGCTAAGTACTCGCAGGAGGGTTAGATGAAGCGCCCTCTCCCTAAGGCCCGAAGCCCTGAAGCTCGGAGGCCTCAAATGGTGGGATGAAGGTGGGTAGGATGAAGGATCCCTTATATAAGGACTCTTAATTGGGAATACCCCACCTACCTTCATCCCACCTTTGGAGCCTTTTGAGAAGCCCATAAGGAGTCCTCTTCGGCATGACCTTCGATCTTCCCACCGGGCTGATGCAAGGAACCTTCGGCAGCGACCATAGCTCCTTGGACGTCTGGGGCTCTAGGGTTCAGGGTTATGGGTTTCGGGTTCGGGGTTCGGGGTTTTGGGTTTCGGGGTTTCGGGTTCAGGGTTTTGGGTTTAGGGTTTGGAGTGAAGGGGCCTTGGAATCAAGGGTTTAGCTCCTTGGCAGCCGAATTTCAGATGTTATAATTATAGATAAGGAAGCCGATGTGAGATGTAATGTAGGCCTGTTGATTGATTAAACTCAACAAAACCTACCTTACCTTACAAGGCAATACACAGATTCGATTCGCGTAGTCTACAAGACGCTTACACTTACACAGACCACCGGGCTCCTCAATGCAGCTTGAAACCTGCTAAATGGAGGCTCCTGCAGCCTGCATCATGGAGATGCAGTTTCTTTCGCCTTGTACGACCGATCTTCTTTGAATCGTTGCAGGAGCCTTCAGCCCCTCCTAAGAGCTTCCGTAAGGCTCCTGTATCATGGACTACGTCTTTAGCCACTTCTGCGGCATCCTGTGCGCTGCGCTTGTCGCCCTGGTCATCTATGGCGCAGCCCGGAGGGAGACCTGTGCAGAGCAGTCCGGGTCTAGGATTCCCAAAGGCTTGAGGTTTAGGGTCTTGGATCTAGAGTTTACTTTCATATAGTTTAGTGTCTAGGATTTCTAGTGTGGATGTGTGCAATCATATCAGGAGTGGGTTCTAGAAGGTTACAGTGCAGCCCACAGCCCCAACCCCGAAGCGTTCTTCATCCATCCTCAGCGCTCTCACCTGACACTGGGATCTTCCAAATGTTTCCTAAGCAAACAAAAATTCAGGGAGTGTACGACATGTTTAGTTTCGTCTAGATGCAACCAGGCTAGATCCCAGAGCCTGAAGTTTCCTTTATAACTCGAACAGCCCTAAAGTGTCCCTAAGGTCATGTCCGAGAGTGTAAAACCCGGCACCTGCAGAGAAGTGCCACTCCAGCATATGAGAGACATTGTTTTCATTCTGGAAGCCACTTAGGAGACCCACGCTACAACCCCAGGCACCTCTAGAGGAGAGTACGCAAGGGACGTAAGGCAGCAGAAAAACGACGACAAAAGCCGGTGCTGAGAGCCTTTAGAGTTCAAGGAGGAGAACGATCTTAACCCCTGAGCCCTAAATCCCATGGCGTCGCAAATACCCTACGCCCACACGGCAGCGAACAGGAGAAGTGCTACATGCCTCTTCGCATGGTTTGGCCCGCCGTTGCTTCGGGGGTGCTCTGGGGCATCGCCCAAGTAGCCTGGCGCCTCGGTCTTCAACGTGGGTTGTACTGTACTGGTGGTAGAATCGCTGGCTTCCCGAATGTGGAAGGCAGGATCCCTCAACATCCCTAAACCGGTTTGGGGCCGGCAGAACGCAGGGGTGTCTTTCCGACCTCTGAACCCCCAAACTCTAAACGCTACAGAAGCCTCCAGACCTGTGCAATGGGGGTTGGGGTGTAGGGATCAAGGTGTCAAGCACCCCACAACTCAGAAACAGCAGGCTCCAGATGCTAAGCGGGGTCGTAACATTCGCATGGATCCCACGGTCCATACGGCAGGATCTTTGTTAAATTAAAGCAGCCCCCTGCTTCAAGAAAGTCTACACCCTGGGCCCCAACCCAGGTTCCAAGCCAACATTGAGCTGGGCTTCTCTGTGGCCTTCCCGATGCTGGGAGGATCAGAGTAGTTTAGGTTTCGGCGTCTAAGTTTAGGTGTGGTTAGGGTGTAGAGCTCAGGTACCTATACAGGCTAGGTAACTTCGAAAGTAGGGTTACTGGTCAGAGTGGATACAGCCCTCCGGTTCTCCGGCAGAAAGCTTTCGATGTCGGTCCAACTTTAGGGTTGCAAAGGCGTGGCCATTTAGAGCGCGAAGGAGGACCAACCCCCGCGGCTACAGTACTTCTACTTCCTGTCTCCGAACTCAGAGAGCCCAGTACGCTCGAGTTGAAGAACACACTGTAAACCATGACAACCATATGATGCGCTCTACAGCTCAGGATACACTCCTCGAATAAGGGAGAGTCAGGGGCGGCGCAATTTGGGCTCTCTGGGGAACAAAGCCCGAAAACAGCCAAGGATCATCGGCAGTCTCCCCGGCATGGTCGGACCCTGGTTACGATTGCTAGGAGAGCTTTGGATGTGTAGATCTTATTTCTTTGGAATTGGAAGGTGTGGTGTGCAAAGAGTGAGGTTCCTCAAGAAGAACTCAGGATTGCTCATTGGCGTGGCATTCCTTGGTGAGGCAGCGAGCAATTCGTGGTGCTCAGGGCGTTTCGGTCGTAGGGCTTGTAGGTTCGGCGGCTCTGGGGCTTTGCGTGTACAGTTGTTGGGGAAGGTGTTGGGAGTTTGAAGTTTGAGGGTTAAGACTGTTTGCTGACAGTACGGAGTCTTTCCGTGTAGGTTCAGGGTCGCCGTAAGGATTCTGGCTACGCTGTATGCTTGCACAAGGCACTGGCTCACGTAGTCCGAGTCGGTGCACAAAGAGTTTGCAAGCTCCACCGAAAGCCCCGGAACCGTGACCCCATAAGACTTTCGGCACTCAACATGAATCCGAAAACTAATGCCATGCCCTATCGCCAAGGTTAGCCCTAAGCCCTAACCCTGCCCACCTGCGGGATTTCTGGAGTCTACGTGGGAGACTAGTGTAGAAGCCTGTGTAGCTACCAGCACCCTTTCCTTCGAGTTCCGATAAAAGTCCTTGCATGATGATCTGCCCCGGGACCCTATTCTAATCATTAAGGCCCGGAAACCCACCCAAGCTCTAAATCCTCAGCTTATGGAGATCAGAGGAGACTAAGCACTGCCTTAACCCCTAAACCCGAAACATTGGGATCTTGGGAGGGATGCGGTCAACGCAGGTACAGTCACTTCATTTGTTCCGATACAATCTGTTGCTTGTAGTCTTTGGCTGGTCCATTTTAGTTTCACACTGGCAGACCTCGAACCACATGCCTCGCCTGGATTGTCCGAGTGTGAGCGCCGAAACCCGAAGCATTTTCAGCTCGGCGGGTGGGACCCTAAACCCGCCAGGTGAAAACGCGAAGAAGTCGAATTTGGGCTGCTGTCGGCTTAGCGCTGCGGTTGCCAGGTGCGCTCCCGATTTTTGACCGCCGGCGGTTGGACCATGCTTCGCCATACTTTGACGTTCCTCATTATGATTCTTGTTCAGAGTGGCTGTTGTATGTTCTCATTATGACTTTGAGTGTGGTTATTGTGATCTTACTTTAGTATTCCCCAAGACCCTATGGTAGTTGTTGAGGCCCCTCTATTGTAGGGTCTAGGCGATTGAGCTCCAGGATACATGACCTTTCCGCGAGCTTGCCATGCAACCGGGCAATGCGAACAGCAGGTCTACTAATCGTTCACCCTAAGTCGAGGCCCTCAACTAAAACCTGAAGTCCCAAGGGTCACGCAGGTGTGATCCTTATCGCCGTTTCTTCCTGAGCCTGGGCCCATTGTGGCTTGACAGAATCTGCGTTCCACCCTAAATGGTGGTAGACATAGCACGCAGCAGCCTGCAGCTACTGATAGGCACGGCAACGAATAGCATCATCAGTCTTGGGGTCATTCTGGTGTTGACCAATACTCGACCTTCCGAAATTCTCCGTTACATCTTTTTCAGCGGATTTAGCGTTATTGTAGTCATACTTCATATCATGACTGTAACAGGTCTTACTACGTTTGTTACTAGTCTGCGAGCTGATATACTACTACTACTACGACGACGACTACTACTACTAGCTCCTGCTCCTGCTCTTGCTCCTGCTTCTGCTGCTGCTGCTGGTGCTGCTGCTGCTACCACTACTACCGTGACTACTACCACTACCACGACTATTACGACTACGACGACGACTACTACTGCAGCTACTGCAACGACTACGACGAAGACTACGACGACGAGCCATACTACGATTTGCTTTGGAGTTGTTAACTTTTCTTTAATGTTACCCGTGCGGTTACCATGTACAGCTTCCTCCAGGCTCCTCCATTGCAGCTCTGGGATTTGAGGTGTAAGGTAAAGAGGGTCCTTTAAGGCGGTAGACATTGGGGTCGACGGCTTGCACATTCGGGCACCAGCGATCAGCACAGAGGTCGTGCGCACACACGAACTATCCGTCCAATATGGATCATAACGCTAAGGCTTAAGGGTGAGTCAGAGTAAGACTATGGATACGATTGTGACCCGAAACCAAAACCCCAAACCCTGAAGTCTTTGCGAATCCTGGGCTGGCCACTCAGGCTTGGGTGCATGGTGATGGCTCCCGGACCAGTTTTGAGCGGAAGCTGCCGCGGTCTGGCACTGCTGCCCGGAATTCGGGAGATGTTTTCTTATATGGGCCTTAATCTGTGGAATAGGGTTTTGGGGCATATTATTCGGGCTGCTAGATTGGGTTTCAATTTTCTCCAGTCGAAATCCGCACTCTGCACGGAGGTACCTGACAGTCAGGTATTTGACAGTCAGGCCTCGCAATTCACATGATAGCCTAGCGCGCTGGTTCACTTTTTATGTTATCCCTGGGCCCACTTCTTTCGAGCGTTGTACAGTTTTGCACACAGACTCTGCATCGCCACCGCCACCGGACATGTGTGCTCTGGTCGCATGTTCCCTCCCAGAGACTCCAATGTCATTTAATTAAGGAATATACCTTAAGTTATAGTAGGATCCCTAACATGATTTAAGGAATATTCCCCAATTATGGGATATTGGAGTCTTTGGGCTAGCCCAGACTCGTTTCGATGTACAGGGCGGCCGCCTGTCTCGGACGGGGGTGGCCTTTGCAGCGACTTGCAATTTCGGTTAGAAAGGGCTTCGGCGAGTGAGTGAGGGCTTAAGACTTAGGGATAAACCCTAAGCCCTCAAACCCTGAAGCGACCGAGGGCTTAAGACTTTCGGAGTCGGGTTTTAGAAGGTAGAGGAGGCCGGACTCAGCGACGAGTGGGCAGGCGTAAGAAATTGAGAGTGGCAGACAAGTCAGGTGCAAATCCGGGGCTGCGAAGAGTCCTCTCGTTTCACAGCAGTTCCGACGCCCTAAGAATCAGTAATACCATTCTGCTTAGGGTTATTCCTTTTCATAGTAATGGTGTTTAATATGGCCCGAAACCCTTTTTCTAAGAATCAATGCCTCGCGGCCCTAAGCCGTCAGCGCGATTTGGGTTCAAGATGAGCTCTGCCTCAGAGACTGATCCGTCAAGTAGATTCCACACCCCTGCCTAAACATCAAAAACCCGAAGCCCTAAGCCCTAACATGGAATGGTAGGTATGGAACGGTTTATGGTTGGTTAGGAAGCCTTCACTGTTTGAGGCTACTTTGGGCTCAATGTTTCAGGAACTTACGGTTCCTTTTGCGGAGAAGGTGAAGCCGACGGAGATCCTCAGCACGAATGCCCACTTCGGCTACGAAACCTGGCTTTGGGTTAATACAGGATAGGGGCAGAATACTGTAACAACGAAACGTGCCGCCTTGTCGTCCAAAAGCAATATACGGGGCCCTCAGAAACCTGGTTCGAAAAGCCAATGCTCCCTGTGATGTTGTATACATAGCCTTATGTCATGCATGGCATGCATGTTCTTGTGTTCACGATGCTTTTTTGAGCTTGATTCTGGTTCAGGTGTTTCGAGCTTCAGGGTTTTGGGGTTCATCGGAAGCTTGGCCGCTCCAGTTCAGAATTCATGAGTTTAGGGCGCATGGTAAGATCGGGCCTAGTCAGTGTCACATTGCCTAACCCCAAGCCGCACATTGCCTAAATCCCAATCCCTCAACCCCACTCTGACAGCCCCAGCCAACTTGAGGTGATCGATCCGAACCGCTTCCTCCCCACGGCCCTGGAGGTGCCTCGCAGGGAGCTGTTTCTATGGGCTCTAGAGGTTTGTAAGAGCCTTGTGGTGTTCGCCATGACTCTCGTACATGTTTTTCATGTCGTTGGGGTTCATCCGGGTTGGTTTGGGCTTTAGGCTTCGGGATCAGAGCTTTACGGATTGAGGGGTTTAGGGTTTTGGGGTCGGGCGATTTGCGGACCTGGGTTTTAGGCTTTTTACGCTGTAGGGATGTTTTGCCCACTTCCTTCTAGCACTTGGCAGGCCGGTCGGTGTAGTTTGCTCCTCTCTGGGGGCTGTTGCGTGTGTTTTGGATATCATCCAGGGAGACCAGATGCACAAAGGCGGCTTCGAGGTTAGGGTAGAACCTTCTGTTTTGTGACGCTCCGGAGGTCCAGGTTTGGGGCTTGTGGAGGCTCCTGAGCTGCTCTGCGACACCCAGCCCATCCCTGAACCGTAATTACGCCCTACAGTACTACAGTAGTTTAATCCCAAATCCCGGCGCCACGCGAGGCCTATGATTCCGGGTTGGCGATCCTGAATCAGGCGGGGCGGCGGATGCTCTCGGGCTGTCAAGTGAAGATGATGGATTGCTGAAAACACATAGTGCTCTTTTTTAACCCCAGGTCCCTTTTCCCAAAGGAGAATGATCTCAAAGGAGCTCTAGGACTAAAGTGCAGGCTCTGGGAGTGTACTGGAAGACTTGTGGGTGTCAGGACGTTGTTAATAGCGTCGTGTAGTCATGACCATTGTAGTCTTGTCCTGATGCAGCTTTCACCACATCATTCGCTGTCACTTTGTCCTGGCATTTCCGAAGCAACCTTGCAGCACTAATCCAGACCCATCCCTCGAGATACACTCCACGGGGGGCAGCACAGTCCAGGCTCAGATGCGTGATTTCACAACGATGGAATACGATACTTGGGGCTCGACCTTGTAACCATTGAGAGAACATCGTCCCCATCCCATCTTACCCACACTTCCCACTAAGTCCAAAGGTCATCGAGCCCTGAATCTCAAAGCACTCAAATTCGTGTGGGGATTTCGATATGGATAACATCATTCTTCAAAGCTCCGTCTTATGACTATCGTAAAATACATCCGAAACCCTACTCGAGTCGTTAATGTGCCTAGAATACTACAGGTCTACCCCCTGGAGCGGCTCATGCATCTTGGCTTCCTCAGGTCTCAAGACAGTACCAGAAATCCGGAAACCAGGAGCCCAAAACCCTCAGCCCTTTGGCCCTTTAACCCCAACCCCGAATATAATCCTAAACCCAACAGCCCCTGACCCGAAACTCTGAACCCCAAGAGGCGGAACCTCGGACGGAAAACCCCAGGTCCAAAAATCCGAAGTAGAGTTGCGCCGTCCGCCGAGCCCCCCGAAGGCCCATTGCATCAAGTACACCGTAAAGAATGCCTGAACTTAACTTGAAGCAAAGCTTACTTACACTTCCTCCAAAAGAGCCCGGACGCTGTGAATTGAAAGCCCCTCATGAAAGCCTACGGAAGACTCATGCAACCCTATCAACCCCTTATACAACCCTTGCCCTCGTAACGCCTAAGCCCTCAACCCTTAACCCTAAACCCCAATCCGGCAGGCGAAACCATACGGCTCTAAGCCGTAAACCCTAAATCCAGCCCTGAACCCTAAACCTTGAAGCCTAAACCAAAACCCAAGGATCCCGCCGCGGCTTCAGAGCTCTGATGGCCCGTCGCTGGTCCAAGCCACTTTGAAGCTCTCGAGTGCTAATTACATATGCCACGGTTTAGGGTTTTGGGTTTTGGGATGTTTTGGGAATATGTACCTACATCTCTTCAAGTTTCCCTAATAAGGATAGGCACTTATTCTGCTGAGGGCTTATTGGGGCTCAGGAATCATTTATTGGCTTGTATATGACACCAGCGGTTTTGTCGGCATGCTGTTCTCATTTGGGGTCAACAGAGCTGTCATATTTGTGGCTGAGGGCTTGAAGGTTTCAGTATGGCAGGGCACCACGGGTGTCTTGTTCTGGGGGTCGAGGAATCAGGTTTTGAGGGCTTTTCGTGCTTGGGGTTTAGGATTTAGTTTTTGGGTGCGTGTTTAGGGGTTACGTAGGGTGTTGGGGTTGAGGATTCGGGTTCTACAGACCCGGGTGTATAGCGGAGTCGGGTGCTAGTTCTGGGCGGTGTGTTCAGGTTTTCGAGTTTCGGTGACCAGGTGCCGAGTTCCAGGGAGGTTTCCGTTCTCGGGCCAAGTGCAGCAATCCTGTGCCCGCAGGAGCCGTGATGCCGTGCCCGTGGATACAACGGCAGAGAGAGCGAGAGAGAGAGAGAGAGAGAGGGTGTGGGTTTAGGGAACCTCCCTTGCCCAATAGCCCTGGCGAAAGAAAGAGGGTGGGAGGGAGGGAGCTCTGCACCTCTAAGTGCAGTTGAGGCCTTTGATTGGGAAGAGTCATGGGCACCTGGGCGGCCTTACTCGCAGAGGTTTTATGGAAAAGTAGTGGGGCATCCAGCTTTTTTGCTTTATTTGCTGTTTGCGGTTCAGAGTATGAGGCTTAGTTTCGCGATGCTTGGACTAGGGTCTGCAGTGGCCGCTACGACCAGGGTGATACATGGGTCGCTCGTTCCAGTTTGATCGCCTACTGCTGGTCAAAATCTCCACTTCCAGACAGTCTTTTTATACGCTGACGAAGATTATTGTTTCGGTTCGTCCCATCGTCACCACCAACATCTTTACCTTTCCTGTTTCGAATACCACCAACATCGACATCAGCGTTAGCCTGATGCTGATGATTTCTTGTACTAACTGAGCTTATTGTCATCATGGTTTGTACCTCGTTATCTTATGCGAAGACTTCATGCCAAGACGGTTATAGTCATAACCCCTTCAACACGTATTTGAGCAAGTTGTGTGATTAATTGTTGCTGTGTTTCGTTGTTTCACACCATCTCGACCCTTCGTAATCCGGACAGACGTGGCAATGCCGAAGGCCCCAACAACACCATCTAGCCATCGGAGAGTGTCAGTCCCAAGACCTAAGCTCTCATGCCCTGCCAAACCCAAAAGCCCCAAATCCTGGCCCCTAAGCGCCGGCTCACTGAACAGACTCCATGCATCGAGAGCCGATGCCTGAAACCCGAAGCCTAAAAAGTCTGGAACATCAACCGCTTCATGCCATCAGCAGTCAAAGTGCAGTATCCGAAGTCAAATCATCCACAACCCATGGCCCATGGTGCAAGTTTCTACAGCCTTTTGCGTCAGCTGGAGACAGGTCCAGGATGGACGCAGCCGAGTGCAGAAGTGTCTGGAAGTCGCACTGTGACCTGGCCATGGCTTTTCTGGGCCTCGGGTTTCGCTTTGCAGGAGAGGAGCCTTAATGATTGGAATAAGCCTCCTCCTTTATAAAGGGGTCTATACGGGCTACTATAAGGGATACTATTTGCAAAAATCCAAAACCCCAAAGCTTTGATCCCCAGAAGCCTTCAACGAAAACTCGCTAAGCTTCCTCGAACAAAAAGCTTTAAGCCACAAGCCCTCGAAGCCCTCAGGCCCCAAAGCGCCTCCCAATCGCTTGAATCCTTAGAGTCTCCGTAAACGCCTCCGTAAACTTGCATAAATCAATCCTAAAACCCTCAGCTCTAAATTCCTTGAATCCTCCCACACTTTCCAAAACCCTAGGAGCCCCCGGAAAGGTCGGCCCCGGCGGATTACCTCCAGAAGGTGGATGCCTTCACGAGCCTGCTTCGCATCGACCCTTGGGACTTTGATTCATGGTCTTTTTCTTTCAAGCGGGGGGGGGGATTCAGGGGCTTTAGGGTTTTGCTTTTTCTTGGCTGGCTTAGGATTTGTTAAATTTAGGATATAGATCATGTTTGTTCGGGGGCTTTGAAGGTCCGGGTTTTGCAAATTCTAGGATTCGGGGAAGTTCAGGGTCTTCTGTCTTCTGTGGTCCTCGAATGTCTGCTTCGGACTCAGACGATGCAAGCGCAAGATCTGCCGGCTAGCCTAGACCAAGTACCCCGAACCCTGGACCTGTTGGTTAAAGGCTCCTCGCACCTGAAGCTCAGGGCCGTAAATTCCAAGCGTTGACTGGGCGATTGACGTAGCAACCCCACCGACTGTGTAAAACGAATGTCCAAGTAGGATTCAGCACGAACCCGAAAATCTGAGCCCTGACCCCACAAACCTGAAGCTTGACCCTGGGCACAAAAACCCCAAGCCTGACACCCCGAAACCCGGAAGCGCCGCCTGCGTTTTGAGCCTCGGTCTCAAGGAGCCCGCGAAGTACGTCCAGCACTTCTTCCGAGACTTGGAGGTTCTCCTGCCGCACCGGATTATCTGCTCGAAAGGGTCCGATAAGGGTTAGGACGATTTTGCATCGTGATCAGATGGAGATCAGGGTTTGGGGCTCGATCTAGTATTCGCCTCCTAAGGGATGTTCCGACACACTGGCCGCTGAAGTGCTGGCTTCGCGCCGGCCTCTCCCAGCCGTGTAGATTTTCTAACCCTTGGGTTGTTGGGGAGGTAGGTCTCCAGTGGCCTTTAACAGTTTAGCATTTCAGGTTTCGGGCTCAGGGCCTGTTGATTAGGACGAGCAAACTTTCGAGGTGGGGAGCGAAGGGTTGTAGGGCCTGGGGTGCGCGAAGCGGTAGTAGTAACAATTTAAATTAGTGGCTCATGACTATGGCACTCTTCTATCATTTCGAAGCTTCATGAGGTCTTGGAGATGTAAGCAGCTTATCTAAATCCTCCAACCGCCCGTCCTAAGCCTTGCAATCCTCAAGCCCGGAACGCCCGAAAGCCCTTCACGACCACACACTGGAAGCGCAGAGCCTTACAAACAGCAGTTTTCTAACCCAGTGAAGATAAGTAAGCCCCGATATTATATTTTCCTACCAGTCTTTGTAATTTACTTAAGCCGTTTACCAAAGCCTCAAACCCGAATGCCACCAAACCATCAGCCCGAAACTCACCCCCGACGCCTCCCTTTTAAGGGCTCCTTTTAAAGGAAATGCCAGGAAGACGAGGATGAGCCGGGTAACCAGGAAGTCCAGACGGCGATTCGCAAGGCGCAGACTCTCCTAGAGCCGCCTTCGGGGGGTCCTTTTTCTAAAGGGTTTAGGGTCGGGGGCTTCCCTTTTTCTAAAGGGTTTAGGGTTGAGGGTTCCCATTTTAGAGGGTTCCTACAATTCTTAGCGGTTTGTGTTAGGTCCTTTCTCTCGGGGTCCCATTTTAGAGGGTTCCTTTAGGGCTTCCTTTGAGGTTTTTTTCCGCGTTGAGTTGGAGGTTCCTTCAGGTTCTGGAGGGGATATGAAGATATACAAAGGTTTATTAAGTTTTCTTGGTTTCTTGTCAGGTTTGCTTTTTCAGACACAGGGGTGCGTTATGCGTCCTATACGGATTTTAAAGGGTGTGAGTCATGCTGGGCTGTGATTATAGTTTAAAATCAAGCAGCTATTCCGTAGTTTGCTGTGGTTATGGGCGTTGGGTCTACAGAGTCCATAAGGCAAGTACACGGCCAACCAGCCCAGTAGAACTCCTTGTATAATGCCACAACATCCTTCCCCCAGTCTTATAATTCTTGGGGGCCCTACTCAAAGCCCGTATGCATCCCGATTCTGCTCCATGCTAACCACCAAGGCCTTCTGAAAAGGCTCCTCAACGAAGGGCTTTCGGTTTCTAAAGGGAGAAAGCTGAAGAGCTGATGACTCCGACAGTCCAGCGATCAGGGTGCAGGAGAGTTGACGGTTTTAGAGTTGAAGGATGTAAATGGGGTTTTTGGTATGGTTTAGGAGTTTTTGGGGATTGCGTAGGGGTTCGGGGTGCAGGGTGAGGAGTGCAGGGCATGCGGGCTTGAGCCTGTCGAATGAGACGAAACTCGAAAGCCCCAGCGCAGGCCGTGGATTCCAAGGATGATCTGACACCTGGCTGGTTGGTTTTGCAAGCTCGTGCTATCTTTACGAGTTGGGGTAACCCCAGCTGGCAGATCGGATCAGGTACCATCCTTCAGGCTTTTTGCTGTGGTTCCTGTTAAGGGGCGATGTTTATGTTTTAGTACGCAGACGCCCAGGGCCCTAAACGCGTAAACCCGAGAAGCCGCAGCGATCCGAATCCGTTCAGGAACCGGATGCTGCCGGACTTCGTTTCGGTGGGCATGTTCCAGATTACTATCAAGGTGGGTTTGGGGCTTATTAGACTTGAGTCCAGTGGCCAAAGGAGGGGGGGCTAATGTGAGGTTCTCAAATTACTTGTAGGGATTGTTGGAGTTCGGCGTTTAGGGTCAGGGCTTGGGGTTCAGTCTCACTTGCAGGCCTGTGACTCCTGGTGAAACAGGGCTGCTGTTTGAGATCCAGCGTTCAGAGTCTAGAGCGCAGGAATCAAGGTTTTTTTCTGATGGGGTTATGGGTTCTGCAGCCCCTGCCAGGAAGTGCGACGAGCCCTGACCGCCAAGCATGAGAGCATGTACACGCTGCTGATGGAGCGTTCCGCGTCATGCATTTGGGGAACAGGACTTCGCTCTACGACCGAGAATACCAAGCGCCACAACCCCAATTCACTATGTCAACATCCGTGTAGTGCGCTCAAAGACGGGGGATGGTAACTCTCACACGAGGCAGGGTTTGTATTGCGGTTTCGGTGACTGTACATAAAAAGACGAGGGCTAGGAATACTGTCAGTCCTTGTCGGGGGGGTGATGTTTTGGTGGAGCGAACTAGCAATAGACTTCCCGCAGCGAAGCCCGAAAGCCCTCCACACCCGTATGGGAGTTTCCGAAAATTAGGGGTCCGTTTTTCGGGGTCCTTATAATCAGGATCCTACTATTTCGGGCACTATATTAGGGTACACTCTTTTCGGAAACTCCCGTATCAACCCACAGGGATTGTCCAACGGCTGCGCGGCCAAATGGAGGATGCCAGCAGCGATTGTAAGAGAACCTTGGTCGTACACAGTGGGTCCAGGTTTTGAGTAGGCCGTCCTCACTTTTTAAATTTTGAACTTGGGTTCCAAGAAGCAGGTACTGGGTTTCTCGCGGGTTCCAGGTTCCCAGAGAGCTGGTTGACAATCATTCAGAGAAGGCTGTAAAGTAGACTCTAGCCTGTAAGCTAACCGGAAGACTTCGAAGACGAACGCGATCCTTATGAGAAGCTGCTTCGCCAAATGCTGTATAGATTTTAGGGAAAGGTAATGTTTCCTGAGATTGAACCACTGGGTTAGGAGTTGAGGGTTATGGCCTCAAAGGGTCTATATAGGCTTTTGGGGTTAGGGCCGTGCGTGAGTCTTTCGGGAACACACCACTCCACCATGTTTTTGCCCATCTTTTACCCAGGTACCGATGTAATGAAGACCCGGGGCCGACCCGGGATGTATGATTCCGTCTTTCTGACTAAGGACTAAAGCAGGGATCTCTACAGTGAGACTTAAAAAAGCTACAGCAAGGAGCCCTCGATCTCGCTTCGGTGCGTTGCTGCCTAAACCCTCACTATTTTCGGAAACCGAAGAACCTGAACCCTAAACCGTCAAATAGAGGTCTGAGCCATTAGTAGTTTGCAGTGTCTCCTTAGTCCATGTGCGCCATAATATAACATACCCGGTGTCCCTCTTCTCATCAATAAGGCCCTTGTCTTGAACCCTAAAACTCATACATGTGTACACGCACTGAATATCATCACCTCAGAGGTCTCATGATCAAGATCACGCGCCCACCGAAGGCAGTTGAGGAGCCGTTTGGAAAGCAGAGAAGATAGAAGGCCCTTCAAGGTTTTTGGATCTTGGGTTTGGCGTGGTATCTCACTTGTACCCTCGTTGTAGATACTTTCGAACCCAGGCACAGGGCAAAGCCAGACAAAGCGGCGCAACCGGCGGCAGAAATCGTGTATGAGCATAGCGCCAGATTCAACAGGCCCCCCAACTGATAGGCACCCTTTCAAGTAACTTGTTTCGGGGCTTTAAGGCCAGGGCTAAGTACTGTTCTGAAAATTTGGTGCCCTTTGTTTCCTCGGCTCGGGTTTGGGTGAATTTGATGCGTACTTCTTGTTATAGATGCATGTTTCAAGTTCAGGGATCACGGTTCAATTATTCAGGTCAAGGGCTAGTGGCACCCGCCTGGGTCGCGAGCCATGGCAACAGAGCCCAGGTATTGCCAAAATTCTTGGGGCACCACCCTATTCAGGCCCTGTGTTAATCAAGTCAGGGGCTTCGCTTCTCGCTGTTTCAGGAGATTCCCGTGGAGGTCCCGTGCGAAAGGTAGCCTTCGAGCGAGCGGAGGGCACACAACAGCCCTAAACCCCTAAACCCTAGACCCCAAGCCCTAAACCCCTAAACCCTAAACCCCTAAACCGTCAAACCGCTAAACCAGGCTTTTCCCTGCAGAGCCTGAGGTTGGTGCAGCAGCGGAACTCCATCCTCACGCTGCTCGACGAACCGGATGCTTTTAAGATATCGGGATGCGAACCTCTCCGTGCTCTCCCATGGTAAATGGGTGGGTGTCAATATTAGGGTCCCTTTTGGGTATGATACGGCACCTATTATTTAGGGTACCGAAAAAGGGACCCCTATTTTGACAACCACCCACCCAGATATAGGGAAACATATGCGACCGAGCAGAGGGCATGACAAGGGATGTTATGATGGCATCTACTCTATCTTGGGCAGCAGGTTCAGGGCCTTTTCTTCAACGTGAGTGGACGGGTTTAAGTTTAGGATGTTGAGCCACAGGTTCTGATATCTCGGGTTCGTCTCGAGGCACAAGCTTTTTATAAACCCTAAGTCACTCGCCTCCAGCCCGGCGCCCATGCCTAGTCGGTCAGCCATGCCCACCCCCACAAATAATCAGTTTCCAGGTTTCATTGTCTCAGCGGTTGGACATTTCGAAGTTTTGGTTAGTTTTTTGGGTGTTAGCCGGCTTGGGGAATGTCTGTAGAAGCCCAAAGAGCCGAACATCCGTCTCGGCAGTGCATGGTCGCCAGTACCGAAGATCCCTTTATGCTTCATGGGATACCTGGGAGCCATTGGAGATTGAGGGTTTCCTGGGAGCCCTTGGAGATTGAGGGTTTCCGCTGAAGCGAGGTTGTCTGAAGAGATCTCTGCCATGCGTGTCAGGACTGCCAGATGAGGATGTATCCGGATTGATACCGGTTACGTAAGGGTTTTTACGTAGGTTTGAGGGACCGGGGCTTGGGGTTGGAGCTTAGTGTTTGAGGTGTCAGGCTTCGGTAAGGATTGTTTCCGCGAAACATGCTAGGGTTCAGGGTTTTGGGGTTTACACACGAGCTGTGGGTGAATGTCACTTCAAGCAGGCACGTGCATTTCTGCATGGGAACCCTAAACCCGCAAACCCGCAAGCCTACAAAACCCAAAACCGTCGACTTGCTTTTGACACCACAAACAACCCCTTACATCTTAAATTGGCGAAACATTAAATCCTAAAACCAAAACACCACCCCAACTCCTAAGCTCCCCTAAGACTCAACAATCTCCTAAGTCTTAAACCCTGAACCCCTGAACCCTAAAGCCTTAAACCCTCAACACTAAACCCCTAAAGCCCTCAGCCCCGAAAGCCCTAAACCCTGAACTCACTCACTCACTCAAGGGACAATCCCGCCGGTCGATGCAAAAGAAGGCCGAAAAGCGACAGCCGCTGTGACTGCGGCCCGCGAGACCGGCATTCTCGATGTCGTCGATTTGCAAGACAAGAGGCTGAAAGAACCGAAAGGCGAGGGGAAGTCACCTAGATCGGCAAGACGCGTCCAGACGTGCGCTGCACCGGGAAGTAGCCGAGCAACTGTGACTAAGAAACGCTGCAGTGACCACGCCCACCAGCAGCGGCTGCTCAGAGCAGCTGTAAGGTACTTGAGGCCGGTCTCAGGGTCCCGCGTACAGGCCACGGTACACGAGAAGTCGCGACCACACCAGGGTGGAGCACGGGCGCTAGGAATGGCACGAGTGCGGTACTAGTGGTGACTAGTGACTAGCTGTATCTGCAAGAAAGGCGAGAGCCGAACAAGCAGAAAAATACTTCGAGCCGAGACACCTTCAGCCACAATGGCTACGAAAGCCAACCCCGAACCCTAAGTCCGTACACCCCCAAAGCCTTAAGCCCCTAAACATCCGCGGAAGGATTCTCAACCTGGTCCGCCTCTACGAGGAGATCGAGGAAGGCTCTGCGGGGGCTGAAAAAACTCGTCATACTTTATCCTTTACGTTTAGGCTCTAAGGGGGCTCTTTGATCAGAGGTTTAGGGTTCCCATGAAGGGCTTTGTAAGGTGTTACGCTAAAACCTCCTTTAGCACGTGTTTGTTTTATGCAGCGCTTCTTGAGGGGTTGCATAGGGGGGCCTTGTAAGGCTTTCAATAGTCAGTGAGCCTGTTCCCCGATGTGATGCAGCTCTGGAGTTTCGGCCACAGTGTTTCTTATGGCCCTAGACCCAGAGCCCGAAATCTGAACACCCTGGAGCAATCCTTAACCCGCGGATTTGAAATTAGAGGTCTATGGAGTTTAAGGTTTCAGCTCCTGGGCCAAAATCCTGAAGCAAACTGCTGCATGGTGTTTATTTGGTGGTTCTCTGGTTTTCTATGCAGCAATGTAGTAGTTTCGGATACCTTCTGCCTTGCCTTCTCCTCTCATATTCCTATTCATGAATACCAAGTTCCGGCCTTCAAAACTAAATCCCAATTTCACGGGCTCCAGAATCCAGAGTCAGTTAGGAAAGGAGCTCAGGATCTGGGAAAGAGGGCCAGAGAGAGAGAGAGAGAGAGAGATCGGGCAGCAGACAGTTACAATACGTGCTTGTGTGAAGTTTTGCACATTCTAGGTCTTAATTTCAGGGCCAGGATTCAACGCCGCCAACCAGAGCCTCCGCGCGAGTCAAGGGTAACAAGAGGCCAAAACCAAGCCCTCTGATTTCATGAGCACTAAACCCCCCCAAATCTCCGGCCCGCAAGTCCGAAACGAGCCCTTCAATGATCCTTCGCCCGCAAACCCTGAGCCCTTCCAATGCTCTCAGCCCATAATCCCTAAACTAATCCAGATTTGATCCTCAACCCGTAAGCCCTGCACTAACGCATTGAATTAGTCTTTAAGCCCGACGTTCGCAAACAGTGCTTAGCCCGCTAGCCCTAAACCCATCTCGACCCTGCACCCGACACGCCCCAGGTTTTCTTCATCAACTGCCGCCCTATGACTTCAACCTCCGGTGGGAGCTGGTGAGCTTTGTCTCAAGGTTTTGGGGAGCCGTTGGGAATACTGTTACTGTTCCTTAGCGTGTTGTTCATGTGCTATATAGTGTTTTCATCACTTGTTTTTGTTTACATGAAAGATTCTTCACAAGGAGGTTTTGAGCTTAAGGATCCCACAAGCCGGACTCGAACGTGTATGGGTCCTTGATGTCCAAATTGAGGAATTGCCGTCGGTTGTAGGGGGCGCTTGCGACGGGGTTTGGCTTTGGGGTTGTGCGTTATTAGCTGCGGGGCTTATAGTGTTTAGAGTGTCCCGCTGTAGTTGAAGGTATAGGTGGTTGAGAGCTGTGCAATGTAAGTACTTGGCGACGGACGGTGTGCTATCTTATGTCTTCGGGGTTGGAGTTGGGCCGAGGAGGCAGAACCTATCTTTGTCCGCCAGAAAGACTCGTGCCATAAAGCCGGCATGAACTCTCGAAACCAAGACCCGCCCCCACCTTCCGCATAGAGAAGTAAATCTTCCCAAGTGTTCTCAATCTGAATCTTTCCAAAGGTGTCCTCAATCTGAACCCGACGCACAGATCTGATTTCATTTTGTGTAGTTCGTGTGAGATGAACTGAGGGCTTGAATCCTTGCCACTTAACCCTGGATTGAAGCCCGGCCCAACCCTCAAACCTTACTATAGTAGAAATGTGTGGCGTGGAGAAACGGTGGACTCCGTCCCCTGCCTGCACCCCACGAGCCCAAACATCCGGACCTTGTGCTTTTGCCGGCAATCCCAAGGTCTAAGTAAGTTTAAGGGCTAAGGTTGAAGATCAGGACTTAGGATGCAGGAGTTCGCTTTGAACCGGAACCGGACAACATAAATACCTCGGTGTGCTCAGCCATGCAGGAGGCAAAAAAAACACCCGAGGTCTTAACACCAACACCCCATGAAAGCCTGGCAGTAGCAAGCCCTGAAGTAAGACTCTAATGCAATCCGAACAAGGACCGTGCCACCAGCCGCTGAGTCGGCTCTTGCAAGGAGCGGAGGGTGGCCGTACCATAGGGGCCTTAATACTTACGGGTACTATTTTGGCGGCTCCTATTTAAACTTATAGTATATTGGGCCCCAAATCCCTATGCTAATGTTTAAGCCCCCTATATTATGTTGGGTTCCGAAACAACAGCACCCTCAGGAACAAGAGCTTAGGGCTTCGAGGGCTGAAAGGTTTTAAGGACGCTGACTCTTCCTTGGTGTAGGGGTTTTGGGTTTAGGGTTCAGGAGCTCCCCCATGAAATCCAAGAAAAGCTTAGCAAGTCGCAACCCCTAGCTGCCTTAACTTATGCCTGACTCCCCATGCCGCAGCCAATGCCATAGCTTCAAGGTTTTGCGTTTGCACGTTTGGTCTACAATACAACTAAACGACTAAACTCAAACCCTAAACCCTAAACCGTCAGCTGTTGGTGGGGTGTCGAGGGAAAGGAGTCGGCCAGAAGCCTGCCCACATTTGCACCGTAAGCCGCAAGGTCTGCAGGCTTCTGGGATTTCACTTCGCACCCAAGCTCGCAGGCTTGAGTTCTAGACCTGATCCGAGGAATCCTGCGCTTCTTGGGTTCAGGATTCAGGCGTTGAGGGAACAAGGGAGTGCAAGGTTTGGTTGAGGAGTCAAGGGTTGTGCGGATCCAGGAAGGCGGCAGATCTCCGAGACTACGAGCATCCTGGCCGCTGTTGTGATCATTTCAAGATCTGGGTTGCAAACGTATTCCACATCTCCGGGATTTCGGAATTGCATGCCCGGAATGGGCAAAAATACTTGCCTTGCAACATCTAGTGGGCCCCCAAGCCTTCCCCTATACAGTCTTGACGAAAGAGGATTGCATCTTTTGCTTGAGGGATTCAACTTTGTGTGGCCGGTTACGCTTTCCGATAGTCTTCTCAGATTCGGTCGAACAGGCCCACGCCAGGTTGTTTGCAGTGGCTGCTTAGGGCAAGAAGGCGTTGTTGTTCAGCCCTCATTCCTATGTAAGACTCTAGGCTTCACGCCCAAGTCTCGGACTCAACTCTGATTTTGAAGCCGAGATGCCCATGCAACCAAGAGACGCTCACGAAGGTTTGCATAGAACGTGTATCTCTGAAACTCAACACTTTTCATGGCTGAGAGCCTCAACCCGGCAAGCCCTAAGCCCTCAAGGACTTCGGATTGGAGGACTTTGCCCCATGTCCTGTGGAGACGTGAATATCAGGTTTCCAGGGGAGGTCCACTGCATAGAAACCAGTCTAAGGCTCCTGCTCTGGGGCCCTGGCCCCCAAAACCCGGAAAACCTCATCAGGACCTCTCCCCGTCAGAAGAGAACCTAGAACTGAAGACTCGAAGCCCTAGTGACTCAGTTGATGTGGCCCAGGGCACACTTCGTTCAGATCCTGTGCAGCCGCCAGGATGCGCTTCGCGAAAGCCCCATGGCTGCCAAAAAGGGGCCCTCATGGTGTCGTCGGGCTTTGGGGTATGCCATAAGAGTACGACACAATTTGCATATGTATAAATAGATATGTATGCACACATACATTGACATACTTTTGTGTGTACATATATTATGAGTGCAAATGATTACTGATTAGGCGGACTTGTTCTGTAAACCCAAAGCATTCAGAAGAATCGAAAATTGCATAGAGGACTATGATATGTGTAGAAGCCCATTGCAGAGGGCCACCTGGAGCGGGACGTCTCAGGTTCAGAGGCCCCATTTCGATTTACACGACTCTTTGTTGGACTAGCCCCAGAGACTCCAAGCTACATCTCTGGAATGCTAGAGAACTACTGCTCTTTCTCTCGCGATTTTTTTTTAATTTTCGGTTCGTGAGTACAGGTTGGGCTGTGCTTGTTGTGTTATTTCGGTTTGTACGAGTGAGCAACTTTGCTTCATGAAAACTCTGCGCCTCAACCACTAAGCCATGAACCCTGACCTACTAGTACTTTAACCCGACGCCCCGAAACCCTACAGCCTAGCACCGCAACCCCACCCAATCGCTCAGGCATCAACGAAATCGAGCAGACCTTGGAGCTCTTCCGCACAAAGCAGCTCGGCACCACTAGGGCTTCGCCCTCAGGGCCCTTCTGGCCTCAAATTCCTGGCGACCTGGCGTCGCTGATTCCCAAGGGGTGGAAGCGATTTCTGAGATATTCTGAAGCTGAGCAGCGGAGGATCAGGGTTTAGGAGTCTGGGGTTTGGAGTTCTGGGCCTAAGCTGCGGAGTTTGTGTCGGAGGTTCGGTTAGGGTGTTTAGTCTTTAGAGAGTATAGACTGCGCCAGCAACAGCAGCAGCGACATCAACACTAACGATGAGCTGCCGATGTTTGTGGCTCGCTTGTCCTTCAGATAGCACTGCCGCACATTGACATGGTTCTTTAGGTAGAAGCCAAGACGTTGGAACATTTACATAGCAATGCCCCCTTTTTTTCTTGGCTTGGTTTGGGGAGTGGGAAAAGGGAGGATAATATTACGCAACTACGAAGGTCAAACAAAAACTAGTAATAGTGTCCCCCGAAAGGGCTGAACCTCATGTTTTGCCTGGCGCTGCTAGACCCTCTGGCCTCTGGATGCAATGGCAGAGCGACAGAGAGAGAAGAGAGAGAAAGAGAGAGAGAGTAACTCCTTATGGTCCCCATACAGATATACGATGATCTACATGAACGCCTCTGTAGTACAGGGTTCCGAAATTTCCAGCCTCAATCTTCATGATCGGCGTGGAGCTAGGGAAACTCCGCTCCAGGGAAGCTTACTGGGACGTCTCGGCGATCTCCATGATCCGGGAGGCTTTGGGCGGGCTCGGGAAGCTCACTTCGTTTCAGGAGGGTTTTGCCAGCTGGGGAATTTGAGGGTAGTTACGGTCAGAGTTTAGGGTGGGGGCATAAGCTCTGACCACTTTTTGGTAGGTAACAAGGCCAAGCGGTTCTGAGCATTTCGAGCTTGACACTTGCAGGACCCCTCTCTCTCTGTGTCTCTCTCTTCATTCTGACTCTCTCTGCCTCTCTGCCTCTCTCTCTCTCTCTCGCTCTCTCTCTCTCTCTGTCTCTCTCTCTCTCTCTGTCTCTCTCTCTCGCTCTCTCTCTCTCTCTCTCTCTCTCTCTCTCTCTCTCTCTCTCTCTCTCTCTCTCTCTCTCTCTCTCTCTCTCTCTCTCTCTCCGTCTCTCTCTCTCTCTCTCTCTCTCTCTCTCTCTCTCTCTCTCTCTCTCTCTCTCTCTCTCTCTCTCTCTCTCTCTCTCTCTCTCTCTCTCTCTCCGTCGTTTTGACACTTCGGAAGTGCTGGAGGGAGGATGTAAGGTTCAGGACCGTGCGATCCCGGAGTCAAGGCCTTGAGGCTGCATAAAGGCTTCAAAGAGCCGCGTATGGGGTTTAGAGTCTGGGCTTGATATGGGATCTTTCGGTTTTGTAAGGATGTTTACAGGCTTCTTCTAAACGGGTTCTGTAGCATTTCACAACGGCTTTACAGGGGGCCGAAGTTTGTGCAGGATTCTGGCAAAGGACTGAGACGGTCAGATGGGTCAGGCGTTCAGACTTACGGCTCTGAGCCGTGCCGCAACTCAACCCGAACTGCCGAAGAAGGCCTGACGTAGCAGAGCCCGAGTTCTTGCACTCTGGTTGAATTGTATACCTGGGCCGGAGACCTTCAACTTCTCAGACCCGAAATTTACAGAGCCCAACAACCCCTAAATGAAGGACTGTCCAGAAAGCTATAAACGGATACCTCAACAGATGCAAGGCATATTGCGCCAGCAGGTGCTTTGAGAATTCCGGGTAACTTAGCGGCCTGGATGGTCGGTAGCCTTCTATAGCTTTCTATAGCCTTCCAACCTCTATATACTTGCACCGCGAGCATCGTGGACCCCAGTAGGTCATTGCGACCCCTAAACCCTAAACCCGTCGCGAGCGTGAGCGTCGAAGCTTCCAAAGCCGAGGCTATGGAGAGCCTCAGTGACCGGATTGCTTCGGCGAAGGAGGCACGGGCCCTTCTCTGGGAGCGCACGAAAGCTACTCTCATCTCGCTTCTGCGGATTTGGTCTTGGAAGCCTGAAGAAGCAAGAAACATTGCCAATCTCATTCCGTTGGGCTCCTTGCTTTCATTTATATACCCCTGAAGCATACGTCAAAATATCAAGGCCCCTACAAAGGAAGCAAAAGCCGCAAGTCCCCGACATACTCGGGAACAGAAATGGCGAGGTCAAAGTTTGGAGTTGACTTGAGAGGGCTTTTCGGTTTCGATCTGTTGGGGTCTTTAGAGGCCACACTAGAAAGTATTTGAGGGTTTAGCAAAAGGGTTCGGGTACAGGATTGCCTATTCAACGGGAGGGAGGTTTGTAGGTAACTCTCCGTGCTTTGGGCCCTTCGGAGTGCATGGGGGCCCGCAGGTTCGCCAAGTTGTGAGCCCAGCTGGCACACCCTGCCCTGCACAGCGAATTCCAAAGGTCTTTGATGAAGGAAACGTCCTATGATTCGGGTTGTGTGTGTGTATATACATGTGTGAGCGTCAGCCTTGTTATGGACCTTGTCACTTAGTAGATTCTGTTTCCGAAACTCCCTCATTCGCCGGTTGAAGGCCACCTTTTCAAAACCCTTATCATCTTATCCGTATCCGTTATACAGCCCACCAAACAGATTTCTACAACACCTCATAGACACCCTTCCCACCAAACAGATGTTCATAAGGCCTGTTAGAATAGAAGCCCTGTGCGAAATCTGCATTGAAACTCCAGAAGCCCAATCCGCGAGGATGCGAAGGCGGTGAACCAAATGGAGACGATGCTCGAGCGAAAGCTCACGGAGTCTCCGGACGGCAGAGTTCGGTAAGGTATTTAAGGGCTCTCCATGTTGTTTTGATTTAGAGCCAAGGGTGTTCTACTTGAAGCCACGCTAGGGCTCAGAGGTTCTAACTAAGTCCCGAACCCCTGGTGAACAGGTTTAGAAGGTCTGCAGCTGAAGGCTGGACGTGCAGGTTGTGGGTGTAGCCGTAGTTCAGGGTTGGTTCGTGTCCGAGGTGCTTTTCGCTGTTTGGAACTGCGGACGTTGTATTGCCATGGTCGTCTTGGGTTGCCGATTTGTCGCGTTCACATGGCGCAGAGCAGGTCGCATTTTGGTGTCGACTTCAGCATTCAGGATAAGTCCGTAAACCCTAAACTCTAGGCCTAAGCCGTGTTCAGGCGCTAGCTTTCCATCCTGGCCGCGGTGCGGACCAGGAATGAGATCCTCCGAACCCTGGACGGCTTAAGCCGTAAACCTCAGCCAGAGCCGAAAATGACAGCCTGATCTCGTCCAAATCGCCCCCCACCTCTTCCCCTTCTCAAACAAAGAGAGACAGAACTTCAACTTCCGGGTGTCATGGTGTGCCGCATGTCGACCTGCATCGAATACTCCGACACTGGGTGGATCGGCTAGATAAGGGTTTGGATTTTGGGTTGATATGATGCTTGGGGTTTAGGGTTAAGGTTTTGGGATTGGAGAAGGGTTTCGGGTGAACACGGCAGGTACACCGAAATCGTCAGATGTGCGATGGTCTTCGAACCCTTCGTGGCCTCGTGGAACATTGTGGTCGCCTCAGAGAAGTTTTGACTCGAGAAGCAAAAAGACCGGGCCCTTAAGAAGGAATACCTTAAAGAAGGCAGCTTCAGCGATCTGTCTCGCCTTGTTGGGGGATTTAAGCGTAGATTACTATGGTCAGGGAAAAGAGCCGCATGCGTGCTGGTGGTTCGTGCATCCATATCTGATGTGATTGTAGGAAGGCAGTACTACAGGACCAAACACATCCCAACTGCTATGGGGACCCTGCACCCAGCACACCTTGTGGAGTAAGTGAATTTGGAGTAGTGTGATCCAGATATGATCAGATATCTTTGCAGGAGAAGGTGCTGGGATTTTTCAGGGAAGGCTTCTCAAGGCGACAGTACGCAGGCCCAGGTGTCGACTGTAAAGTTAAAGATTTAACAAGGGAGAAAAACCTCCTGGGTCCCTGATCAAGCCATTGTTGCACGCTGAACCCATACGCAAAACACAGGCTTTCGTTTTGGGGGAACCCCCGGCCGCACTCGGCTCAGGTGTATCAGTTCGGAGAGAGCCGGGCCTTGTGGTATCCTTGCTGCAGGGCCCTTTGGGGCTAGGAGACCTTCAGAGTCTTCGGTGTGGTAAGGTGGTCTGGAAATGAGTAGTACCACCCAAGTATACTTTCCCCCTTAAAGACTTACAGGAAACGTAGTTGTCATATGGCCCCCGGCAGTTGGACTGGCCCTTTCGGTGGAAAGGGCTTTCCAGCGTGGTGGCTGTGGAGTTGGGATCCTCAGCCCTAAACCCTAAACTTTGGGCTCTTCTGTCTCGGTGTTATATGGAGCATTCGGCCTGGTCTGATGCAGGGTGCAGCTAGTGGAGACCCCGAGAACTCATCAACATCATGTCTCATGGTTCCTCAACTTGCTAGACCAGAAACCTGCTTCTACATGTGTGCGTCAGAGCCCTAGTATATGTCGGAATAACTAGTGCCAAGAGTTTCTTGCGAGCCTCTAGACAAGCATAGTATATCATACACCAAACCCTTATTCCATTCATGAAGGCCGCCATCAAGGCCCGCATTGTTCACCCGATCTGAATTTCATTGGCAGTTCATCGTCTCCACCTGTCAGGGAAAGTACCGAAAGTCGGAGTTTCGAGAGCAGGGAGTGTGTGGAATAGCAACACCAGGTCACAGACGCGAACGCATACGTTTTCCACCTAATGAGGGCCTTGATCCCTACAGCCTAAAGCGTACCATGAAAGAGCCGTAGAGACCCCATGGGAATCCTTAAGCCTTGCTTCGAAAGTCGTCCTCCCGAAGGCATGATGGGACTTTGACCGATGCTGATGCCCTGCGAAGGAGAGCTTGGGGGAACCTACGCATAAGCAAGTACATGCAACATTTCTTGCATGCATGTACACCAGCCTTTGTTGCTGTAATCTGAACTCTGTGCTCCTTCCCCTGCTCCCTAAAGTTCGGGCCACTAGTTCGGGCCCCCAAAATTCCCAACAGCAATAGTGGTTTATCGTTCAGGGAAAGCCTGAACCCTAAACCCTTTAAGGTTCAAAACCTGTGAGTGCTGAAAACCCGAGAGACCACAGTCCAGGAGCCTGCTGAAAGAGTTTGTGGCGCTCGAGCAGGCCAGAGGGTTTCGGGTTTCTGTTGGGTGTAGCTACATGTTTCGTTGTCGTAGTAAGTCGCAGCAGCAGCAGTAGAAGTAGTAGGAGGACGACGACGAGAACCACCAATACTGCTAGTAGGAGGGTGAGCACAGGCACAGAGGAGTAGCAGCCAAGCCAGCCGTTCGGATTTGGTGCTCACGTTCGACCTGCAATCCGTTAGGGCTGCTCGCACACTGCTAAGCGACCGGTGTAAAGAAAGGTTTTCTTTACAGGTAGACCGAACATGGATGCATAAGAATTGTCTGGGTTGGTTTGGGGGGAGTTGGAATCGGGTTCTTCGTTTGTGTCCAGTGCGACAGGCACACCGCAGAAGACCAATAGCTCATGACCCCGCAGTTGATTAACCAGCACTGAACAGTACTCAGCATTTGTCTCTTGCTTTGATTCAGTATTTTACAGGCCACGGGCTATCTGAGAAGATATGCAGCTGGAACATGGAGGCTTCCTAAGCCTTGGTCGTTGGAGTTTCGGGTTCAGGGGTTTGGGGTTCAGGGTAGGTACCTTTTTCTTGCTGCTTCAAACTCAGTATCTGTAAGGTCAGGAAATCTTGGGGCATTGATGAGAGATGAATAGTGCTGGGGCCCAGAGAGACCTGTACATCATCACAGAAAGCCCTGTATAACTTCAGCTCTGTTCCCTAGCGGGCTCTGTCGGAGTTTCCTCGGCTGGTCTGAGGTTGTGAGGGCAATGATGCTTCAACTTCCCAGTTCCTACTCCTCTAGCGCAGATCTCACAACGTGCGTCTATCTACATGCACATGGGCCCCGTAACCCTAAACCCTAAGAAAGATGGGGCCAAAGGGCCGCCCAAGAGACCCTGAATGCACGGAGCACCTGAGCTTGAGCACAGGCGGCAAAGGGCCTCGAATTCAACCAGTGGCCGTCCACACTGGTGGCAATGGTGCCCGGACTCTGAGATCCCCGAAATTCAACCACCCTCAGATCACGAACAAAACCCGAAACTAGAAACACCCAAAGGCAAACTGTCACGAGGGCTTGGACATGTTTGATGCGGGTCTGAGGGCTGCAAGGATGCGGGGTGGGTTGTATAGGGACGTGGAAACTTGTATGTCGCAGTACTTGAGCTGTGGCAGAGGGTGGGTAGGGGTTTAGGAATTAGGCTGAGGGCTTACTTCTTTGGGCCGGCCAGTGCCGGCCGCTTCCTGGGAAGCACAATGCCTAAGGCGTCATTGGTAGCGTATTGTGAGTCTAAGGGACTTCGGGGATAAAGGTCCCCTTCTCAGAAGCCGCATCTGGAGCTGGGTCCAGGTTCCCTCTCGATGGTTTTGTGTTGATACGAATGCTGTAAGTTGTCGTCGGTCCTTCTGCTGATGCGTCAGGCACGGGAACAGGCAGGGCACAAGAAGAACCGCGGAAGCGAAATAAGTTTCAGCCCTTTCAGAAGATAAACCGAGGTCGATGTTGAGCATGCGACTCTCATTTTTAGGTTCAGGCGCCCAAAGAAGCAAGCCTCAGGTTGCCCAGCAGCTGTCGGCTTTGGACAAGTTCCAGGCAACGTGGGGGTTTACAGGGATAGCAGAGCGTAACATGAGAGTATGCACGGTTGCGTGTGTGTGTGTGTGTGTGTGTCTGTATGTGTGTCTGTATGTATGTCGGTATGTAGGTAGGTAGGTAAGTAATTCTGTGCGCATGCGTGTGCATGCGTGTGTACGCATGTGTGTGCATGTCTGCATGCGTGTCTGTTTGCGTGTTATGCGTGATCATGCGTGTATTGTGTGCATGTCTGTCTGTCTGGGACGCATGAAATTGACGTCAACCCCTGCAAGGCAGGCTCGGAGGTCGGAGAGCTTGGAACCCTGAGCTTGGCCCATCTTGGCCCTGAACCCTTCGCCCCAAGACACTTTGGGTTTAGGCACTTCAGAGAGACCTCGTTCAAAAAAGGGTTTAGGGTTGCAGGTCGTGGTCTGGCTAGACGTGAGTCCAGTAGCGAAACAGGGTTGATTAGGGTTAAGGGTTTAGGGTGTTGAAGGTTCTAGGTTTCGCAATCAACAACTTGCAACACATCTCAGAACAAACTCAAGCCCAAAACTTTTTTGGAAGGAGACGGAGGCAGACCCTAAAATAAGCCGCAAAGAAGCCCCAACCCCTCTCAAGACCCCGAAGTCTTAAAGCAATCCCAGGACCTAGACCCTAAGCCTTTACCCTCAAACCCCAAGCCGTTCGTAGCCGTAACACCAACAAAAGCCACAATATCGTAAAGCAAACCCCGCACCTTAAGCCGTAAGCCCCAAACCCAAATCCCCGAACAGGGTTTAGTAACAGGGTTTGGATTATATAAGGGTCTCGGCACTATAAGCCCCTCAGCCACAACCCATAAACCGCTAACTCCCCGCTCTCGCTCACGCCGCGGCAACCCGAACCAGGTAGAGCTGATGCACAGCCAGAAGGCGGCGGACGCTGAGGCGGACGTCGGAAACTCAGACAGACCATCAACTTGGGGAAGTTATGTGAGGTTTATAGGGCTTTTGAAAGGTCCTAGAGACTTATAATAGTCAGGGGCGACATGCTGGGGGTATTGATACGGTTTTATAGGGGGTGTTGCGGTGCAGGGGCCATAAACCTAAACGGAAGCGAACCCCTAAAAGAGCCATCCTAACCCCTTAACCCTAAGCCCCCTATTGCCCGAGTGTGAGCGCCGAAACCCCCTAAACCCCTTAAACCCTCTTAAACCCCCTAAGCCCCCGAGAGTTGAGGCCGAAGCCGCCGAGGCAGAGGCCTTCGAGGCTGAAGACGAGGAGCAGATGGAGCCCGGCTGAGCGCAAGACCCTCAATCCTAAACCGTAAGGGTTTAGGGTTTAAAGGTTTAGGGTTTAGGGTGTAGGGGTTTAGGGTTTAGGGGTTGGTTTAGGGGTTTAGGGTTTAGTAGACCTGTACGAGAAAGGAGCTGCAACAAAAATTAAGCCTGAGCTGACCATGAGTCCTAGCTGTAATTCCACCTGCGTCTGCAATGCAACTGCTACTGAGCTGCAACACGCAGCTATGTGGCATCCAGCGGTGTATCTCAGAGAAAAGACACCCTGCTGAGAAGATTGCTGAATCATGATAGAGTTGAAGCGATACAATCAATATTACACAGGCAGGATAACTTCTACACATTTCTACCCAGACATGCAGCCTTCTGCCCAACTCCGTGTCCGAACTCTGAGAAACTCCCATGTACAGAGCTGTGGTGCGGCTCCCACTTCGGGCATGATCAGCTTTTAGAAACCACCTTTGGGTGTTACGCCCCGGTACCACAAAAGACATCCTAATACCCTCAAGCCATTGAGACGGGAAAATTCTAGACTTCAAACCGTCCTTGCATAGAACCCTCCCATGTAAACGCCCTATATGGTAGGTGACTGAAAATTTATACCAACATTATTCCTTAGGGCTCTTGGTCTTGTTCCAGTCGAGTATACACCGAATCAAGTGAAGGCTTCGCCTACATTGTGGAACCCTTGTACCAGTCTTACAGAACCCGTAAAGGCAAGGTGTGAATGAAAGGAGCCCCGGCTAGTTCCAGTCTGCCTATCTTCGAAACCCTCTAAGCGCTTCTTGTGCTTTCGTGGCAAGGCATAGACCTTTTGATTCAGGTCTTCAGTGGCTGCAAGTAGCACGGCAGAGAGAGAGAGAGAGAGAGAGAGAGTGGCTGCAAGTAAGCTGGGTCCCCCAAACCCAGAATTTCCCTGTAGTGATGGTGCTGTAGGCTCTTGCCTCCTTCAGGCGCCGAACCATGAAACATCCGTCTCACCTGCCCATCGGCATTCGGAAGGTTTGCACCAGGGCGGGTTTGTTGGAGATAATGCAGGGGTTGCAAGAATCAGCAACTGCAACTCCATTCCTTGGTGTTCCTTATTGTAGTTAGAGCCCAACATGCTCCCCTAACGCGGGCCCTTCAAGAGTTAGGACGAAGCAAGACGCCGCGTCCAAAGGATCCGGCAGCTCCACCCGCGAGCAGAAAGGAGAGTGCTGGTCCATTTATTTTATCACCGGTTCAGGGCTTCGTAGTTGGTTTGTTCATTTTTCGGTCTTCGGGGTCGAGTCAAGACTCGTGTTCGATCTTGGCAGAGGGGCCTGAAAAGACTAGTAACACCAGTCCGTAGCATTTTCTGAAGATAAGGGTAGTAGTTAAACGGCTACTCAGCCTCCCATTGCTAAGGTCCCCATATACTTTGAACCTTGACAAAGACCATAGAAAGACGCTGTAAACCCCACCCTAAACCTTGAACCCTGAACCCTACCCTGAGAGCAAACCCTAAGATCCCAAAGATCCAATGCCCTGAGCATTCCTCAACCCTTCACACCCTCAACCCTCAACCTCTATCCACAATCCCCCAAACCTACATATATATATATATACATATGCATATTTATATCTTTTTGGGCTCAGCTTGCGCCCTTTTCGCCCGATACCCGGACCGGGCCCCTGGCGGCACGGTCAGGGATGGACCGAGACAGCGATGCGGCGACTTGGACTAAGAAGGGCCATGGGACTCGAATTCTATCCCTTGCGGTTCCTGATTATAAATACCGTAAACCGTGACTCAAAACCCTATTCCAATTATTACGACCCCTACTTGTGTGCACAAAGACACAATATATGTATATGTATATGCCTATGTACATACACACACACATATATATATATATATATATATATATGCATGCCAATCTACAAATGCATATGGAAGTACAAAGGGGTTTACGGCTCAGAGCGCGGCTCATAAGGGCTTTCTGAAACGTGACGGGCTGATGCGTGGTGTTTATGGTTTGTTACCTACTCGTTTCTTAAGGCGTATGCGCTGTGATTGGACTGGGCCTGGTGCTGCAGTTCAGGTTTTGGCCCCTCCATGAGGAAGGTATAGTGTATCCCCGCGGCACTCCTTCGGATTGGATAATGGGGAGTGCAGTAAGTTGGGGACCCCTTCATACACCCCGGATAGCCGGGTCCCCGGTTTCAGGGGTACCCTAAACCCTAAACCCACTTCGAGAGCCATGCCAAACGCCCAGCGGGAATCTGCTTTCTTTCTGACCAGCAGCGAGGGGAGAAAAGGGCCGTCTAAAAAAAAAAAAAACCCACTTCGAGTCCGACGTGAGCCGTGCTACGTCGTTTGGCTTGCCCGAGTTGTGAGAGCGTAAATCCTGATCCCTAGACCCGAAACTGCAATAAACCCTTAGCCCTGAACCTTTGAGCACTTTCTGAAGGTCAGGCTTATCGTCGCCCTGAAGCAAAGCCTCCGCTCTGTCCTCGCAAGGGGGACGACCTGCCCCGGCAGAAGAGATCTTCCATCTCTCTCGTGGGAAAGTTCATCAAGCGGCCTGGCTTTGAGGTGTGGGATGCAACATATGGAAGAGTTGAATGATCTAGAATAGAAGCCAGATTTGCCGCTAACATTCCGTAGGCATCCTTAAACTCATAAAACAATGCTATACCCCAAGCCCCCATTCGAGTTACTACGGCTTCTACGTTCGAATCAGAAGGGCTGTTTGGGGCAGACCCCGGCTCCTAGATGCGTGGTTTGCGGCATTCCGCAGTCGTATATATGTATCTCTGTATTACTCTGTATATGATGTATACATACAGATATATATATATATATATATATAGACACATGAAAAAACATATAATGTCTGTTTGGTCTTTGGTTTTCGCCAAACGCTCCCAGAACATGAAGCCTTCAAGTCTTGTGGTGAGAACTGCAATTGCAGAAGGAGCAAAGCCTGAAGAAGCACGCGCCCCTATACTTGAGACCGTAGATCAATTGAAATGGGCCTGGAAGTGTCAGTTTCAGTGCTTCAGCGGCTTGCTGCAGTTTCTACCAGCAACTGGAAGTTGCAGGAATCCCTCAACCAGCACCCTAGCCCTAGCCCTAGACTTTCCGGACCTCAGAATTCCAGAGGTCCAGGCCACAGAACCCGCGCTCTGGTTGAGGAATTGTGTAAATAGTAGGGATACGGAAGGTATAGATTGCTCATGATTGTGGCAAGTCGAGTTATGTTCCTGATCAGCCTACATGAATCCCATTATCAGCCTTATGAAGCCCTCATGCACGTAAACCCCCTGTAGAGGAAACGTCGTTCCCGATCCTGGCATTTAGGTCTTACAGCGTCTCCGAGGGTCAGTCACACCAGGACCCGATGCTGGCAGTTTTATGGTTTTGGGGGTGTTGGGTCTTGGGGTTTAGCGTTGCGGTTTACAGTTTAACTAGGGCTTTAGGAATGTGAAGCATGTCGGCGTTGCACTAGCTGTTGTTTGGCCCCTGCCGAGCGCGCAGCTCGAGGTGCTGCTGTACTGAACCCACTTTCGTAGACTGTAGTGTGATGCTACGTTGGCTATTCTATATCATGTTATCTAGACTATACGATATTGTAGTAAAGTAGAATACGATGCCGTAGTCGCAAGACAAAAAAATACGATGCGGTACAACACTATAGTGTCGTATTGAAAGGGTGTTGTAAAGTCTACTCTGCGATCTGTGCGCAGGGAAGATACACTGCAAGCCAAGCTTGCTTGGGTGCGCTTGGTTCGTTTTTTGATGTGATCTTGAGGTTTAAGTTTATGGTTTTTGTAGGTTGAACTCGACACCTCCCGCCTGGTGAGCTAGGAGCACCGGCGCTCAAGCAGAGCCATCAACAAGTCGAAGAAGCTTGGCGCAGAATATGATGTGTGGGTTTCTGGAAACTAGGCGGTGCTGTTTATTGTAATGATCCCGCTATGTTTTGTGTACAAGGGCTCCATGTTGTTTTTGAGACTTCGAAACACACAAACTGTCTTTCTCTCGCATATATATATATATATATGTACAGATGTATATGTATATATATGATATATATTTGTGTACATCTATATACACACAGACATGTACACGCTGTATGCTATACATGACGAGTCGCTGCCTCCATTTTAAGAGACCACCCGCATACCCGCCGCACGTGTATGTTTGCATACAGGGCTTACATACACATGTACATGCAGACATACTTACTTACCCATGGGCGCTCGTACATCGATGTGTGTACACAAAGGATTTGTATATATGGCCATGTGTATTGAGGTATCCACATATCCACATATACACTACACATAACCTGTTTCATTGGCATACCTACGTACCAACCTACATATATATGCACACATACACTCCTACTTGCGTACCTACATAGGTACATTTGTCCATCCATGCATACATGCAGGCATACTTCTGTAAGTGCATCAAGACATGCGCTCGTTGGCAAGTTTCGGAGAGCTTCCTTGTCCCTTCTGGCGGCTTCCCGTGGCTTCGTGCATTATCAAGCGTCGGTTTGGGGGCTTCAACGGGCTTCCACAGGGCTTTAGGGTTTCAGATGCAGGAGTTGTGGGGCTATCTAAGTTTCACTTTGCGAAAATATAAACCCAAAAGAGGCACCTATGCATGAATGCTGCTGGCGGCCCTTATATGACTTGCGGCCGGTATTCTTTTTCAGATGCACGGGTTCATGCCAATCGAAGGGTTCTGTCTTCACAAAGCAGTTCACGCGAGCTTTGCTCAAGTCTTAGACACGAGTCCGGAGCCCATTAGAAAGCCTGTCAGAATTCAACAACTTCTCTCACTAGCGTCCTGACCTGCAGCCGAGGAAGTTTCTTCGCAAGGTCTTCAGCAGTTACCGCCTCCCGGACGCAGAAGAACGCTGCAGGAAAGGTCGGAATGGATTCAGAGGCTCCGACTACCTGCTGCGTTGACCAACCCTAGATTCTGGTGAAACGTCCACCTCGAAAGCAGCAAAACTCAGCCAAGGCTTTGGCAACTTCATGTGCCCCGGCCGTGAGAAGTGTGGCTGAGAGTCTCGGGTTCAGTGCCGAGCTGACCTAAAAAAGGATTTTGGGACTTAAGGGCAATAGGTGAAACTGCACTTGTAGCTAGTTCTTCAATGCGAGCTCCAGTGAAGGCACATACCTGTAGCCCGCCCTACAAGTACAACTGGATAGGATCCACAAACCCGAAACCCTGGACCCTAATCCTCAACCCAAAACATCCCGAAACCCTTCCTAAATCCTAAGCCTAGATTGTCCGAGTGTGAGCGCCGAAATCCTAATCCTAAACCGTACTGTAAGCCCTAACTGTAAACCCTAACCCTAATCGTCCTAATCCTAAACCCTGAGCCTAATCCACACCCTAGAAACCCTAAGCCACCCTTCGAACCGAACCAACTTCGCCTGCACTGTCCAAGTTGCGAGAGTCCAAACCCCAAGCCTTGATCCTAAATCCGCATCCTATAGGCAGGGGCCCCAGGGGCTCGGGCGTACCTCCTGTCTATATAGCTGAAATCATGTTCGGGCTGAGGTTTGGGTCTGGGGAGAAGGACTTGGGAGGCGAGTTCTCTGCCGCTAGAAAATCAAAACTGAGCTGGAACAAAGAGAAACAGATTCTATTCACTACACAATACAACTGCTCCTAACAAGAGCTCAGGTGTGGCAGCTTTCGGGATGTACGTGTAGGCGGCGTGTTGACCGAGAGCACGTCGTTAGGTGGATCACCGCAACACACCCGTGTTGCACAACAAGGATTCGAGATAGTCTGCCATCATATCCTGGTCTCGAACTTCTAGATGCTAAGCCCTCATCTCTGGCTGCCTTTTCACGTTACTTCCATCCCACGCGCCAGCTAGCACTCCCCCCCATGGACTCGACATCAGGCTGATGGTAGTTCTTGTGGATGCATACTGCACCTGCCGGGATATTGACGCCCGCGCCACCGGCGACGCTGGGCTTTGATCAACACTTCAAGATTCTCCCGGCGCCTTCTTGTCTATACATGTGCAGCACAGCCAGTAGGGAAGGCTTTCAAATTCCCTTCAATGCATAGCTACTGCAAATTCCCTTCGGCCTTCGCTTGAGCATTCATCCCAGCCTCTATCCTAAGCCATCAGCCTTGCATCCTCTTGAGGTTGAAACAGAGGATGTTTTCACCTTGCTGTCAGACCTCTGCCTCGTGCTCTACTCCGTGGAGCTCTGTGGACTCTTCTTCGCGCTTCGGCGCTCTAAGGTTTGTGGTTTAGGAACCTAGGGCGGGCCCTTTCGGCAGGAACCTTAAGCCCAAAACCCGAACCCAATATCGTAGCGTCGGGTTTAGGGTTTACAGTACCTTAGTGTGATTACTAGAAGTCCGGTTGTGGGTGGCCGCAGCGGATGGATGTGGTAAATATTGCACGGGTTGCCTGCTGCTTCAAATCTTCAAACCCCAGTGCCTCTCAAACGAGCCCAAAAGCATCGGGCGCCCCAGAATCTCCCGCTTGACCTGCTGTGGGTCTGAGGTCCGAGGTTCGGAGATCCTCAAAGACTGGATGATAGTTGTGGACATCTTGGTGGTGATCTGTGGCTACGTCCCTGGCCAAGAAACTCGAGAGTCGCTAAGAGCCGCTAAGCCGCTGACCTGTGTGATCGCGTGAGTCGACGACACCGCTAAACCCTGCGACGTAGTGAGCACAGTTTCCTTCACGTTTCTGCATAGTTTTTCGGGCCCTCCGAAGCTCTCCGAACTTCTAAAGCCGGCTTCCGTGGTGCCTGCGTCGGGCGTTGTTTTTCCTCGGGCTTCGGCTGCCTCGCTCCAGGAAGTTCTTTTCTAGGGGTTCTCGGTCTTGAGGTTTTGGTGCCCCGAAGCCCCCTGGCACAACAAAACACCCGAAGCCCCCGGCCTGCTTTAGTTATGAGCAGTTGGATGCCGGTGTCCGCATGAAACGTGACAGATGACGAGTTTCATCTGAGGGTGCTTTCCCTCAACTTTCCATTGCCTGAGCCCCGAAGCTATCAGGTCTGAGCTGGCAAGCACTTGCGCCTGATGAGTGCAAGGCAAACCCGAAACCCAAGCGTTAAACCCAAAGCCTTAAACCGCAAACTCCAAACGAGCGTGCGAGTCGAAACCCCAAAACTTCAAATCCCAAACCTTAAACCGTGGACCACCCATCCACCCTTGCGTGTCAGGTTGAGTTTATCCTCGTGCAGGTCACGCCGAGTGTGGCTCGGTCTCTGCACCAAAAGCCCCTTGCGCCCATAATCTAACCTGGAATAAGATCATACATAATGTAGCATAGAATACTAATATGGTAGAATACAGTGCAACAAAGAGCAAATAATACAAAGTATAATGTATAGATTCAGGTTTGGGGCTTGGTTTTGGGGTTCTAGGTTAAGGGTTCAGTCTTGCGGCTGTTACAAGCCTTCAAAGCCTTTTCAACTAACTCCGAGCCCCGAGCCGATTCAGGGTATGAGATACCGCAGTCGAAGGGTTGTGGCTACGGGTCCCGGCTCGGCATATTTAGCCCCAACTTTGAACAGCTCGGCACATCCAAGGAGTTGATACCACTATTTGCATGGGGATGTTTTCGGCTTATGGAGTAGATGGTGCCCCACCGACAGCACATGTCAGCGACTACGTCGAAGTCTGCTGCAGAACTCGAAAATGACTGTGCTCATGAAACGCAGACGTGGAAGAGCCGCACAGGCTTGAAACGGGTTGAGGCGCTAGGTATCATATGAAGTTTTCATACAGTATACAACCTTATGATCGCCCATAAAACCCTTCTCTTCAGCAAGTTCGCAACCCGGATGAACGGAGATTCTGAAGGCAGCTGTGCTGCTGTCTGAGCCAAACTGCGCTGACCCAAAAGCCTTAGACTCTTAGCCCAGGATCAGAGGGGTCCACAAACCGCACTGGAAACATCTGGAAACCGTGTACCCCTAATGTGGGAGTTTGATTAGTTTTGGGAACCCCCGACCCCCCCCCGCCAAACAAGACAGGTGACTCAATCATGTCGTTTTACATGGACTCCGGATTTGTAGAAATCAGACATAGTCGGAGCATTAAGTAATAGTTGCAGCAATAGGAATGGTGATAGTGCGAAGCCTTGCTTCCCACAAAACACGGTTCAGGAAGTTTTTCCCGAAAGCGTCGCGAAGTGTTCTTCCGTGCGGAGCCGGGTAGACAAGTACATAGATGACAAACATAGAATCGAGCACATGACCTTATGACTTGACACTTGATACATAGATGACAAACATAGAATCGAGCACATGACCTTATGACTTGACACTTGGGTCTACGACTCTATGACCCTATGACTCTATGACTCTAAGACCGAACTTGACTACTCTTGACTACTCTATGACTCTATGACTCTATGAACTTGAGGACTCTGTGACTTACTCACTTGACTACTCTATGACTCTGTGACTTACTCTGTGACTTACTCTGTGACTTACTCTTGACTTACTCTTGACTTACTCTGTGACTTACTCTGTGACTTACTCTCTGACTTACTCTCTGACTTATGACTTACTCTGTGACTTTCTCTCTGACTTACTCTCTGACTTACTCTCTGACTTACTCTGTGACTTACTCTGTGACTTACTCTCTGACTTACTCTCTGACTTATGACCTACTCTGTGACTTACTCTCTGACTTACTCTCTACATCTCGGTATCTAATCTCTCTTCTAAAGCCAGGGGTGGCACCGACGTCGTCCATCGGGAATGCAACCCTTCACAGGGATTGGCCACCTCGAGCGCCCAAACGCTAGGTAAAGTTATACATTTTAGGGTTCCCGCGCAACCCTTCCCAGGGATTCGCCTCCTCCGGCATTCAAACGCTAGGTAAAGTTACACATTTTTATGTGCGCTTCGCACCCTTCCCAGGGATTCGCCTCCTCGGGCGTTCCAACGCGAGGTAAAGTTACACATTTTTATGTGCGCTTCGCACCCTTCCCAGGGATTGGAACTCTCGAGCGCCCAAACGCTAGGTAAAGTTACACATTTTTATGTGCGCTTCGCACCCTTCCCAGGGATTCGCCTCCTCGGGCGTTCAAACGCGAGGTAAAGTTACACATTTTTGGCGCGCCGCGCAACCCTTCACAGGGAGTCGCCTCCTCGGGTGTTCAAACGCGAGGTAAAGTTACACATTTTGCGGGCGCCGCGCAACCCTTCACAGGGTTTGGGCGCAGCTCAACTGCATTTTGCAACCCTTCACAGGGATTGGCATTTTGCAACCCTTCACAGGGATTGGCATGGTCGAATGCACGAACGCTAGGCAAAGTTGCATTTTTTGATGTGCATTGAAATGAATTTTGCAACCCTTCACAGGGATTGGCGTGGTCGAGTGTTCGAACGCGAGGTAAAGTTGCAATTTTTTATGTGCATTGAGATGAATTTTGCAACCCTTCACAGGGATTGGCGTGGTCGAGTGTTCGAACGCGAGGCAAAGTTGCAAGTTTTGATGTGCATTGAGATGAATTTTGCAACCCTTCACAGGGATTGGCGTGGTTGAGTGTTCGAACGCGAGGTAAAGTTGCAATTTTTTATGTGCATTGAGATGAATTTTGCAACCCTTCACACAGATTGGCGTTGTCGAGTGTTCGAACGCGAGATAAAGTTATTACTTTTGATGTGCATTGAGGTGAAACTTGCAACCCTTCACAGAGATTGGCGTTGTCGAGTGTTCGAACTAGTACTAGTACTACTACCACCACTACCACTACTACAACTATTATTACTACTACTACTGCTACTACTACCACTACTACAAAAGAATACTACTACTACTACTGCTACTACTACTACTGCTACTACTACTAGTACTACTACTACTACTACTACTACTACTACTACCACTTCTACTACCACTACTACTGCTACTGCTACTACTGCTACTACTACTACTACTACTAGTACCACAACAACAACAACTACAACTACTACTACTATTACTCCTACTGCTGCGACATAAAGTGACCATGCATAGAGTCATAGAGTCAAGTTGAAACCACAGTAACAGGGATGTCTATATAGTGAGGTTCCGGAGCTAGGAAAGGAAGACTTCTGCGTCATGTTGGACTATACCCTAAACCCGCTAAACCTGAACATTAGTGTTCATAGAGTGAACTACATCAAGTCAAGTGCGTGGTACATAGATGACTCCATGACTCTATGACTCTTTCTCACTCTGACGCTATGACTCTATAACACTATGACTCTATGATTCTGTCTCACTGTGACTCTATGACTCTATATGACTCTATGACTCTTTGAACTATGACTTGTGCTTGACATGTACTCGACTCTATTTCTCGATGACTCTATGAACTATGACTTGTACGACTCTTGACTGTATGTGACACTCCGACTCTGTGACTCCGTGCTTTTGACTCGGTGACTCTATGACCCTATACACTGGATTCTATGACGTAGCGCAACACTCTTCGCTGATGATGCTTTCGGGCCAATTGTCTTCTAGTTTCTGTGTAGGATCCTCCAAAACGAAGTTTAGGGGCCTGAGTACATCATTTTGTTTGAACTGCGGCGCCTCACAAGAATCTTTGCATCCCAATCAACCCTAAAACTTTAGACTCCAAAATCCCTCAACCCTCAAACCCTTGGGCCCTGAGCAGGAACTCGTGCAGAAGATGAGCCTTCTGAGAGCTCTGAGGCTCGCGAGGACCCATCCGAGCGAAAGGATTCGGCAGGGCTGTTGGAGCCAGCTTCTATAGCCTGGCCTCTATAGCGGTTTGGCAAAGGCTTCATGTGTTTTGTCAGGTTTGTCCAAGGGTTTTATAAGGGATTTAGAAGATGGTTCGTGTAAGACCATGTACGCCCTAAACCACAAACTCACATACGGAGTCCTTTGTGTTCCTCTCATCTAGGGAACAGAACCCAGATCGTACTTAGGATCCCTGAATAGTTTTTAAGGGATATCCCTTGTTACTTAGTGGAGCTATGGAACGGAACCGAGTGTGGCAGGATCTTCCGGCTAATGCGGCTGCTGCGAAAGATCCGAGCTCTTCGGGAGCTGCACCCCGCCGACACGTTGTATAAGGATCCGGGTATTGGGCTTAGGAGGCTCCACGGCATGAGTTCTTGACACTACAAGTAAACTCCATAGGCACTATGATGCCACCCTGCCTGGCCCAAAAACCCTAATCTCTTCAACCCTCATACGTTGCCTGACTCTGTCGAGTGCGAGTGCCGAAAAATGTCAGGTACAAGCTCGTTACCATGATGTCGACCTGTCTCAAGACGCTGTTGTGGTCGTCACTTGGCCCAGATGTGGACAGCAAGCCGCATCGGGGTTGGGGCTTGGGCATTCAGGCAGAGTCAGGATGAAAATCCTCCCTCAGCTGTCGAGAGTGTATTGACCGGATGCTATCTCATTCTCGTCGACGGTCATGCTGGTGTGCGGGGGGACCTCCTTTGTCGTAAACTTCCCGGTGAGCATGGGCGTAATCATTATGTCAAGCAGCGGACGAGAGTGTGAACCGGGACGTGGAGAGTTTGTTGACTTGATTCTAGATGAGCTTACAAGCTGACTGAGTGTTTCGAAAGGTAGACTGTGACGAGTGTTTGCTTGCCTTGAGGAAGTGTTGCTGCCAGTGTTCTTGTCTCATTACGTATTTGGGTGGGTGTGGCGGCGGCTGTTGCTTTCAATGATTGTGCTTGCTCTTGCGTGGTTTGTGCATGGCCAAGATACACCCACTTTGTCAAGGACAGGTTTCATGGCTATGCCGTAGTCTTGGTGTCTGCAATTGTCCGCATAAATGCAAGCAGCGCTGGCCTGCGTCCGGCCAAGGCTGCTATTTCATTGCAAGGAACGTTGGAGATCCAGCTGGGTCGGTGAATCCACGTGTAGGGAAGTGTCATGTTTAGGGGTGTTGAAGGTTTCGACCAAGTCCTAGTAGTAGGATCTTCATTGCAAGATTCCTGCTTCATCGAGGTTCCTCTTCTGCTTCATTGTGATGACAGTGTGGGCCATGTTAATCGTCGAGGCGAATCGGAGAGCGCGCGCTGTCAACAAGCTTTTTTGGAAGGAGCGTCGTAGGGCCTTAGTAAGTACAATTGTGATCGGGCTTTGGAGTGTATCTAAGAAGGGATTATAAAGAGGTATTCATGATCTGTTCTGAGTCCTAGAATTTCAGAAATGCCTGGCAGGTCGTGAACCCCATTGTGGTGCAAATGGACGGCGATGGTGTCTTTGACGATTGCAGTGCCTTGGTGTGGAGGTCGTGGGGTTTTAGTGTTTTGGTTTGCACCTTGGAACCTTTGACAGCGACCTGAAGGGTCTAGGGAAACTAATTAACGATCAGCTGTTGTTCCACTTGCTAGCCTGAGATACCACCGTCCTAAAGCTAATCGCCGAAGCAATTGTTGGATACCTTGGACCCTCAAGTCCTGGGCTTTGAACTAGCAGTTAGAACGACCTGGCTTCGTTGCGTTTACGGCTTGGTTTCTTGTTGTGAAATGCTGTTGCGGATGAGGTCGATAATTACTTGCGACCTTTGATCTAGACGCCTGATGTCCCAAGAGTCGCCGAATCGCGAGAGCTTGAGAACACCCGAAAAACCTCAGCAGGGATCCTTCTCTACAGCCAACGTTCTTTAGCCTCGCCCCTTACACGCTCGGCCTCACCGCAAGCTCCGACTTCCGAGGCAATGGTTTCTGCACGGTTTCCACCTCCTCGGTGCTCCACGCGTCACGCGGTGGCGGTCAGATATGTATTAGAGACGAGTCATAGTCATAATGCTCGGTTCCCCACGGTCATTCCGTTCAACCCAGCTCTGGCCTTCACAGACTTTGAACAAGTCTCTTCGTCCTTACCCCCTGCTCCAAGCATTGATTGTCGACGCATCTCTAGACTCTAGCCGCTCTAGCCGAGTCTTGCCTGTCCTCTCAGCCCATCTGAGCCTAATCGCCCTTTGCCACGCCCTGCGCAGCGCGTCTCGCGCAAGGAATCTGCTTCTTTTCCAGACTGTCATCGCCGGCGATGGCTGGGGAGAAATGGAAACTCAGCTGTCATTGTGTGCTTAGGATGTCCGGTTAAAGTTGTTGGAGTGTGGTCAGAAGCGCTGAAACAAAGACCCTGGATCCCAAGCCAACTTGGTCTTCGTACCCCCAAACCCGCTCATCTTTTAAATCACATGTACGCTACAATTTCTAGAGTATCTTAGGGCCCTAGTGAATGTCCCTTACTCAACTCAAAGCCTGAACCAGAGGCTTCACCCTGTAGAACGCATATTAGAAAAATCTCCCAGCACCAGGCCACCAAAGGCCATCACCTCAACAAAAGCAGGACTTAAAGGAACACCGACTTCGGGAATCTTTACCCTGAAATAGCCTGCCAGACTGTTATATAGAACCCTTGAAGGAAACGTTTGTTTTATAGGAATCCTACACTCTACGTCTCTGAGGCCACGCCCATCATCTTAAGACATCCGGAGACGGCGATCATCTTTATCGGCTCCCTCCTGACTTTGGTCTTCGGCGTGTGCCTTCTTCGAGCCTTATGAAGTCGTGAGTTCAGGGGCCAGGATTTTAGGACTGGCCTTTTACAATAGGGTTGAGCTTCAGGGTTCAGGGATATGGCATCTAAACTTTTGACTTAGGGTTGGGCTTGAGAGGTTAGAGATCAGGGTTTTGAGGGTTGGGGAGCTTCACAATTCAGCTTAGGTGGCTGGATTTTTAGGCTTTCAGGGTTCAGGGTACTGTGGGGCGTGTTCGGGTAGAGGGATTAAGGCTTATGGTGTTCAGGGGGGGGGGGTGCGGTGGAGGGGTTAGGGGCTTCGGGTGCGTGTACGACAGCTCTCGTATGTTTGATAAGGGCAGGGCTCTGGCGGTTCCAGGTCCAAGTTGGGGCTAGGGTCATCGTCTTTGTTTTGGAGGTTTAGGGGTTGGAGCGGCTGATTCTGTGTTCACCGGGGCTGGATTGAAGGGTTCGTGCTGTTGCATGGGAGGGTGACCCAAAGCATCCCGAATCCCCTCTGGCTGCCCCTGAACCACAGAAAAACTCAGCAGGTTTTTTTCTGAGACAAGGGTCTGAAGGATTACAGGAGTCAGCGATTTCGTTAGAGTGCATATATATATAATATATATATATATGTATATATATATATACACGTGTACAGGAATATATCCCAAGTTCTTCCAGTCGTCAAGGCTTTGTGGGTACTACGGTTAACTCAGCAACCTGGTCCCAAGGATGACTCTGCTGGGATTGCTTCTTTTGTGCTTGTTGGGTGTTGGGTCAGAGTTTAAAGTTATTTGACGTTCTCTCCCGCTTCTTCTACTGCTGGGTTTCGACAGCACCCTCCTGCTTGACCAGAACCACAGCACTCAAGACCATCTCGGCAACCTCGAGCCTAGTCCATCTGGTCGGTTAACCTTGAAGTCGACTAACCAGTTTGTTGCAAAGGATCATGTAGACCCCTCATCAATCATCACCGTTTCTGTAAAGGCCCGGCTACGGGGATCCCTCTTATTATGATCCTGGTTACTTAGGGAAGAGGGGTTTGTCAATCAGGGCTCTGCACCCGCAGGAATAATAGAGTCAGGGCTAATAGTGACAGCAGTGAGTAGCACAATGCTGGGAGACGGCTTATTCTGCTTTCGGAACTCCGAAACTCCAAACCGTAAGCTAACCTGTGTAACCAACGACACCTGGGCTTACAACTTCTTGGCAGGCTGAATCTCATCGTGGCCGTGGTCGTAGCTTGCCACATATTTATTCGAGCCTCCAGCGTCGGGCGCCGGATGTGGCATCTGCCAGTGCGATTCCCGTGTAAATATCGTTTGGTATAGTAAAATCCCCAAACCCCAAACCCCTCCAGACTCAAGACGACAGCCTGAGCTCTGATAGGGACTCCAGCATCAAGTCTCCCAAAGGCTTGGATTCTCTTCCGCATCATCATCCTCCCTGTACTTACCTGTTGAATCTTATCTTGGATCCTACAGACCGTGGCCCCAAACCATAAGGGCTGTAGCCCCTGTCCCAGCTGTTTCAATTCCTGGCCTCACGCATGTCCCCAAACTAGAACTGTGCCTAGATATGGGAGTTTCCGAAAACTAGGGGTACCTTGTTTTGGGGTCCTTATAATAACGATCCTAGTATATATTTAGGGCACCATATTAGGTTCCCCTATTTTCGAAAACTCCCATATACCTATTCCCAACCGGCTGCAGGTCGACACCTTTGCAGAAGCTCGCCAGCACGACATACTCAACCTCGCAGCTACGCGGCTGCGAAGAGTTGACCAGCATACTACTTTCGCCTACTAGAACCCGGCAAGATCCGAAAAGAGCAGTCACGTTTTGACAACGAGTGCATAGACGTCGCGTGCCGTGGACTCTTTGAAGCCCTAGACGAGCCTTTTCCCGTACCTGTTAGATCCCTAAAACTCCAACCCTCAATCATATAGAGACCCATCTTCACCCGGTGAACACCGAACAGACATTGGACCAGTGGATTCCCAAAAGTCCGTTGCTGAAAGCACAAAAAGCTTGTAACACTCATGGAGGACTGACAGACCTGTGAAAAGAAACGCTTTAAATGAACTGAGGACGGTAGAAAAGGATGCGATACAGTCCATTCGGAAAACACTTTGCAAAGAAGTTCACTAATACTCCCAAGTCTCGGCCGGACAGAACTGTGCTTGAAACCTGACTTGGATCGTTCCTTTATATGTGTAATTCACAATCATACTTTTTTGTTCATTATTCATGGGGGCGTGCTTTGGCATTCATATATACAGCTGTGTAAATATAAACACAAAGATATGTATATACAAATATATATATATATATATATGTGTATGTATATGTATACACACATAACATATAGAAATAGTTTAGATGTATGTTCAATCTACACATCTGTAACAATCATGTACATATTGTAAAGGGCATGTCCCCAGCCTGAGCCCGACCAGGAAGAGCTGGAGGATGACTTGGAGAAGGACACAAAGCGCCTTGGACGTTCGTCGTCGGAGTGTCAGGGAGTCGGGGCTTGGCGTTTCGGGTTCCTTTTTGGCTTCTCCTCTAAGGGCTTCTAGAAGAGTTTAGTGGCTTCTTGTGGCGGGTTCAGGACTTTTGGGCTGTTCAGGCTTCGGGCTGTAGGGCTTCAGGCTGCAAGGGATTGCTGCGAAGGTCTACGACCATTGTCTGGGCAGTGCAGCGTTTCCTTCTGGTTTGCTATAAAGGCTTGAGTATTGCGACAGTGTTCGGTAGACGAGTGGTTTCGAGTTTCGGTTTCATTGCGTGCAGAACCATGCAAGCGTGAACTTGTGAATCACAGCGCAAGCATTTGTGTGGAATTCAGAGTATGCCGCAGTATGCTTAGGGCTGTAAAGACTCATACACCTTCCACTGCAGACCAACTAAGGCTGTTGTTGGCATTGCTTACCAGGTGGTTGGGCTGTGGCGTAGATAGGGAAACCAGAGTTAGCTCGCACCGGAGCCTCGGCATGCCACAAGCTTCGGCCCAGACAAGTTAAGCTAAACCATAGAAGCCATAGAAGCCCTAAAGCTCAAACCTTAAAGCCCTGCGGGAGGCAAAAAAAGCACTAAACCATGGAATTCTTTTGCCCCAAGCCTCCAACTAAGCTGGTGTTCTGAAGGTTTCTGCAGAAGCTGTTCCAGCGCATCGACAGGGACTGCACAGGGCTTGAGGGGCCTCTAGTCTTAGGGGTGTTTACAAATATTTGTTAGTTTTTGGTCTTTATAATCCCTAAGAGACAGCTAAGATCATAATTTTTTGCTAGTGTTCCAAGTTCAGTATAGTAGTATTGAAGGTTAAGGGGGTGGAGCCTTCACGGCGCAGGGCTTGCAAGGATGGCGGCTGTGTGGGAGTTATGATTGTACTGCTTTAGGTCATAATTTGAAGATTGGGCTTATTGCTGTGTAAAGGTCCCATCAAGGAAAAATGAGGACGCGAATGTGTACGGGTACCGCTGGTGACTTTCACCATCCAAGTTACATCGTAGGAAGTATAGTGTGGGCTTCCTATATCCGGTTTTCGGGTTTCAGCTCTTGAGACTCGTGGGGAAAGGTTTGGGGTAGAACTGATGAAGGGCAGGTTTATGGGGGTTCTGGCTTCCTTCAACTACAACATTAAGACAAGTTGGGCTCCTACACCTGAACTCTTGAAATCTTAGCCCCAAGCCCCACCATTTTTTGGTTGGGCAGGACGGCAGCGGTCGAGTTACGCTTGACGAGCTTATTGAGGGCGCACGCAGCTGGCTCGAACGAGGTTGTTGCTGTAAAGAGGGTTTCATGAATTATTTTGGGTTTGGGGTTCAGGTATTTTCGGCGGTTGCGGTAGATCTCGCTGTGCAAGTTTGTGATTTTTTGTTGAGTCGTCGAGGGGGTTTCTTGAATCAGGGCCGAAAACTCGGAGCAGGACAAGACCCTCCCTGCTATGATTCAATTTTGCCGGGCTGTTTTTGTTTCTCTGACTTCCGTCGCGCCTTTGAGTTAGGACATATGGCTTACATAGATCACATCCAGGATCCTGCTGAAGTAAAGAGCTTCCGGAAATCAGGGCTCTTGGGTTCCCTGGGCTTCTCTGATGCTTGCCTCCCAGGGTTTCGGCTTCACGGGTTAACCTATGAGCCTGAATCATTTGTAGTGCAACTACTCGATAACTATACGCTGTCTTCCTTAGGGCTCAAGTGTCCTGTTATGGTATTGCCAATGCCTCCAAAGGCCCTTTTCAACTTATTAGGGCTCCGTATTCTTCCGTATCTTTCATGGCGGAGTGTGGTCATTGAAACTGAGTGGAAGCCTGGCCATAAACCATTAAACCTATGAAGAACTAGGCCAAGGGTTTCCCATTTGGTCCGTTAGGGAGAGGCTTGAGCAAGGAGCGCTTCAAGAAAGCCCTAAGCCCGAAGCTCAATTTCGTCAATCCTGAAAGCCCTACACCCTTGACCCTAAACTCTAATAGGTTTATACAATACATGTTCCCGAACTTCACGAATGCCACTGTAGCTTGCGAGCCTTGCAGGAAGCTTAAGGAGACCGACATGCTGAGGTCGTAATCAAGCTTCAGGCCGCAGACCTTCAAGCCCCAAGGGTGGCCCCAATTACCTACCAAGTACATGTTGAGGGCTGTACCCTGCAATCAGCTCAAGATCAATACCTGTGACTTTCTATGCTTGGGGATACAAGTAAATCCGACACCCGATCCCCTAAACCCATGCTAAACCCTAAATCTTGGAGCTCAGCTTCATTGCGCTGCCCAATGAAGCCCTAGGCCCAAAAGCAGTCGGAACTGCATCAGCTCTCTCGCCTAAAACCCCGAACCCCCGAACTTCACCAGCTTTGAATTCTGACTCCCGACCGAGGCAAGGATCCTGAATTCCAGAGCCGTCTTCGCGCTTCTCTGCTTTTGCCAAGAGCATCGCATGGGCAGAAAGGAAAGGTTTCTATACTCTTTGTGGTGGGAGCCTAAATATGTAGAAGAGGTTGTCTAGATAGGGTTCCCTTAGAGCCTTAGAGGGTGCAGATGGAGTCAACATCGAGCGGAGGGTTCAGAGTGACTAGCAGGAAGTTTTTTGTTTGACATCGGGGCCTTTAGCATTCACGACCAGCATCGTAGAATAGGGTTCTGGGGTATAGTATGCTCTATTGAAAACGGAACCCTCGGTTGGTAGTTGCTTCCACGGGCAGGTATGACGTCCGAACCTCCCTCTTGGGTCTTGGACCCCCAGCTGGGATAGCGGGACCTCCGAGCTCAGAGTTTGTCTTCAGGTAATTGCTCTTTGCTAACCCAAAGAGAAAAACAGCCTTAGGTTATGGATATAGACGAAGTAGATCTGGAGCAGCTCTTCCAGATGATCGATGTGGCCTGGCCGCCTGAGAGGAGGGGTCATGGGATTTAGGATTTAGGCTCGTTTTGGCCCTTGTTTCTTAGGGCTTTCACTCCTGGGGGAGGGCTAGGTTTGGGTTCCGAGCCTTCGCCAACGAGTCCCTACTCTCCATTCACCAAACTGATCTCGTACTAGTTGGTTATTGGGTCACGCCCATACTCCTTGCCCTAGACCCTCATCGAGCCCCAACCGTGGCCGTGAAAGCTAGGTCCAATTAAAGGCTTCTTCACAGGCAATCAAGCCCTCAGCCCAAACCCACCATTCCCTGGTGTCAATAACCAACTAGAACCCCGACCGCAGAATGAGGGGCTCCGTTTTCGTTTTCATCCAACCATGCCACCCCTGGCATGTCCTTAAGGATTAAGCCTAAACTCTTTCAAGCTTGTTTTTGGGTAATGTAGGAACCTGATTAAGAAACCTTGGGCCTTTATTATGGTTCCTTATATGAATCCTACTATTTTGGATTTTTAGGCCCAGGGTTTCTTAATCAGGTTCCTACATTAGTTGTCAAAATTATGGCCCCTGTTTGGGTACCCTAAATATTTGGTGCCCCAAAAGGGACCATAATTTTGACAACCACCCTTTTGAGCGGACAGAACTGAGGTGAACGGATCTGGCTCTATCGAGGCGTGGGTTGCTGTTGGGGGTTCTGAACACGCAGTTAAGTTATACTGTCCCCGTGTCCTCCTTCTGTAACTATCGAGTACGAGTTAAGCCCCAAAACCCTTTTCTGTAATATGAAGGCTGTGTTGAGGGATTTGGTGTTTGGGGCTGGGTTTACTCGGGGTTTAAAATTTGTTACCTTCGGCCTGAACTACGGACCTGATTTTTTTTTGGGGGGGAGGGGGGGGGGGAGAGGGGGGGGGAGGGGGGGGGAGGCTGTGCCGCAGACGGCGTGGTGAGAACCGTCGCTATTGACACTATTGGCTTCGTGTGTCGCATGTCGTTTGGCATGTGTCCATCTGCTGGCTTCTGATGCGGCTTTTGGGGTTCGCGCGGCGTTTGTGGATAGCATGTGGGCTTTGGCTCTGCGTGTTCGTGATAGGGTGTCTGCAACATGGAGGCATCCAGACCTTGAGAGGCAGAAACGGAGACGCATTGTTTTTGATCCTTTGATAACTTGATCAATGTTACGTGTGTATCTATATCTATGTACATGAACTATATACACAGTCTCTTTATTTAAGACTTGTATGTATGCAGAATCAAAAGAATGAGTTCTATTCGACTTCTCATGATTCTGGCCCCGGAACGCCTGAAGTGGCTACGGGTCCGATGCAAAGCAAACCTTGAGCTCTCCAGTGTCTTGTGAGGTTTGAGGTTGGTTTAGGGGCTTTTGAGGTCCAACGATCGTAGTAAGTTGGGCCCTCAAGCGTGGCTCGCACTGGGCTCTGAAGACCCGAAGCCCCTTACCCTGCTCCCGGGCGAGGCCTCCGACTTCATTTGGCCCCTCAGTCGCTGGGTGCTTGCCTTGGCACGGAGAACTGATTCCTGATGGGCCGCAATGTACACCGTAAATAGCAGGATTCTTGTGAGAAGGATCCGGAAGCAAGGCAGCCTTTTGTTTCAGGAATCCCTATGCCGGAAGGCTCTTCCCAGAGTAATGAATTCATGTGCAAGCACTACAAAATCTTCCATGAACCCTTGTATCATATTCTAACTATACAGGCTCCTGTAGTATGGAGCCCTCACCCTTATAGGACCCGTTGTGAAATTTCACAGCAACCCTTGCGCGAAGCCTGTACAACCCGTGTCACCCTTGACTCTGCACCCTACGCCCCAAGCCCGAAAGCCGTTAAGGAACCCTTTATAGGAACAGTTTAAAGGGAGCCCATCGTACCCTTTCAAGGAGACCCTATTCTAGAACAAAAAAAATTCACCTTACGGGACGCTGAAAGATGAAGCCTTGGCGGCTGCGCCTTCCAGGTGCACGACTCCAAAACCGCGCCGCGCTTCATCAAGTACAACATGTTACCTCTGCTTGCTTCGGGCTTGCGGTTTAGGGTTTTTCGGCTTCGGGTTCATGGTTTAGGGCTGTTGAACAGTGCCTGGGAATTTGGGGCTTAAGGGTTTATTTAGGATTCCACGAAGCGTTAAACAGGGGTTCTGTAGGCTTGTGGTACAGTCATGGCAGGTTGCGGACGATGGAGATGCAAGAGGACAGCCTGTGACCAACGAGTGCTTCGTGTACAGGGTTCACCCCGGGCTGCTAAAGCGCACCCTAACTTTTTGCACACCCGAAGCTTGGGTTTAGAAGCGATTAAACGACCCAGGCTTCCCTATGGCTCCCTGCCCTTTAGTTCTTTCCCCGCAACTCCGGAACCCTTAATCCGTGAAGACCTCCATGAACGCCAAAGCCGGAAGCCCTGAGCATCGAAGCGCCATACCCTCCATCGCAGGAGCTGTATGCGCTGTCCGAGGTGAAGTTCCAGCAGCTGAAGGAGCGGTCTTGTTTGGGCTGTGGGCTTTCGCATATGCGCATCGAGCCCCAGGCCCATGAGATCAGGAAATCGCTTACTATCCCAGTGCTTTATGTTGCAGGCCCCTGGTTCGTAAACTTGCGAACCTTAAACAGGAGGACAGCACGCCTAGCCGGTTTCTTTGAGTTAATGAGCATTTGAATATTCTGGCACCTGGGCAATAGAGGAGGGCTTTATGAATCGTGGCTCTACATTACTGCATCTCCGAGAACTCAGGTTGAACTACAGCCCGGGCTTCTCCGATGAAAATGCTCCAAGAGAGTGTTAGCCTGGTTTAGGCTTAGTGTAGCATGGGGTTCATCGTCTGTTTTAGCACTGTGCCGAGCGTTTTCGCGACAGTTTAGGACTTTCTGCCGCGATCCATGTACTGACTGCTACTTCCTAATGCATGCAGTGGGGTTTGAATGTGTTTGAAGATGATTGGCAGTGTAGACCTTACTTATCAGACCCCCTGGACCCTGTAAAACCGCATCAGAACTCGGTGTAGACTGCGCAAAACAGCTCAAAGATTAGGTTTCGGGCTTTGTTTAGGGCTGGTTGAAAAATGCCATGAAGCTTTCTAAGCTGTTCAACCCTCATCCTGAGACTCCGCAGCCTACAGCTCACCGTTGTTAATAATTACTGTTGGTGGATGGAGCCTGCTTTGCGGACGAGGGGAAGCGTCATCACTCCTAGAGATCCTCAACAGAGACACCCTTCACTGGAGACGATCTTCAAAGGCTCCAACTACCCCGCTTAGCACTTTAGGAAAACTACCATGATCTCAGGTACATTCATTCATTCAAAGCTTGTGGAGTCTCTGGGTCTGAACCGACATTCCCAAAGCCATCAACCCTAAACCCGAAACCCACACAGCACCCAAGCTCAGAAGCTAGTACCCTCATAGTAACCCCCTTTTGGAATGAGGAACCCTTAGAGGGACCTCCGGGTCAGGAGCAGATAGACCATCTGACGCTGACGTTAAAAGGGCGCAGCCCTGGCAACAACTTCGAGAGACTTGGATGCTGATGTTTTGCCTAGAGTGAGTTTTTTTTCGGCTTCAGAGCTTAGGGTTCATATATTGGTTGCATTTAGTCCTAGCAGGGGTTCTATCTGGGTTTGTTCCTTTCAGGGTACTATGCGTCTACACAGGGTTTTTTAAGGCTTCTGACTGATAAGTTTAACACTTGGACCTCGACACCCGGTTGGAGCCCTAAGTAGACGACTTGTGTGGATCCCAGCCTGCCTTGCGCAGAAATGCGAGAGTCGAACTCCAAAGCCCGCAAAACCCAAAACGGTATGTAGCGCCGCAGTCATCAGGGTTCGGGGCGCTAAAATCAATCTCTGCTTAAAGATTGTAGCGGAATCGGCCCTACAGCCCTATTAGCCCCCAAGCCTGAAACAAAGGGCAAACCAAGAGTCGAAGGAAGACCTCCACCACACTGTCAAGGGCTCTTCTCCGCACACGTTTAAGAAGCTTGACATTGGGGGCTTGGGTGTTCAGGTTTCCGGCCCTCTTCTCTGGCCTGGCTACGCATCAGATTACGAGTGGGTATCGCACTACAGTAGAAGCCAGAAAGTTGGAATATCTTTATCGTAACCCCTTTAAGGTAAGTTACAGGGGATCCTACCATTAATCCATATTCCAACTTTCTGGCTTCTACTGTAGGATGGTAGGCTCGAGTCTCGAGTTGCCCAAAGAGCCCAGTTGCCCAGGGATTTGTCGGTGCTGACTCCGCCCGACTCGGCAAGAGACTTCCGGCCGCGATTTTTTTGGCAGTGTAGGGTCATTCGGGTTTGGGTTTTCGGTCGGTGCCACTGGGTATGGGTGGTTCTACTCCCAGAAAGTTCAGACATGGGATGAGGATGCTTATCTATGAGATATCTTAAGCTGAACCACCACTGCCACGCCTTAAATAGGGCGTCAGGAAAGTGATGTTTCAGCTTCCTGGGTTCTACTCTGAGGCATGCCAGTATCCGGCCGTGGTTTGGGGAACTCAGGTTTTCTTGCCCGAATTTCAGTCTAAGCAATAAACCCCAGCACGGAAGACAGTCAATTTCGTGGTCAGTTTATTGTTCAGAGCCTCGGAACCAGCCAGAGTTCAGGGATGTCGGAGGAGGAGGATGGTTTCTCAGGTTAGAAATTCAGAGAGTGAAGTCGCCGAAGGCCCATTGAAAGAAGAAAAAACAAAGACACGGGGCCTTGTTCCGGATCTGGCCACCGTACCGACTACAGCCCGCTTCCCTTGGCGCGGATTACAATGGGTATCCCATCGACGCGGTTCCAAGTTTTCTAGAAGCCTAACCTCCGAACTCTAAAGGCCTGCGACTTGCAAGGCGGCAGGCAAAAACACTCTAAAGCCTCTCGTCCACAAGCTTTGCTGGCAAATGGGCCTAGCAAGGTGGCACGTGTACGGGGTTTACGCCGTCCTAATCCTGAAAGACCCTTGCAGTCTTGGTTAGGCTATCTTGTGCCCAAAACCTTGATTTAATCATGCGGGTCTCTACACTAGGTTGTTGTTTTGTTGTTTGTGTCTTTGAAACGAGGATTCCTCGAGCCCTGCGATCCGGATTCCTATTCCTTTCGAGGCCGCTGGGAGACTGGGAGTTGAGCCGTGCTTTTTCTCCGATGGTTTTTGAGGGTTTAGGAGCTTTGGTTCGGAGTGCAGAGCTTTCTTGAGATGTTGTGGCTTGTGGAGTTTCGGATGCATCATCGGATGTTGCCTTGCAGCTACTTCTTCCCCACAGTGCGACATTGACAGCTAGGCAGGCGGCCAGGACTTCGAGGCCTCAAGCCTCAAAGGCCACGTCAGCTAGCTGTCAAAGTCGAGCACAAAGTCTTGCGCTTGCGATTCATTGTTTGAGGCAAGCTTCAAGCAAGAAAAGAGGGTTTCTTTATCGCAGGGGCGACTATGTTCCGGACCCGCTGTGTTTCGTTTCGAGTTCCGTAGTCCATTTGTCCGAAGGAAACCTAGACGTTGCGAGCGGGGTTGCTATTGCTCAAGGTTCTTCGAGTGGGTTATCGAGTCTTTCGGGTTCAGGTCGTTCGGCTTCTTATGAGTTTATGGGTTCCTTAAAGGTTCCGTCATTGCACTTTCATACCCCAAAGCCCTATTCCTGTATGGGTGGTTGTCAAAATTGTGGTCCCTTTTTAAACTTTTAGGTACATTAAATAATAGGTGCGACCTTATTTTTGACAACTACCCATATGAAAAGCTCTGAGATGACGAAGGACATTGGCGCAGCGGACGCTCCGATCCTCGAGGAGCGGTTTGCTTGCTTCGGATTAAGCTAGGACGGTTTGGGGGTCGAGGGGTTTTAGAGGGTTTCCGGCCGTTTTAGGGACTGGGGTCTGAAGGCTTGGAGTTTTGGGGTAGGGTTTTGGACATTTTTTGGACTGTGCAGGGGCCCTGGGGTTCAGGGTCGGGTGTTGATGGCAGAGAGCGCTTGATTGTAGTGCCTGCGCTTGGCTTAGGTCTAGGTCTCTATTTTGTATTCGAGATTTGATTGGACTCCAATTCCCAAACCCTGTGCTGTAAACCGTCCAAACATCAAGTCCCAAACCCATCCCGGAATGTTTATCGGAACCCCTAACACAGAGTCCGAAAGCCTCACCCTGCATACATCAATATCTCATGGAGTTCTTTTTCAGATGTCTCGTAGAACCTGACCCTTAAGTGCGACATCCTGAGAAGAAGTTTGGCTCTAGATTCTGCACAGCATGTAACAAAGGGGTTTGCAGTCCCGAGGCTTCAGTCTGGGACATGCCTCCGTGCTCATAGTCCACAAACCTCAAGCCCATGTAGGGAGAGAGAGAGAGAGAGATCGACAACATAAACCTGCAATCTGCGAAATTACGACAGCAAGCAACCACCGCGAACCTGGAGCCCGAAATTCATTCGGGGGTGTCTGAAACCTGCAACCCCACACCTGGAACCGCGACGAATGAGAAGGAGCTGCCAGCCGCTCCTGTTCTTTCGTTGCCTGAGGCTTGCCAGGGCACGGACATGTCAAGCTGTAACAGAGCCCTAAGGAATAACATCGGTAATCTCGGGATGTCTTGGGATCTCTATGGGACTTTATTGCAGAAGCAAGTTGGATCATGGCTGCCCTGCACTCCCCAGCCCCAACATGGGCTTGCAAGACAGGTCTGTCTCTCACGAACAAGAGGCTGGCCTAAAGGCCCAAACCCGCAGTTCTAAGTCCTGAACCCCACTCCAGCACCGCCTCCCAAACCTAAGCTCCGAACTAATCGGAGAGACATGGCCCTCGGCCCAGAACTCCGAAGGCAACGGCGAAATTCTGCAGTGTAATGCCACCGCCTGAACACTCACGATTAGATTGCAAACCGTCTGCCTAGTCTCGCTACTCTAGTCAGGGTTGCTTCTTGTAACAGTACGGTATTGTTAAGGCCCCTGCATTAAAGGCTCGGCTAGACCATAAGCCGAACACCCTTACGCTTGCCCCCCTCTCGCAGCCTAGCTGAGGCCAGGTTGTCTTGAAAGGTTCTGGCTGCATGGGCATCACAACGGTTTTGTAGTGATGCACAGATTGCAGTAATAAGCAATAAGGGCTCTAGTGGGATGTTATACGGTTTCATACTGGTATCAGAAGCGCTAAGCCCTCAACTGTAGGGTCTGAAGAAGCTAGCCACAAAACCGTGTTCCGGGTTTGCTTCAACCCTAAATAAGCCATTCCAGCCTGGAGCAAGTGTGTGTGAGTCGAACTAGGCCTATCCCCTTAGTACAGTATCCTTAGTATAGAGGGGTTACTCAGGAATAGGCTCATAGGGTCTTAGAAGAGTCAGCCACTGGCAGGAGCGGGGCCCCCCCGAGCCACCAAAGAGTGCGCAGAAGGTGGCGCTGACACAGGCACCCGGGGTTGTAGGGGTTTGAGCTTTAAGGCTCTTCTGAGCTGCTGGGGTTTATGGTTTAGGGGTTTTGATTTCGGTTTCTGGCATATGCATAGTCCAGGTGTAAAAGGGATTTTGATCTAGGAGATCTAGGGGCTTAATTAGGGTTTTACTATGGGGATCAAAAGCGGGGGCTTGTGTGTGGGAGGACGACAATACTCTGAATGACGATCACAGTCACAATCCTTGGGCAGCTCCTGCAAGCTCTTCGTAAAGCCTGCTGCCACCCAAACACCCCTACAAACCGACACTAGGTCACTCAGCTTCCAAAACCCAAACTGCACGTCCCCAAGATTCCCCAAGGGTCAGAAAACGATGCAATCTCCTGGGTCGCCTGTGTGGTGGTCGTGGTCGCCCTGGTTTCTGGTCGTCGTGATGGGGTCCCAGTGCTCGTTGTGGTCTTGGTTGCGCCATTATGCTATTTCTTGCTTTCGCTCAGGAGAATCCAAGCAACACCAGAGTTCCTACCCCGTTTCGCTCCTACAAGCAGCCTAAGCCCTCAAAACCACAGACTCACCTAAATCCTGAACTTGAAGCCCTTAGAAAAAGAACCCGGTATAGACGCTTGAATAACGGCCGATACTATGCCTTCCTACACATCAGATACCCAAATCCCCATCCTACTATGAATCCAGGGCCTTATATTACACCGTTCCACTAACCGACACATCGCACATCCTGCAAGCACTACAGCAGAGCCCCTTTTTTGGGGTCCTTGCATAGAAGCCTAAACTCCTGAGCCCTTACTTCATTGAGTCCTCAGAACCCTAAACCCCTCAACCCCAGAAAGGTAGAGCCTTAATCCTAAACCCTAGAATCCAAACCCTTTACCCTCAAGCCTAAACCTTTAACCCTAGACCTTTACAGTCCGAACCCTAAACTAATCCGTAACCCTAAACCCTATACCCTAGACCCTAAAAACCCTAAACCCTTAAGTTCAACCTTGCTCTTGAGGGCGTCTTTGGCAGCTCGGTCAAAGAGGCCAGAGCTGTGCTTGGGGTTACAAGAGTTGGCTTTGAGGATGTAAAGCATGTAGAGACTAGGGTTATAGTGACCCCAGAAAGTTGGAACATCGATTTAGGAGGATTCATGCTGGGATTCACTTGACTTTACTTTAAGGGCATGAGGCTACTGATGTTCCAACTTTCTGGCTTCTACTGTATTGGGGTTTGGGGCCGTTGAGGGTTTGGGGGCGGGGGGGGAGGGGTTCGGTGGGATTTAGAGTTAGGGCTCAGGGTTCACAATGCCCCAAACTCGTAAACGCAGGAATGCTTCAACCCCCGAAAGTCCTTGAAAGACCTGAGTAGATTGCGCAACAACCGGTACCCTATGTCCTTGTGCCTCATCCTGCCTATGCCCTAGCATGCTACAGCATAGTACCCCAAAGCCCTACCCGAATCATGACCAACACCCCACACCAACAATTCAGGCCCTTATGTAAAGCAGGACCCTGCCTTGGTTAACCCAACCCTAGAGGCCCCAAGCCCGAAGTTCTAAGTGAGTCTCTCCATGCTATGGAAGCCAAAGTAGTTACCAATATTATTCCTCAGAGGCTCCTTGCTATAACTATTCTATAATATTTATAAAGGAGCCCCAAAACCCTCTTTCACCCCCCATATTGCAGCACCCTATAGATCCCTTAACCCTATTACCCTAAACCCCAAACCCTATTACCCTAAACCCTAAACCCTATTCCATTTTATGAAGGCCTCTACCGGTACCCCCCACGGGGCAAAGCTCCAGGTTGAGGCGCTCCTTTTGGCATCGGAGGCCCGGCTCAAGCGGTCGATGGCGCCTTGGCGTGCCATCAAATTCGGCATCATACGAGAGTTTCCGAAAATTAAGGGTACCTTGGTTTTTGGGGGTTCTTGTAATAAGGATCCTACTACTTGGGGTACTGTATTATTATGGTTCCCATTTTCGGAAACTCCCATATGCGGCATCATACGACGACTTCTAATTCTAGTACTACTACTGCTACTACGACGACGACTACTGCTACTGCGACGACTACTAACCAAAAATTAGCCGGTTCTTACTACGGCTGTTTTCTCGTATGGTTACTGTTATTACCGTCATTCTTTAAGTAGTATATTTCTTGAAAACCTGCTTCACTAGTATTGTTGCTCCTGACCGCTGTGATTGAATATAGGTATGCATACATATATGTATATGCACAGGTATGGAAATAATGTGTATATATATACACATGTATTTATATGTCTGTATGTACGACTGTACATAAATAAATAAATAGATAAATAAATAAATAAATAAATATATATATATATATATATAGACAAACATATAGAACTCTGCTCGTTGTTGTCGCTATTATAGCTGTTATTGCTGTTAGCTTTATTGTTCGCCTTGTTGTGGGGTTTTGAGGGTCTCGGCTGGTTTTGGGCCACTTGGTTCGGGGCTTCGGGGTTTCAGGGTTTGCGGTGATACATCTGCCCACGCACACCTTCAGACCTGATAGGGTTTTCAAGACGTTGTGGGTTCTTAGTATCTGATCACAAAGGGGATTGTGTGCTGCAAGGCTCGGACTAGCAAGTGCTTGGTCAGATGTAGGGTTTGAGGGCTTATTATACAGGCGCAGATATAGCACCTAAGGCGGCTTGACAACAGGTAATTACTCCAAGCCTCTACACCAGAAACCCTGAACAACCCCTCGTACAGCCACCCACATGCAACTCGCCTACGTCCTCTATTTCCAGATTCAAGAGCTCCCAATGACTTTACAAGTGGGCTCATCCGTAGCAGCTCCTTGTTATTATAGTGTCAGATACAGGGTACTGCTGCACTGTTACACTGTGCTTTTGTCTCTTAGCCCGAAGTCCTCCTGTGCAGGCTTGTACGGTTGAGGTTGTTTTGCGTCTAGGCTTCAGGATATCGTTATTCTTGGCCGGTCATCTAAAGCAAGAGAGATCCTTGCACAGTTCACTCTAATGTTTGTGCGCACTGAGGCGAAGATTGAGAATGCCATTTCGGAGCTGCCTCACACGCCACAGCCGCAGCTGCTGCAGCCGAACGCGGGCACGGCCTCGCACGAACTCCAGGCTGCAATGCCTGGGCTGGTTGGGGTTCGGAGTTTCGGGCAGAGGTAACGGTGATAACGTGACGACTCTAGGGTGACGGTGCCGGTTCACTACCGAAGATGAGGACACCAGTCGTAGGGTCGTGTCGAGCATGACCAGAAGGGTCCAAGCCAAGTTCACAGATTGTAGTGGCGGTCGCCACAGCATGGGCAATGATGCTTATGATGCAAGTCAATATCGTCGTCGCGGGCTCGTTCTTGTATGGCCTTGGATAACTACCGTTAGGAGTAACTTCCATGATGGCTGCCACCACACTGCCATGCCTGACATGCCCAGAACACGAATGTAATGCAAATTGTACCTATCGCCATATATTTTTGATTCGTTGGCCATAGTGTACATGTTTGTAGACGTTTGCCTATGCTCGTGTAGAGTATATTCATACAGTAGTTGTTACTGGGCATGACATAGTACTCAGGCCTTTGTTACGAAGCCAAGTCCCATAAAGCTTTCTCCAGGCAGGCTGGACGAGATCCATGCAGAGGTTGGGGGCAGGGGTGACAGGGGCTCCCCTGTTCAAGGGCTCACAGGCCCTGATACCGGGGCTCGAGTAGTTGTCGCAAGTACTCAATTTCCGGGTTCTCATTTATTGCATACAGACCCCGAGTTTCTTGCTTTCGGGGCTGGGGTTTTAGGCTTGCGGCTGCTCCTCTGTTCGTCTCGGATGTTTGGCTTCTGGAAGGATTTGGAGGCCAAGGTGATTGCAGGAGTTTAGATGTTCGGATTGAGGTTTAGTTGCAGGCTTTGTGGTTGCTTGGGTTTGGAGAACGGACGTTGGGCTTTAGAAGCTTAGCCTCCGGTCCAAGCTACGACAGCACAAGACCTGATTATTCTACCTCAAACCATGTGCAGGATCCAACCATATCTTCGGCAGGCCCCCACCCCCACCCCCACCGGCTAATAGTGACCTCAGGTGTGCATGATGATTTTCCATGAATTAGACTCTTTCAATGTTCCCATCGTGCCGCTCTAATCTACACCGAAGGGGCGACTAGACTCGTAGATCCTGCCGCGTCGAAGGCCACCGCAGGCCCACAAGCCACACATGAAGCCAACGGATGCCCTGAAGCACTCGGATGCTTTCCGGTCGATGCAACCTGGATGGGGATGAAACCTGCAGGCTTGGTAGTTCAGGGAGTCGGATACTTCAGGTTCTACGCTAGCCGCCCTCACCCCTAATGCCTGCGACCAAAGACGCGCGGACTCCAAGACCCGAAAGATCGAAACCAAAGATCCTAAACCCTTACCCCGAGTGTGAGAGCGTAAACCCTTACCCCCCAATTCTGAGCAGTGCTGTAGCTTTTGAGGTCCCTGTTATGGGTGCTACAGGGTCTTGCCGGGTCACATAGCAAATCATAGGGACATGGGGTATTGCCAGGGTCCTTAATTGTAATGCAAGGATTAGTTCTTAACAAGGACAGAATTGGGCTGCTTGGCTTCAGGACGAAAGGCGTTGGGCTCTTTGCCAGCTTGCTTTCTGCTATTCTATCATTAAGACTCCAATGGAGGGTTATTATGCGCAATCGCATTCCGTGTATCCCGCTTACATAGTTATACTGTAGTATCCTCCTCTTAAGCCCAATTTTCAGTATTGATGGCAATTTATTTCCCCTTAGATGTGGGAGGTCTGATCATGCCCGTGATTTTCTCACCGGTGCCGACATCCGGATCCCGAGCCTCACGAAAAAGTTCCTACCGTGCGGGATGGGGTGCTGCCAAAACCCGAGGTACATGGGGCATGCGGAAGCTTGGCTTCAAAGGAGCCGACTGTGATTCCTTTCAAGAGGGGTGGTGCCAGAGATGTAATGATCACCCCTCGAAGGATAATCCTGAGAGAGGCGGCTTCGTCTATCGCGGGTCAACCTACCATTAATCAGTTTTGTGCCATTTTCTATGTAGCTTAGAGACTAGGGTAGAGACCAGGGAAACATTGGGCTCCTGTTGATTGGAGGTCCTGAAGCTTCCCGGAGCCACAGACGTGGCCTGAAGCCTAAAGCCCCCAAACCATGAACTGGTAAGCCCTAAGAGCTACACCATCATCGGAGTCTAAGATGGATCAACTGGGGTTTAAAGTCTAGGGTTTGGAGTGTGCCCTTGGCATATGCTTACCATGCTGTTGAGTCCTTGGGCCTTGCTGCCTCTGCAGCGGGTTCAGGGTGTGAGGGCTTCGGCTGTCAGGCTCATGCTTTGAGGTTCTAAGCTGTGGGATTGTGCAGTCACGAGTGCTGCAATGCTTCACGTCGACGTCTGTTCCGGGCGAGAGACGCCTGCTGCAAACGGCTAGGGACTTTAATTACGATTCGGCTGCATTAGGCGGAGAGGCTGCTGAACTGTTTTACGACATCCTCAGGAAACCCCGTCAGAAGCCCTACAGAGACCCATAACACTGCAAAGGAAACACAATCAACAAACCCCAAAGACCCTTTAAAGCATTCACACGAACTAAACCCTCAACCCTATACTTCATACTTCAGGCATAACTTTACAAAGCAAGCTCTGCTGAGGCCAAAGGCAGCGGCAATCGGAGATCTCTCCTTGCCGAGGTTGGAGGGCTCCGAGATGGCGCTGGGTTTTCTAGAGTCGATATCTACATATGTATGTGTGTATATATATATATACACACATGCACATATATATATATATATATATATATATATATATATTTATAGAGAGAGAGAGAGAGAGAGAGAGAGAGAGAGAGAGAGAGAGAGAGAAACGCTCAACACGACGGGGGGCCCGAGGGCGTTGACCCGCCCTCATTCCCAGGAGAGAGAGAGAGAGAGAGAGAGAGAGAGAGAGAGAGAGAGAGAGAGAAAAAAAACACTATAGATAGATTACAGTTTACGGCGTTGGGGGTTTGGGGTTTAAATGCGGTGCATGGAATGGAACCAGGCCCCTACTGTCGAGTTGACGGTCTGCATCCGTCATAGGGTGTTTGCTGGTCTCTCAGGCCCCAAAATTTGGAAGGAGATCGGCCTATTTTGTGAAAGCACTTCTGACAGTGAAGAAATGCAGAGGGCAGCTTCCGAACTTGACTAAGCCATTTAAGCAACAGCTCTTAACCTGACGTCGTGATCGAAGATCAGCACCATGCCAAGCCTTTGGAGGACACGGCAGAGGAGTTGGCAAGAACACACCTGCGCACATTCTCGCAGCCAGCGGTGCCTTGATGTGAAAAGATAGCCTCAGCCAGCCGCAACCTACTGTCTGTTCGGTTTTGGCAGCAAGACTCGTTCTGATGGCTCCTCAGCATGCTGTTAGGAAGAAAGTCCCCCCAAGTTCTAAAGTGCACCGGGTTTCCTGTTGGCCCAGGAATCGCTGGTGATGAAGCAGCTGTCCGCGCGTCCGAAGAAGCTACGTGCCAGTCTTGCTTAGCATTTATGCGAGTTCAGTATTTACTTACTTGAGACCGCAACCCTGAACCACAAATTTGTGGTGTTGTGGACATTCTACAGTGTTGTCGACTTACGGGGCGAGCTTTTCTGGGACTGGATGTTGCAATAGAGAGTGTAGTTCAGGATGGCTTAAGTTTTTTGGCTTTGCATGTTTCGGGTTTCAAGTTTAGGAGTTCAAAAGTTTAGTTTTGGCATGTGGGTGTAAGCTTTGTGGAGTTCTCCACACATGTTCTGGTGTGATTTTGGGGACCAGGGGCATGGGCCTGCGCATGCCTGTAATTAAGACCATTCAGGATTCAGAGCCCATAAATGTCTAATCCTAAACGCTGACCCGTTAGACGTGAAATCCCAACTGAAGAGGTGGTTTAAGAAAGCCAGGGTTTCTGTTTCTAGGACCGTGCTTGGCGATCACACCATTGGTCCAAGGGCTTTTAGGGTTTGCGGTCTAGCACATCGCGTAGTGCGGCGCTGGCATTCCTCATGTCCAGGAGTAAAGAAAGTTCTTTTCGACGAGTCCAGGAGACATCAGCAATGTCGAAGGTAGCTTTCAATAGCGGGGCTGTGGGTTGGCCACAGCTGGGAGACTCTAGGCAGGGGAAACTGTTCCATAAAGGTTCTATATCCAAGTTCCCGACCGATTCGGGCTGGCAACGAGCGTGCTTTGGCCAGTGTACATGTCGAATTGCTCGCGGTATAGTCATTCTGCGGACGGTGCCGAGAGTACGAACGCATGTTAAGGCCTAGAACACTCAAATCGAATCGAGTTCCAAAACCGGAAGATTCAATCGACAGCCTTCTTGTGCCCTTCAGCCTCCACCTTAACCGCTTTCACCTTGCAAAACCTCAATCACCAGATCTTTCTGCAGCTGCTTTATGGGAGATCGCTACTTGGCAGCCGCGACGCCGTACGCCCTGAACCTGAACCCGTAGAGGGAAGAGTGTCCTGTCATCGGTTCCATCTGGGGAAGACGTAGAGTTGACAAGTTGAGAGCCTTGGGGCTCGCAGAGCCATGCTCGGAACCGTCCAACGCAGAATTTTCTTTCACTGTGGCTGTCGCTTTGGACGGCCTGAATACCACAGCCCTCCATGCCGTACGGTATGTTCGAGGGCCAAGTTAGCCAGCTGCTTGTGAAACTCACTTCGACATCCGAGGGTTTGGGAACCCCAAGCCCCCTAACCCCTAAACCCAAGTCTCGTCCAGAAAAGGCATAGTGGCTCTTCGAGGATGTCGTGCATCAACCGCACTCTTCCGCAAATGAGCTCCTCTCAGGAGAGGAGACGCGGTTCCGAAAGTGGGGGGAAGCTAAAAAGCTTTCCGGCTGCTGCCAGCATCGAGTCCTTTGGCTCCTAAACCCACGGCCCTAGCCCAGGTCGATACTGTACGGCTGGCCCTTGCAGCCAGGACATCCCTCGATTCACCTTGAAAGGAAGATTGTTTCGTGGGGGTAGTGCAAGGGCACACTGGCAGCCTGTTCCTCGTCGTACTTCGGTAAGCACGGGTCTCACGGCTTTTCCACCGTGCTGACGGCAGCGCAAGCCGCCAAATGCGCGCCAAAGCAGTCGAAAAAGGCAGACATGACAGCAGCAGCAGCAGCAGTGACAAGTGTGTGTCTGCCTGGGTCTGCTGCTAAACCCGCCGCTGCTGCGGGGTTTTTGTGCCGCTGTTGCTGCTCCCTACTATCGCTGCTATTGGTGATTCCATGTGCGACAAGACCAGTGCTACACCAACCGTCCAAGAGGTCATGTGAACAAGTCAAGCTTTCCAAACTTGAAGTTTCTGATCATGATAATGACATTCAGTAGGTCAGTAGGTGAGTGCCAGTACCCGAGTATCTCACAATGATAACGATTCACAATGCTGTTGGTGAGCCTGCCAACATGGGGTGGTCTCTTCATGGTCTCACGAACAGCAGTACGTGCTCTACGGTCGTAGTCATGTTCGAAAGAGTAGTGCCTTGGATACAACTTCATGCCGGTGTCAACTGCAATGCTAGCAGCCGTCGAAACTAACGCGAGCGTAGCGATGCCTGAAACAGACACTAAAGCAAAGCCCTGAGATTGGCAGATTGGCTCCTCCACCGATGTGGAAGCAAATCCTAGCCTTTTCCAGTGGTTTCGAGTTCTATTGCGAGCTTGAAGCATGAAGCCAGGAAGCCTAACTCCGAGACCTCCCCAGGCTTGTCTCAGTTGTGAATCCTGAAACATGATGAGACCTTGTTCTTCAGCAGAAACTACAGAGCCCCCCTAAGCTCTTTGGAAGGGACTGCGATGCCCGACGATCAGCCGTCCACTTCTGCTGTCCGCGGCTCCGATCTAAGCTGGGTTCTTTTGGGCGTCTTTGGGGTTCAGGTCCACTAATACGATTGATGATAATGGTACTGTTAATAATTGAAGCCAGTTTTTACCATTATCACAACTAGAAGTAGTATTAATAGGAAGTTTTGCTCTCCTGCCCCTGTCTTTAGTGTTTCTGCGTCATGCATACCAGTTGCTAATATGGTGTCATGTATCAGGCAGGCATGCAACGAAGAAGTCCCCTGCTCTGAATACGCAATTCAGGTGGGATCCATATCAGGAACCTCAATTCGAACTATGGGTTTCACCTTCGTTTCTACCTTGCTGTAGACCAGTGATCAATGAACCGCATTTCGTAGAGACCTCAGTGCAACGGTCCCGGAAGATACAATCCCTGTAAGGTGTTAAACAGGATCTGCATTATCTGGTTTTAGTGGCTTCGTGTTGAGCTTTTGGAGCCTTTCTGAGAAAAGGTTCGCTGGCTTGAGGCATGCGGGCTAAGCTCGTGCAGCACTTGTTTGTGTGTTCTATGCATGTTGTTGTAGGTCTGGCGTATGGGTTTGAAGGCTTGCTGGCTCGGTTTGAAGGCTTGCTGGCTCCCATTCCCAGCCGATTTCCGGACGGCACCTTGTTGGAGGAAGGGGTGGTTTTTATGGCCACCCCTGCACTGTCCATGTGTTTGAGGTTCAGATTTCGGCATGCCTGGATGACCATACACTTCTTGGTACACACAACCCATCTTGCTAGCCGAGACAATGAACATTACTGAATCCTATAAACCTTAGTTCCAAAACGCTCAATATCATCCCTCAGCCCTACACCTTAAAGCCCGCAACTCCGGAAGCTCTAAAGAACTCGAGCCTGAGGTTTGCATCGTAGGGTCAAACCTCGGCATCACGCTGGGCATCGTGCTTGCCGGCCAGGCACGCCTGGCGGAGCACAAGAGCCCTAAAACCTTGCGCGAGCCTTCATCTCCCAAACTCCGTAAACGCCGGAAAATCTAATATGTTCCCCAGACCTTCGCTGTTGATGTTTCTTATTCTCGCTATCATAATTACTATGGGTATGATCTTCATGTTCGTGATTTTTACAGCTTGCAAGGTCGTATTTACTATCCATCGCTCCGAGCTTAGTGTCATGTGTTTTGCAGCCGACTGGACCAGGATGTTTGACGGCAGTTGGGATGCTGGGCTGTGATCATGTTACACAGTGCAAAGTAGGACCTGATCATTAGAGAAGCGGCTTGGTATAGCACAAAGTCTACTTTAACGGGGGCTATGCGGGCATACTATCGCTAACCCCAAACTCTAGACGCAAATCCTAATTATGTTTGGGTTGACCTGTAAGTAGCATGAAAGGCCGGTCTCACTGGAAGAAGAAAGAATGCACACACTTCAGGATCCACCAGAAGGTGCTCTTTCAGAATGTCTCCTTTGCAGTCTGCACTGCACTTTCGCAAAGCATCGCCCGAAGATTTGTTTAAAGCTAGAAGCCATTGTGTGAGTTCCCGGGAGCGTGGTGAGCTGGAAGCTGATCCAGATCCGGCATTCCGTCGTTTTGCTCCAGGGGATGGCAGGGCAGTGGCAGATAGATCCCCAGCACGTGGAAGCCTCGTTGGTTGCTTTCCTAAGCCCCAAACTTCAGAACCCGAGACGCTAAATCCCAAACTTTGCCGACCAAGTACACAATGCCCGAGCTTCTCCCATGTACCCTAAGCCCCATAACCATTCAACCGAAGGACCCAGCCCACCGTTTTAAGCCACATCACCTTACACCCGAACGCCTTTTCACCCAAAGTCCCTGAGCATCTCATCCTGGGTTGTCCTTTGGGGTCTTTTTAAATTTCCCCCTATATACTACTTTGTAGAGAACCATAATAGTAAATAATTTTCTAAGGGCTTACAGGACAACTCAGCATCATGTTGCCCATGTTTCCGCGGTGCTGAGCTGAGCCTCGACTGCCTTTCTCTATCCTCGGAATCTTGAAGCTCCAGGGTTTAGGGTCAGGGAGTTCCTGAGATCTTAATGGGCATCGTCTTGTCTACGATTCCACACACTTATACACAAACACACACACACACACATATATATATATATATATATATATATATGATATATTGTTATAAACACACATCTGTATCTAAGTGTCCCTAATCTTCTGAAGCTCCACTCAGATATCGGGCTCAGGATTCACCGTTTCTTGCTCAAGCATATTAGGCGCCACCCCTTGGGCTACTGTTATTTTCGCATTGAGGCCTTTTCAAGCTAGCATGGTAGCAGGAGAGCCCCGTACCCCTTTGTTGAGGAATACAGCTTGAAGTATAGTGGGCTTACTAGCTTTGATGCAAAGTATTTTCCTTGATTACGAGTGCTGGTTTTCGAGGAACCTAAATATCAAGCAGCTGTGAAGTCGTCGAGCCTACAACTGCAGACCTTGCCAGGCTTGTCCGAGTGTGAGAGTCAAACTATCAAACATGTGTCCCAAACTGAGTGGTTTATTGCTAGAGTAGGATCCTAACCAAGAAGAGGTCTAAGTAGATTGCCGTCAGTAAGGCGGCCATGATTGGGTCGGACATCCGCAGCGCAGCGAAGACCCAGCATCACGGCCTCAGTGTTGCTAGTTTCCGATTTCGGGCTTACCGTCATTTTCTGCAGCTTGTCGAAGACTTCACTTTTCACTTGTTGTGCGTTTGTTTTTGGGGTTTGCCTGTTCTGCGGCATGATGAGGGAGCTTGCAGGTCTTGCTCCTTTTTCAAACTGAATTTCGCACATAAACCGATAAACCCATAGGAAGCTTTGGGGCTCTACTTTTAGCATCCATCCCTAGTTTTTACCTCCTCCCTTTGGGGAAGGGCGCCAATATCAGGATCCCGGTTATAAGCACTATTGTGGGAGAGGGGTTTGTTGGTCTATTTTTGACAAGGGAAGGCCCTAGATAGAGGGACCCTTTTTCTAGAAAGGACTTGCATAAGGGTTTCACGAGTTACAAGTTACAGAGCTACCGTAGGGTTAAGGGTATGTTTGCAAAGGCAGAAGAACATTGTTGCGATTCTGATGGGGGCGCATCTTCGCAAGCAAATAGCAGAACTTGCCCGCTTGGTGTGAAGTTTGGGCTTTTGTTGAAGTTTAGGAGACCACGAGATACCGAAAGCGATCTTTATGGTGCCAATCGAAGAGATTGAAATCTCAGGGCTTGTAGGTCTGGCTTAACTATGCAGAAAAGTTAGCCTGGTTGTTGCGGGAGAATCTCAAGAACCGCACTGTGTAAAGCCCTACCTACCCGGCAAAAACCCTAAACCCTGAGCCCCAAGACGTGTCTTCGCAGCTTCGGAGGTACTTCCATGCCCAAGCCATCGAGAAGGTTGCGCCAGCCATCCATCCGGAGGCCTTGCTTTATAGGGTGCTACCGTGAATTGTTGGAGATCTTGGGGTCGATGTTGGCTGCATCCCTTCTATTCGAGATTCGAGAGCTCCATACAACTAGAGATGACGCGTGGCTGAGGAAGGCTTCACTTGAAGCCCTTGCCAGCCCAAAACTAAACGCACAAAAGCCCGAAACCCTAAGCCCCATGCTATCGCTCCAGGCTTCCGTCCTAACGGCGCCGCGACCACAGCAGCCGATCATCGATGCCCCGCTGCGGACGAAGCTGTTCCCTGACTGAGCCACCCTTAAGATACATAAGGGTCGCTATGTTGGCTCCTCAAAACATAGGAAGTCCTTTCAAGGCACGGAGGCGGGCCTTTGGCTGTATGAACCAAGAGGTATCGGGCGCTCCCAGGAGGTTCAACCGTGGGACTCAAGCTACAACAGTAAGAGCCGTCCTACGAAGCTGCTGCAGGAACCCAGCCTCAAACCTTACACTGGCGACCCTGGACAATCAGCCCCCAAATCCCATAGCAGATTCCGGTATCATCACCTCCGCCCAACCGTTCATCCCAAACCCCATTCGAGACGCTCACGGAACCCAAAACACAACTCATGAAAAGCGCCCTTGCGCCTGAAGGTTCGCTCCGCGCAATAACCGTGGCCAGGCCGGTGGAAGTGTTTCACTCTAAGCCGTTAGCACTAGGTGTGGCCGTTAGTCTTCGGTCGTATAGCTGTTGAGAATGTCAGAGCAACTACCAAGCATTTAACCCTTAACATGCATGTTTGCAGTTTTTTTTGGACCACCCCACAGCCCTGATACAACAAAGTGGAATCGGCGCTTCGCTACGCAATCAAAACAGGCGGGCAGCACAAAAATGTATTCCGTGTCACATCATGCCCGAGAGAGTACCCAGGTATGCTTGTTTTGATCGTCATCGGCACCAAAATCACACAGAAAGACGAGCGATTGCCTTGTGAGCAGCTCCCTATGTGCAAGCCCTTGCATGCCACACCAGCGGATTTCAACAATTGGACGTGTTTAAAGACATCATTTTTTGCTGGGACAATGCTGGTGGCCACCACCAGCGAAAACGGATGATGCGAAGTAGGAACATGATGACCCTAGCTTGTTCGATTTTCGGGGTTAGGGTTTATGGCTGAGGGTTTCGGGTTTAAGATTTAGGGGTCTCATGACCTTCTAGCTCTGAGATTGTTCCAACTACAGGGCGTCTGTCAGTGCAAAGCCACGTACTGTTCATGTCGCTGCCTCGCGCGAAGTCCTGCCAGACTGCGGCGGCAGTTTTGCTTCATGTTTCTATATACAGCTTGGCAAGCATTTAAATACGGTTATCTGTTTTTGAAAATCGCTTTTTTCTGGTATTGTGGAAATTTCAAAAATCGGGCGCTCGCAATGTCCGATTTTGAAAATCGTCGGGGCGTAGTTAAAAGCCGCGCCGGTGCTTTTCTCAGATTTGACGAACCACAGGGAGAAGGAGCTGTACTACTTTTAATTGAAGGCCCTGAAGGCTGCGTTCTGTCGGCTGTCCCAAGCATTTAAATCCGGGGAGCTTTTTTGAAAAACGAAATTGGGTGGGTGGCGAAAAAGCAAATTTGAGGCTGGTTCCGATTCGGAAAGAGATTGCCACGAGTGGCACGAATAAAGGATCTAAGCTCCAAAACCATCAGATCACTGCCAGGGCGCTTGAGCCCCGAGTCTCCTCAAAAATTGCTGGGCCCAAATTCTAAGGATGTTTAATTAATAAAATGCCATCAGACCTCAGCCCGACGCTAAATGATTTAAGCGTAAACCAATATCGCTTCATCAGCCTGCGATCTTCTTGAACCCGTTGCAGAACCGCCAATTGCCAGGCTCAGGGCTGCTAGGGTGTGACGCTGTCGACTTCGGATTCATCCCTGTTGGAGTTCATGAAAGGCAGTTTGGGCTTCCTGAGGTTACCACTTCCAGGGGGTATGTTCTAGGGTACATCTATGGCCATCGTATTTCTTACTTCCTATTCAGACCTATTCCGCCCTAGCAGACAACCTTGTTGCAGAACATTGTGGCTTGTCTATTTTAGTGTTGCGTTTATGAGTGTACAGAAGCCTACATGTTAACAAAAAGGTATCCCGTTCCAGCGGAACCGGTATTTAGACGGATCGCTGAAATCTACTGCTCGACGTTGTTGCTTATTGCTGTTCAAAGAAAATGTGCAAACAGGATTTTTTCGGCAAAACAAAAGTTAAGCGTCCGATTTTTAAATGCTTGCCAGTTCCTCCCAGAATGCAACTCGGAGATGTTTTGGTGCGATTCCGCATGTGACTTGTGTTTGAGGGTTTGAGGGTGTACGTGCATCATCGCAATCACTCCTAAACCCAAGTGTCGTTCTGTGACTGTGCCAGAGGAGGAACGAAGCCGTATGATCTCTTTTCTACCGAATTCCTGAACCTTACATCCGAAACTGCACGTTTTGAAGAGGTGCCTCTACGGCTGCTTCACTAATAAGCTTCGACTGGCTATGGTTTTCGGTGACACTCGTCTTGACTGCCCACCGATAGATACTCTCGCGTGCAGACACTGTCTTCGTGTCGAGACGCCCTTGAAGCAATCCGGGGGAAGAACAGGACGGATTGCACGAACACAGCTGTGCTCTCAACCATGAGTCTCTTAGGATCATGCTTGAAGGTTAACACCGACGACCTTACTATTTGTCGATCCATCCATCGAAGCATCTGTCTATCTACCGTCTAACTACCTATAATAGGGATGTAGATAAGAGTGAGCACATCATATGCATACGACGGACATACAGAGTAGGTGGTTGAGAGCTCTTTTACACTTGCCTTCGCTCAGCAGCACACTCACTTCCCAATCCCAAACCCATTCCGACCAGTCGAAGACTCGGCGGCTGAGCCACTTGTATGGTGATTGGTTTCAATGGGTTTGTCGTGCTTTGGATAATTTCCTATAGTGGCGACATTCATACGTGCCTACAGACAGAGACATAGGTACAGACATGCATACATACATGCATGCATACATGTATACGTACATATACACGTGCATACACACACATCACATGTGTATACACACACGTACATATATATATATATATATATACATGCACAGGTATAGTTATACAGACTGAAATATATACACATGTGACTCGCCATCCTGACATGAGGGCTCCATTTCATGCCGTTCAACAGGTTCAGGACCCCACGATTGTCAGGGACGGGGATCGGAGTGTTAGGCCTTACAAACCATAAACCCCGGCCGCTTACACAAGGCCCAGCGCAGTTTCTGGACCCAACACCCCGTGTTGATTTGTTTCGATTTCGGGATTTCGGGACTTGAGGTTCAGGGGTTCAGGGCAAACAGCCCCACACAATCCACATCAGCGCCCAGGCAAGGTGCGACTACCTCCAAAGGGCGAGCTGCGGGAACGTGTGGTCCTCCGAAGCACCCCGGTGGTACAAGCAAGCAGTGCAATGAGACGTACTTGGAAGGTCGCTTGTCGTTTGTCTTGTTTGCTTTGAACTGTATAGGACCCTTTGCGATCCTGGGTGCATCGTCGCCGTGTTAGGGACGACTTAAAGCTTTGCTGTGTCCACGATGGATTTCGACGACACTAGGCTTGTTCTTGGTAGACTTGCATCAGTTACCTCAGTTGTGGCCAGACGACGAAGTAGCACCTACTGAGGGGACGGCAGAGCTTAAAACAATATGGGTTTGCTTGTTGGCCTGTGATATAAAAGCTCTGAAATTCATTGGGACCCAGTTTCTGAGGGAGTACCATAAGCCAAGCGGCTCGGGACAGGATTCGACATGGCAGCAAAGTCTAAGCCTCATAGTATGGCCCTAAACTCGGCATCTGCACCAGCTCGTGCTGCGTATGATCGCCAGGCCTCGTGTAAGCCCTAGCATGCCCATGAAAATCTGGGTAGTCCAGTTTTGCCCTACCGGTGTAAGCTGGGTTCACCGTGGTCGACCTTGCTATGAGTGTTAGAGTCCAACTTGGACCTAGACCCTGAAAGCCCAATAGCTCTTAATTGCCGAATGCTCCATGGGAAGCCTATTGAATTTGAGTAGCATTCTATAAGTATCGTCGACTCAGGGGCATGGAACAGGCAACGCTAGAATTTGAACCTTCAAATCTTCAAGCTTATGGATGCCCGATAACGCAAATGTCGGATGCTTGGACTTGTGTGAGGTTTGGGGCCCCCGAATCATCAAGAGTAGGTATGAATCACTAGTAGTAACCGTATCCCTGACGATTACCCTCGTAATAGTGCTGCAATACCCTGCAAGCCTTGTCCTACTGAGAAAGCCGTTACAGTAGACTCTAACCCCTTATAATTAATATAAAAACCGTTGTAGACCTCTCAAAGGAACCCTGCTCTACTTGTTTCATGTCCTTCGACTCTTGGCCTAAAGGCCCCTAAAAAGACTATCCTATCCAAACCCCAAAAACAAGGTCCTAGAGCCCCTGTGGCAGTTCAGGTCTTCTTCCGGACCGCCTGAAGATGGAATGCCTCGCCGGGGTCTCCAGTCCTGGCCGTTGTGGATGATGACTCAAAAAGGGGGGGAGGGGGGTCCCTGTAAGGTTTTAAGGGTTCTGCAGGTTCCTATGCTACGATATTCTGGTCTCTTTGATGGGCTGGCTCCGTTTGGAGGTGTTAGGGCTCGGGGTTATTAGGTACCAGGGATTCCTTACGCGTTGTAAGCTGTTTGTCAGTGTTGTGTAGTATCGGTTCATGATGTTGTGAAGCGTGTCAGTGCCGTTCGGGGTCGAAGTGGCTTCCGGGCAACTAGGCCTTCTTACGAGGTTCCGCAGGGGCTTAAGGATAGGCTTATCACGCGATTCATAAGGGTTTTAGGAAGGGCTATATGATAAGATTGGTTCGGTCATTACGGCGGTGATCCGGACATCAGATCCGAGTGAGCACTCATGTTCATGCAAGTCAAACTGTAGAGCCCGAGCGTTGTCGTAAGACTCGAAATGCACCGAGAGCATTCTTCGCTGTGCTTTTCAGGTTTTCGCAGCGCTGAGCTTCGTAGGAGCTTGAAGAAGCAACACTGATGTCTCCGAAGATCTTTAGCATTTTAGCACGGCTCAAGGTTTCAAGGCCGTAGGGCTCGAGAGGTTCATGTGGGCCCCTGGTTGCTGAAGGGGCTGAAACTCGAATGGTTTTGGCAGACTCTGTGAATGTTGATGAATGGAGGCACCAAGTCGTGAAAAGGCAGAACCCACCATGTACATCCTGAACCGTTTCGACTTTACAGTCCTCAAACACTAAAGGGCGCTGACACCAAGCCCTGGACTGATGTATATAAGCTTCTCAGATCTGGGTGGTTGTCAGAATTATGGCCCCTTTTTTGGGTACCCTAAATAATGGGTGCCGTGCAAAAAGGGACCATAATTTTGACAACCACCCATCTATGAACCTTGACCCCGCAAAGCCCGGGAATCTTCACCGTTTTTCAGGAGAGGCTGGACAAGATGGAGAAGGAGATCCGGGCTAAGCTTGTTTTGTTGAAATTGTAGGGTTTGGACGGAAGTTAGGGTATGTTTACGTACGGACGTTTGAGTTTCGAGTCTCCTTTTCATTTTGCTTTGTGGCTGTCTGGGTCTCCTTGTGATTTGTGGTTCTGTGGGAGTCATTGGTTTGTCTTGTCTGACTTGGCTTAGCCTTTGTACCCTTGAGTTTTTGAGTCGATGATAAGCTGACAGGATAGGATGATCCGAAGCATGGTAAGACGGTGGTGCTCGATCTACGGGTGTTGTTCTACTGGCGAGGCCCATCCGAGGGGGGTCATCTATTTGGGCCTGGTGTGGGCCTGGATCTGATATACATACGTGTGAATAATTCCAAAATGTATCATATGTATAGGTATGCGTTTGCATTATGCATACCTGTTATGACTGTTATGATCTTTGCCTACACGTACCGCCATGTGGACCTTGTCAGCTAGTCCATGCCGCTAGCCTATCTGGAGCTGACCACCTTGAGCTGTCGAGTCTTGGAGTCCCTCCCTGGCCAGGACCAGGCCGAACGAGTCGCCGAAGCTGCTCGCGAAGGCCCGGTGCACCTGCGAGCATCGAAGCCCTGAACCTTGAACCGTACATGCAAGGACCAGATTGAAGGTTTCAGGTTTGGGCTTAAGTAAGGGTTGCCAGGCAACGCCCAAGGCCCAAGCCTTACATGCCCGAAGCCACAACCGACACGTTCGAAGCTGTAGCAAGTAGGCCTAGACATGTTCGAGTGTGAGCGCCGAAACATGTCGAAACCATCCTAAACACTTCATTCATTCACTCACACACACCCATGCAGAAGAATTCACGGAAGGAACCTTTAAAGGAAGTTGTCGATAAAGTGGGTAGGTACCATTCCTTCCTCTTTGACAGGTGTAGTGGGCACTCCTGTCGGGTATCGAATGCCTCCGGGCCTTCTTACACCTGTTGCGTTCCTGAGAGTCAAGCTCACGGACAACCTGACCTGGCTTGGCAGCAGAGTTTCCATAGCGCAAAGACTGCTAAAACAATCACTAGGACTAGACCGCTGGTATGGAAACATTTCAGACACGCAGGACACGCGGCCGAACGCACCAAGAAGCGTGCCTTTGAGCGAAGCCCATGTTTCAAAGCAAGACCCGCCAACCCGTGCATACGAATACTTCGCGTTCTTCCTGTGTCCGCCATGGCTGAGAGTCCTCCGAAGAGTTTGCGCATCAACATTGGTGGTCAGAAGATCATTGAAGTGCAGCCGGAGTTGTTTCGTGTGGCCGGAGACAACAAATTATCTGCAATGTTCTCTGGTCGGTGGGAGCCTCACCTGGATGCCAGTGGCAATTTCTTCGTCGACTACTCGCCTGAAGTCTTCATGCCTTTTGTCGAGTGGTTGCGCGAATTCCGCGACACTCCACCCGATCAAAGGCCTCCATGTGTCGACGTCGACAGCAGGCATCGCCGTGCAATTGTCCGGATGATGACTGCATTTGCCATTGAGGTGCGTTACCTTCGCCATGCTGGGTTTTCAGTTGAAGAGTTGCTGTCCTTCGGCTTTGCTGTCGGTTCTTGTTTCCGTGCTGGATACACAGTGCGGCAAATCGTCCATGCCGGAGCCTCCCTTGAATCATTCCGCAAGGACGGGGTACCGGTTTCAGATCTTAGAACTGCAGTGGACGCTGAAGAGCTGAGATTGGCAGGGTACACTCTCGAAGAGTTATTGGGAGCTGGATATACCCGGGAGCAGGTCATGGAGGCGGGTTTCGGAGTCGCTGATTTCCTCCGGGCAGGAGAGACAGTGAAGGAACTCCTAGATTTTTTCCCAGTACGGACGCTGGTAGAGGCTGGCATTACGGTGGAACAGCTGATCAATGCCGGATGCTCTCCCCGGACTTTGCAAGGGCCAGTACGGCCAGAGGAGCTTTTTCGTGGCTTGAGAAACATGGGGTTTACTTCGGCACAGATTCTTGAAGAGCTCGAGAAACTGAATGTTTTGACCTTGCGGCGCCTCCTACCCCAGCTCATGGAAGAAAACTTGGCTCCGGCACTCCTCAGACGTGCCGGATGCACTGTGGAGCTACTGCGGCCATACAGGTTCACCGCAGACAGACTCAAACAAGCCGGTTTTTCCGCAAGTGAAATGGCTTCGGCATACTCCTGTTGGGAACTCCGTCAAGCAGGATTTTCCGCGGCCAATCTAGTAACCGTCAAATCTTTACGTACACTCGCAGATGCAGGATACTCCGCACGGGCACTCCGAGAAGCAGGTTTCTCCGCCGTGGATCTTGCAGACGAAGGGTTCAGCAAAGACAGTTTGGAAGAAGCTGGGTTCAGCAACATGCAGTTCGACTGTCGTGGGGATACTGCGGATCTAGAAAGGCTGAGAGGTCTTGGCTACACGCCGCAGCATTTGCCAAAGGAGGGCTTCAGTGATCTTCGTGCCGCAGGGTACACATACAGAGAACTACTTCAAGAACGCACGGTTGAAACGATATGGGACCTTTTATGGCCGTGCATTCCGTCCATCGTGCTGACACATTTCTTCATACACTCGTAGTCGTAGTGCCAAAAATTGGCCCAACCTACGAACCCCTCCTTCGAGCTCGCACGTGCTTGAGTCAAGGCAGCTGCTGCACTGTGGTGATGGGATTGTTAGCAAGCAAGCAGAAGGGCTGGTTGTGCTTAGTATTGTTGAGGTACGATGGCAGGAAGCGGCAGTCGGCTGTTGGTACATCCCAAATACTAGTTCACTAAGCCCTCGAGCCTCCATCAACCCTACACCGTCGCATAGCAGCCCTTTCTTGTAATGCCGTCGGCAGGTACCGAGTTGGCCAATGAGAAGAAGCGGAGGCGGCGGAAAGCACCCCAAACTCTTTGACCTGAGCAGTTATCTACATGGGCTTCATAGGTTTGTTTGTTGGTTGTGGAGGTGCTTCAGCAGTTTTATGGGTTGCTAGCGGCATGCTTACGGGATTCTATGAGGGTTTCATAACCCCTACCCCCGAAAACCAACTCCAACCCTCAACCGGATTCTCAGCCCTTGGGATCGTTTCGACATTTTCGATAGGTCTAAGTAGAGCTTGTGTGAAGCAAAGTATAGGGCCTTCCGTTGGTAAGCTGGCTTTTTCCAGTCCGAACCTCATTCTAAATACCCTTACTATATGCAGCTTGTAGCACGATGTTCGTGAACTCCGATGGTTCTAACGCACTCATAGTGCAGCCCTTCAACCCGAATTCCTGCATGCGCAAGGTCCCTTCACAGCACGATCTGCAAGTGCACAGCAGTTCTTACCCGGAGCGAACTCAAATTTTTCAAGGCTCAAGGCTTGAGGCGAGAAAGCTCAGAACAAAAGCTTCCAGCACTGATGCCCTCAAAGCCTCAGCTGCAGGAGCTCCCGCGCAGAGCCGCCCATTCCTGGGGGCTTCCACAAGGATCAGCAGGTCCTTGGGCTATCTAGAACCTAGAAGTTTGAGTATGTAGTAACGTAGTTAAGAAGGGGCCCTTCTGTAAGGTTTCTGTCCGGGTTGTTATACTAGGTTCATGTTAAGGTGTGTACCTCGACCACTCCAGCTACTTCCGTTATGACCTAAAGACTGTACACATTGACCATGATCATTGATGACCATGGGCGCTTCATTCTAGGGTACTTGGACGGCCTGAGCTGGAGGTGTGCCTTACGCCCCCTTGTGTGAATACACACTACTAGGGACCACAGGGCTATTCAAGGGTGCTTGGTATATCCTGATGTAGCTTTCGGGTGCAGGGTCTGGGCTGAGCCATCGTGAGCCCTAATCCTGGGTCTTTGAGTGTCTTTCGATGCCGGCTGCTTGGATTTTTGCGCAGAGGGGTTGTTCCCTTTAGAAGGGCATGGCGTTGCTGAGGTGAAAAGCTCTGTGCTCCGAGTATGAGGTCAATCCTTCGAGTTTTACCGTAGCTGCCGTAGCTCTAAGCTACGAGAGCCGACTGTTTCTGGTATGGCCCCAGTAGTATCAACATTTCGGTTCATCTGAAGGCCCAACTAAAACTAGGTTCTACGGTACTGTATAGTCAGGATTTTCAGGGTTCTCAAACTGTCGATTCTGGGCATGTGCAGTTGTTCTTCACTTGTGGTCAGTTTGTAAGCCAGAAGCTCTAAGCTTCTGATCGGTGGATCCTAGTACTCTCGTGGCCTGAACGAATAATTAGTATTAGCATGTATTGGCACTTTTTTTTTATCGTGTTCCCTTTTGTGATTATCATGTAACGCACACAAGCATGTTTGAACCGCGGCTTAGGTCTGTATTGACTTGTCCATCACCCGTTTAGGGCTGACGTTCGTAACTGTGACCCCGAAGCCTTGCGACTCCTGCATTCGGATAGAAGCAGCACGCCCCAGGTCGTGGCGAGACACGACCTTTACCTCGAAGGCCGCCGGTTTTGGTTCGGGTTTCGGGGTGTTTGTTGGGTTCATCCTCGGCCTTGGAAGTTGTCGGTTCAGAGGTCTAGGTTTTTAGTTGACTTTCAGGCTGTTCCCTAAAGTCTAAAACTCTAGGCTCTCGGCAGTTTCCCAAAACGTTCATAAACCTTTAACCGTTGCTTCGTTGGGCAGTTTGGTACCAGTGCTGCGGGTGTTGTATTGGGAGTCCAACAAGAGCGAGCCAGGGTTACTCAAGACGCGCACAAGGCTTCCAGCCCGAATTCGAGCCCTGATCCACAGCTACTCCGATGGCAGGGGACACGGTCATGGCGCTGTATATGGACAAGGTCAACAACTCAGATTTTTGTTGAGCGACGCGGGTCTGGTGGGTATTTTGATGATGTCCTTGCCGGCTTTGTTTGAACTCCATCGTATGGGTATTGGATGTCAGTTAACTCCGAGACCCTATGCCAGGCCGTCGTGGTGGGTCCCTCGAAGAGTACCGATCCCAACCGGGTTTGCGTGCAGTTCGAGGTGGGCCTACAGTCTCAGCTAAGACACAATCTCGGTTTTCGAATGCAACATTCACGAAGTTGCAGCACCACTGATGTATTTGCTATCTGTCTAACATAGGTATGCATATATACATACGCCTGTACATAGTTCATGCAAAGTGCCGAACTCGGAAACCCTGAGTCGCGTCACCTGACTTCTTACTTTGTTGCAGCCTCCTTGAGCTTTGTGCCAAAACGATGCTTCGTCACACATGCTGGCCCCTAGACCGTGACAATCCGTGAATCAGTGACACAAAGAAAAGCCCAAGCTGAATTTGCGGATTCGTTGGGGTTTGTAGTTTGAGAAGGAGAGCTCGAGCTCTAGGGCATCAGGTTTTAGGGGCTGCTGGACTTTTCTGTCCAACCGACGTTGGTAGGATATTCCTGCCCAGTGTCAGATTCTCAGGTTGACATCTCAGCTGTGAGTAACCTACTACATCTACTGCTTATTGAATGTGTATTGATCGGAACCCATATTGGCCCATCGTTCAGCTCTCGCTCTCGCTCTCGCTCTCGCTCTCTCTCTGACTCTGTCTCTCTCTCTCTCTCGCTCTCTCTCTCTCTCTCTCTCTCTCTCTCTCTCTCTCTCTCTCTCTCTCTCTGTCTATATATATATATATCTCTCTCTCTCTCTCTCTCTCTCTCTCTCTCTCCCTCTCTCTCTCTCTCTGTCTCTCTGTGTCTCTTCCTCGCATCTGCGTGCTTGCAAACGATGTCTCTGTCGCACACATGCAATAAATGATGCTGAACCGTAGCCCAGAAGCGCCTGAAGCATCTGAATAGATGCGACGCGACGGTGGCACCATGTGGGTCAACGTGATGCCTGCCCGGGGCTCAGGTGCTGTTCGGGACGCACAAGGTAGGGCTTGGGGTTTAGGGTCACGTCCCAGTACTTCAGAAATTCAGCCTTTATGCTGTGAGGTTGTAAGGCACGAGTGCTTGGCCTTCAAGGCGTTTCGTTTCGGAGCTTCAGGGCTTTAGGGTTCAGTTTTGTAGAGGACTGATTAAGATCTTATCCTGTCGCCTTGCAATTAAGGCCCGTGCTTCTCACAGACGGCAGAAATAAAGACCAAAGAGGATATACACCCTTAACCTGAAGTAGGGTCGTTACACTACAATTCCAGAAGCTTCAAAAGACTTCAATCAGTATGCTTCCCGGTCCTATATACATCTGAACCCCCAAATCTTGAGTGGGCGGCGGTAATCTTTCAATCAGTTACTAGTCCAGACACCCCAGCAGACCAGATTGCAAAGCGATGCACCGAACAGTATACAGGTCTAGAGGATTGTAATTGTGGGTGCTGTGGCTAATCCCATGGGACGTTTTGTCTTCTGGCATTTGGGCTAGTGACCGTGAGTGGCCCCACGAAGGCAAAGGGTTCGTCGTCTTAACGGTGTGACCCAAAGCCATAACCTTGAATCCGAAGCCCCGCAACCCGAAACCCACATCCAGAATGGTGGGCGGCGCCCCAAAAATCGTTTTGGACGTCCCGGGGGGATTTGGTGTAAGTAGCAGTGCCAGTTACAAGCGCACTTAGTTGAAGGCCCTTGTTACCAAGTCGCCTGCGTCGCTGACTCAAAGGATGAGATCATGTCCGAAGAGAACGGCCAGCTCATGCAGAGCATCATCTTGAAAAATGAAGAGCGTTTCTGGGATGCATCTGGCAAATCAAGAACTGATGCCCAACAGTTGGTAATAGGGTTCGTGGTCTATACAAAGTGCGGGATTCTTGATGCTCATGTAACGGGCTTACGGATATTGAGTTTGTGGTCGTGTTGGTGGTGCTTGACGCAGTAGAAGCAACAGCAAGGTGCCGGTGGCTCCTTTCATGTCCTTTTAGCTTCTAGCCCTCCCGCCGGAGCTTCTGCTGCGGCGACGACGACGACGAGTAGTAAGATTGACTGCGATGGTGCCGACGATGACTTCGCCTTGTGGGTTGGCAGGCGGCTAATAAGTGGTGATGGCAGTGCCGGGGATATCATCTGGAGCTACTCACGCCAGTGCTTGCTCGGACAGCATACAGAGCCGCTGCAACAAAACACCAAACCTAACCGTCAGGGCAGGCCTGCAAGTCCCTTGCATGCCACTCGAGTTTGTCGTTTAGGGTTCCCCATGACCCCTGAACGGGGGATGTAGCTGCAAGCACCAAGTAAACCTCCTGGCTTTCAGCTATGCAGTGCACTAGATCTTCCATCAGGAGGGCCGAAGCATCATTGGGCTCGGCCAGTATTCCGCACGACCATGACACATGGCACCTGCATACAGAGCAGAAGGCAAGCAGAAGCATCAGGCGTCCGCACCAGAGATCATGAGAAGCCGCGCCAGCAACGGTGTCAACACCCCTGACGCCGATGATTGCAGTAGTTGTCCCTTGCCACAGTAGAATAGTAGAAGTGGCCGTGGAAGCAGGGTATAAATAGTTTCTGCAAAAGCATATAACAGATGGTCTCAACCAGCTGAATCATGGCCACTTGCCCCGGGCTTGACGTTCCAAAGTCTCGCAGATTGCATCCAGGAAAGCAGCGTCGAAGGCAGCTGAACGCGAGTCCGGGGGAAGGGGAGGAGGAGACTTTCCTAAGTACTTCTTCAATCCTTAACTTTAACTACGTGATAAAGGCTTCCCAAGCCAGGAAGAAACACCCCAGAACCGTCTACAGCCGCAGCAGTAGTAGGATATGTACATAGACAGACAGAGAGACACATAGATAGTCAGATATATGTATACATATCGGATTATCAGTAGATACTTCGCAGCAAAAGAGGTCAAAGAAAGTTTGGCATTCCGTGCTTCAACAAACGCAACCGAAGGCATGCAAACACACCAAAGATTACGCGAATCCCTAAATAGCCCTACACTCTACCTGCTGAGCCCGTACTTGGCACCGTCTTCACACGGTCAACCAGTGAAACTAGCAGTTCGGATTCGCCACAAGTCTGGCTCTTCGACCCACCAGACCAGGTATTCCTTTGGGAGTCATCGTTTACTATACAGACTTTCTGTGAGAGTTACTATAGGTGCTTAGGCGTAGGGCAGTCTGAAACATAATGCAGCGGACATGTTGGTGATCTGATCTGGGAAAGTCGGTACTGCTCACAGCTAACAATACCATGCAATACCTGGATGCTCTCAAAGTAGACTGGGTCTGCATGACTCGTGAGGGGTTGCGTACTAAGTACACGCACATATATCTACATATACATACCTACATCAAACGCACACATACACACTATGTATGCATTAACCATTACTTTCACGCCAAATCAGCCTCCCAGTCTTATCTCCGGATCCAGTGACGAGTCGGGGCTCTCGTTGGAAACGGACGTTAGCATCTACCCTAGGCCTTGCCCTCGCGACCTCCAACAACACTTTATGGTGAGGCATTCCACGTTTAGGACTTACAATGGTCACCAAAAGCACCGAGACACATCTCTCAGACAGCCTTTAAGACCCTCCAGGTTTGTAGATAAGCCTTCTACCTTTTGGCGCTACTATAATCCCACCTAAAAGGTACAAGGTTGTTTGAGACAGCCCCTAATTTTTGAGAGGAGGATCTTCCCGTGCTTTTCCTGCCCGACATGGAGCTCGCCGGCGAAGGCCTAGAATTGTCATGGCTACATTGATAGCCGCCCCTACTCTACATATGCCCGGTTAAGGGTTTGGGGTCGACGGGAGAAGTGGCATAGGTCCTGAAGCTGGGAATCACCCGTCGTGCTCATCACCGACCTCCAGCAATCTTTAGCCGACAAAGCAAGTTTACTCGCTGAACTGGGGCACTTGACAGGCTGGGCTTCAGGTGGCACTTATTCCTAGCAGTCCTCCTTGAAACACATCGTATTGCCATACGTTGGCTTTGTCGACGTTCACTTCGCTAGTCCGAGATCTTGACAACAACTTTTCTGGTATTGCATGCATGTATATACATCGTTTACTCGAAGACGCTGCACCTTTGGGGGACTGGCGATAAGCCTCAGACCCTATACACATAACGCTCAGGCAGGCGCGTGCTTGCGATGGCATGTTCTCAGATGTGCTCAGCAAGACAACAGTATTACTTGCATCTTGAATGTAAATATGCATACACGGCAGGTTGTTATGCGCAATAGAAGGACTTTCGTAGACTTCCCGCTTCTCGGTCGCGGGGTTGAGGTGCCTGGGGCACACCTCCCAATACCCTACAGTCCTGCAGGAGCTAAGAAACCTAGAGAGTCCTATAAAAGACAGACTGGATACAGCGCCTCCCCAGATGCCCACAGACTCTCACGAAGGCCGCGCCGATTTAGCTTGAAGAAGGGCTGTCCACCATTTTTAAAGTCACGTCAGGGATACTTTAGACGTCATTAGCATGGAAACCTGCATATAAGCGAGTGTCAATGCTATTCCTTAGGGCCTAGGATTCCTGATTAGAGCTATTTCTGTTAGAGGAGTCCCAAACCCTAGTCTAATTATGAAGGCCCCTGCATTAAAGTGATAACTTGGTCCCTCCGAGCTTTCCCTTTCCTCAGGCAATGACAGCGCTGCAAAGCTGACGACTGGGTCATGGACCTCCTCGGCGATGCGGACGCGAGGCAGGGGATTTAGGCGTTTCAATGCAGCATAGGACATACGAGATGGACTGTATGTCTACAAACATGCACATATCTACAAAACTAGTTGTTATGCTGCATCGTATCACTACTTATATGTGAAACGACGAGGTCCCAGTGCCTGGCCACGGCCTCCTGGTTCCACAACCTCTGGCGGAGGGCATCTTGGCATTGTGGTGCTTGCAGGTGTTTTTTGCTGTTTGTAGTGGTTCGATGCGATTTTCTGGTACTGCATGCGGCATTTGAACTTTGTTGTGAGTTTCATGTTTTTTGTTGAAGGCATTGCTGCAATGCTTTTTGCAACGCTTTGAGCCAACCCTAAACAGTAAAAACGCTAGCCTTCCAGGATTCTTCAACCCCGGAAGAGCGACACAGGCTGGCAACCGCAAGCAAACCCTGGAATCCTACCCTTCAATGCCTCTTGGGACTCCAACAGCTTAAAGACCAAGTGTAGGTTGGAGGCCGCCAAGCTGCTGCGTGTCTGGGCTGTACCGCCTTCGGGTTTAACTAGGCCACTGGGAGACATGGCTTCTGAGATGGTTTCCCCCTGATCGGGTCTGAGAGGATATGGTTGAGGATTTTTTGTCAGCGGGTTGTTGAATAGCCTAAGGTTCAACCTACTGTACTGGAATGACGGCTTTGCATTTCTGCACGCTCCAGTCCCAACTTTGGAGGAAGGCTATCAGTTATCACTCCCAACGACTCTTTCAAGAATCGCTTAGGGTTTAAGGTTAAGGGTTTCAGAGCCCCAGGCGATTGAGAAGTCCTGATGCAAATAAGGGTTTCAAACTCCTCAGTAACATAGGCTTTGGCTCTTATCCAGGCCCAGGGTGGCCCCAACATCCGATCACACTTCACAGTTGGAAGTTTCCAAAAGTCGATTCTTGCCCTTATCTCAGCAGGGTATCCTGCCCGCATGCTGTACTGCTGACCAGGTTGTTAGGGTATCTGGAGCCCGCACTGAGGAGACTCCAGAAGCTTGCCGGCTTTGCTGGGTGTCACCAAAGTGAGTCCGCGGCCGGGTAGCCGCTAGCAGTTGCGGCAGAGGCCCACAAGAGCTAAGCTGCTACATGTACTTTACGCAAGGGGCCCTCGAACACGGGCGCGGAAAACTGCAGGATTTCTGGATGCTCTGTTTATGGGCTTGTAATCTGCACAAGCTGCGAGCGACACTTTATGCTTACTGCATCAGTGGCATAACAGGCAAGACCGACATGTAATTGCTTACCATGTTGCCTTGTGGTCAGAAATAGTGGGTGGTGGTTCTACCTAACGTCTCGTGGTTTTGTTCTCGTCGATGCGTATGAACGGTACTCAAACCCCCGAACCCTGAATACGGGGCACTCTACGTCGGATCTGCTCGCACAGCTGCCCGGTGTCACCTTGCAGCAAGTCTTTTCACATCGCGTCCGAGGGAGATGAACGCCTAGTAAAAGGGACTCATGAAGACAGTACCTTGAAGAACCTCCCGTAGTGTTTGTGTAGGTTTAATCGCAGGTGCAGGATCAGGCGGCTTAGCAAGTAAGTATCAGCAAAATCATAGAATGGTGTCCCGAGCGAGGTCGTTCGAACTCGAAGGTTTGAAAGTTTGAAGGTTTGGAGGTTGAAGTTTCAAGGTTTGAAGGTTCGAAAAGTGCAGGAGTTCGAAAGTTTGTGCACCTTGGTGTGCACAAGCTAGCCGGCGTAAAACTTCGAACTTTTCAATCTCGAAACTTTCAAACTTTCAAACTTTCAAACTCTCGAACTTTCGAGCTCGACTGGCTGCTTGAAACTCAAACTTCAAACTTTTCCCGCGGGCGAGTTCGATCGGCCTTCGAAGTTTGAGAGTTCGAGACTTTGAAAGTTTGCAAATTCGAAGGTTCGACGCTTTCAAACTTTGAAAGTTCGAAAGTTTGAAAGCTCGAAAGTTCGAAAGAATGAAAGTTCGAAAGTTCGGAGTTTGAAAGGTTGGCTTCAGATTGGCTTCAGATTTCCTCTTCGGCTTGGGCTGAGGTGACGAGTTTGAAAGTTCGAAGGTTTCAAACTTCGAAAGGTTTCAAGTTCGAAGGTTTGAAAGTTTCAGAGATCGAAAGTTTGAAAGGGATGAACGTTCGCGAGTTTGAGAGTTCGAAAGATTGAAAGTTTGCAAAGTTTGAAGGTTTGAAGTGCGTCGAGATGGAAAGTTTGAAAGTCCGCCGAGTTTCGAGCTTGAAAGTTCGAGAGTTTGACAGATTGAAAGTTCGAGTTTGAAAAGTTTCAGAGTTTGAAGCGCTCGACATGCAGTCACGTATATGGGTGGCGTTCGCAACCCCAATTAAGTATCTGGAACAAACACGCCTTCTCTGTTGGCGATTCCGGTTCACTGCGCCCTCATTTTGCGATTCCGGTCATCATAGCCCCTCACCACATATCTTTATTACGCTCCCATTGGGCGATTCCAGCACACCGTGTAACTTAATCGCACCCCTTGAGTTGGCGATCTTAAGCACACCCCTCATTTAGCCTTTCCGGGTCATCGTATTTGTCGTATTACGCTTACTCATTTGGCGCTTTCGGTTAATTTTACATCTTACACACGCCTTCTCTTTTGGCGATTCTAGTTCACGGTATATCTCAAGCACGCCCAAAGGACGTTTTGGTTCATTTCTTCGCTGCTTAAAAAAAAAGGGGAGTTTGCCCCCCTCCCCCTCCATTTGCAAAGCTTCCGGACCACCCAACATGAATATTATTTTCGCTTTTAACCCCCCTGATGCGTTTTCGTGTGGCTTTCTCCTTTGTGTGTCTTGGAGAAGGCTTTTCCCGGCGACTAGTGGTACTAGTCGGGGGGTGGCGAGGGGCTCATGGGTGAAATATGATAGGGGGGGCTTTGTAGTGTTGGATCTGGGCGAAGTATGAGAGAGGGGGTTGGGTGAAGTATGTAGTCCTCCAAATCACTGGGGTTGGGTGAAGTACCTAGTCCTCCAAATCACCTTCCAAATCACTCATGATCATAATGCTCTTTTCTTCGTTTTTAACCCTCCTGAAGCGTTTTCGTCTGTTTTTTTTTTTGTTTTTTCGTTTGTGTGTGTTGGAGAAAACGCGGCTTAAGAGAGCGGGGAGTTTGCAGTCTAAAAACAGCGGGGGGTTGGGGGGGGGGGGCGCAGCCCCCCCCCATTTGCAGAGCTTCCATATCATTCATGAAAGAAGGGGGGTTTTGGGTGAAGTACGCTTGCAGTCTAAAATAAGCGAGGGGGGGTTGGGGGGCGCAGCCCCCCCCCCCCTCATCTGCAGAGGTTCAAAATCACTCATGATTCATGATATCTTCTTCGCTTCTAATCCACCTGAAGCGTTTTCGTGTGCTTTCTCCCTTGTGTGTGTTGGAGACTGGGGGGGGCTCGAGTCTTGGATTTGAACCAAGTATGAGGGGGCGGGGCTCGTAATCTGGTTTTTGGTGATGTATGAAGGGGGTTACTTTTTTATTTTTTTGCGGCTTAACAGAGCAGGGAGTTTGCAGTCCAAAACAAGAAGGGGGTTGGGGGGGCGCAGCCCCCTTGCAGAGCTTCCAAATCATTCATGCTTAAGTTTTGTTCTTCGCGTTTAGCCCCCTGAAGCATTTTTGTGTTGCTTTCTCCTTTGTGTGTGCTGGAGAAAGGTGGGGCTTAAAGTCATTGATTCAGGGAGACTGTAAGGGGACGCCTCGACGTCTTAGATTTGGACGACGTATCAGGGGAGGGGGATCTTAAGAGAGCACCCCCATTTGCACAGCTTCTGAATCACTCATGATGAATTTTAATTCTTCGCGTTTAACCCCCTGAAGCGTTCTCGTGTTGCTTTCTCCTTTGCGTGTGTTGGAGAAAGGGGGGCTTAACATCTTGGTTGTAGGAAGACTGTAAGGGGAAGGGGGAGGCTCGAAGTCTTGGTTTTGGACGAAGTATGAGGTTGGGGGGGGGTCGTAATCCTGGTTTTTGGTGAAGTATGAAGTGGGAGACGCTTTCATTAATTTTTTTCGCGGCTTAGCAGAGCGGGGCGTTTGCAGTCTAAACAGAGCGGTGGGGTTCCCCGAAGACTCCAAGCCGCCCCCCCCCGCCCCCCCATGGTCTTCCTAAATCCAGAACAACACCCCCCCCCCTTCATAGTCTTCCTAAATCCAGGACTGCAGGCCCACCCCCCCCCCCCCTCATCCTCTTCCTAAATCCAGGACTACCCGTTCGCCCGGGGGGGTCCCGGGCTATTGAATCGGACTCGGAGTTACCGGGCCCAGACCCTAAGATGAGGACGTCAACATGGTTTCAAACTCAAACTTTCAATGTATTCAAACTTCAAACTCTTCAAACTTACAAACCTTCAAACTCCCAAACTCTCAAACTTTGAGCATCTCAAACTTTCGAACTCCACGGCTCTCAAACTTTCAAACTTTCGAAATTTGAAAACTTCAAACCTTCAACCCCCCAAAGTTTGAAATTTTCGATATTTCAGTCTTCGAAGCTTTCGAACTTTCAAACTTCCTGGGTTTCAAACTTTCAAACTCCAAGCTCTCAAACTTTCGAACTCGAGCCTGAGGGCTGCTCTGTGAACCCCTACGCGTCTCCAGCGGTCCTTCTCCTTTTCAAACTTTCGAACTTTCAATCTTCGAAGCTTCAAACTTTCAAATTTCCTGGGTTTCAAATTTTCAAGCTCCAAACTCGCGCCAGCTTTCGAACTCGAAACTCTCAAACTTTCAAACTTCAAACTCTTCATTCTCCAAGCTTTTCAAACTTTCAAACTCTCGAATCCCGTCCAACATGTACTACGTTCAAACTCTCAAAGATTCGAGTTCGAAAAAACCCACTCGTGACACCTCTCAAAATCATAACCACCGTACCTCACTGAAGGTGCTTGTAAGTTTAAGTAGAACTTCCCTGGCGTAGCCACATGAAAGAACTCTGCGGGCTTGTAAAGTGTTTAAATGTAGACCCTATAGTTAAGGCTTGCAAAGACCCACTGGACCCCTGATTTCCTTCGATACAGGCCTGACAGCCTACCCCGCCGGTCCTAATACCCTTACCTCCAAATCCTATCCCGCGACAAAACATCCCAATGCAGTCTCTGGGCAGTTAGTGCCCTCATAACCCCTTTTTCAGTATATTCTAACATTACTATAATCTACCACTACAGCATACTACAGCCCTCTTCGAAAAGTCAGTGCTCCATTACCTCCCACAGCATTCAACGCTTCCTCGGCCTCGCGGTGATTTTCTCAGAGACCTCTGCTAAGCAGAAGGACCTGCAGAGAACGACGATAAAGCGGTGGTTTTCCAGAGGTCTTTGCGTTTTGGGGCTGGGGGCTTAATTAGGCTGTTTAGGGTTATGTTGCTTTTGGCTGGGGTTGGTGGGTTGTGTGTAAGGCCTTTTGTGTTTGTGGGTTTTGGGTTGTTGGTGATTGCTTTTTTTTGATTTGCTATGGCGCCTGTAAGGCTTCCTAAGGAGTCCAGGCATCTAGATCACCATTCCGCCAGATACGCCCGAACAGCTGGAACCGGTACTGTTCAGAGTGACACTTTTGGACGGATTTCGCTTTCCGTCACGGCCTTCCCCTTAAAACATTGTTGGTGGCTTGCTAGAAAGCCGAAAAGCCGGGGGCTCTTAAACTCTACTTCGGCCTCTCAGGAAGTCAATCCGTAGCTGCACACGCCCACAGTTTCTGCTTTCCTGGTCTGCTGAAGTCTTAAGTTTGAGGTTGAAGGTCGTGCAGGGGTTACTTGGATGCTCTCTTATTTAGCAAGCAGGCGGGGTAAGGTGGGCTAGGGAGTTTAGCATCGGCATAATATACAGGGGCGACTAAGTTCACCAACAGCAGAGACAGAAGTTAGCACTTGCGCATGAGCCTACCCTCGCGTCCTTATTGCCTGTAGTCCCTTTACAAAGTCTAGTTGTTGGAGCTTCTTGACAGGGTCCACACCCGATTTGTTGCAGGTGACGGCCAGCACTTGGCAGCCAGAACCTCGGGGGCAAGAGGGCTCTGATTCTGAAGTGGTCTCTTCGGTTTTGATGGCAGTGGAGGGTGTCAGAAAGCGCTCGTCTCAAACTGTTTGGCTCTTGTAGTTCAGTCTTGTGTTTTGATACAGGCGTAACTTGGTGCCTACTCGGGTATCGTAAGCATAAGTTTAAGGCTACTCGTCGTCGCAACATAGAACTGCCGGAGTCTGCCTGCAAATGATCCTTCGCAAATGGCAACAACATGGCCGATCCTAAGGAGCTTCTGGTTTGAAACACTGGTATCGCAGAAGTTTCCAGGCCCAAATCCGGAACTTCAGAGGCCGATTGTACTGTGGAAGGGTGGAGATCCCTGAGAGGACCACCATGCCGCAAAGCGCACACGGGTTCGGACTCCGGACAGCACGGGAACTTTGACCAAAACAAGGTACTCTAAATTTGAAGAAACCCACGTGGCCCTGCCCCAAAGCCGCTTGAATTGTCAAACCTAGCCGCAATGCTACCTCGAGTCGAAGCCTACTCGTCCTGACCCCTGACGCCTTGATTCAGCAATAGTTGTAGATTTTAAGCTCAAGCTAGACTTCATTATATATTCCTTTAACTAGTCACTGGGGTAAGAATATTTTCTAGCAAGACTCCTTATCCGGCCGCAGGTTACAAGCACGAATAACATACCCCCCCACCCAAAATTGAAGCACAAATTCTTGATAGGACTCCTTGCATATGCATGGCATAACATACCCGAAAGACTAACAGCCTGTAAGCCCAGAGGCCACTCCAGCTCGTGTTTACAACGCTTGGGCCCCACCTGCGGCTCCGCAAGTGACGATGAAGCTGTGGGTTTGAGTGGGGACTAGGGTGGTTAAGCTTAGTTTGCACCTGGGGAGCAGGGAGAGCGAGAGAGAGGGAGAGAGCGAGAGAGAGAGAGGGAGAGAGAGAGAGAGAGATTCGTGACCCCCCGCACGGGAACATATGACCAGGGTCAGTTTGAAGTTGCGACAACAAGCAGCTGATGCAGCTTGAATCACCCGCAACTTGTTTTTTGTTACCAGACTTGTTGACAATCCTAACATAATGGTGGGTTGGTACTCTTCCTTAGGGTTTTCCAATTTAGTTGATGACCCTGGCTTATGGAACCCTTACAGGAAGCCTTATGATAACCCCTGAATAGAACCCTGTAAAGGAACAGAATTACAGCAATCAGCCAACCTACAACTTTCCAAGTATCCAATAATAATGTACTTGGGTTTGGGACAGCAGTTTTGCGCCAAAGGACCCAGGCTTTGGGAAGTATATGATCGTAACGTACTTGGACCCTTAGGGTCCTAGACGGGCGTGATTAGTTAGTAATGCTAGTCTAGTAGTATTTCTTTGCAGTCCTTACAGAAACATATACAGCAGCATACCGCGAAACCCTATTCTAAGTTCTCAAGCTGCTAGCTTCAGTCCATTAGAAGTCCTTTAACCTGGCCCTGCTCTCAATCCTTTACTCAGGGGTTGCGGACAACGTTTATCGTTTTGGAGTTTCCGGATTACCTGCACCCTGAAGTCTGTAGCTCCTCATGAAAAAGCCTCTAACATCCTCGCGAAACCCTTGACAGTTCAAGTCTTGACCCCACCTACAACCCCGCAAGGAGCCCCAAAAGGAAGCCTCAAAAGGCAAGTCAAAACCCCACAAGGAGCCTATATAGGAAGTCATCTGTTGCGGAGTTGGCTCTGACAGGTGCCGCAGCCCCTTTGCGCCCCTCCTTCCACTCAAAGCCATGTCCCTTGCACCATTGCGGATGCTCCGGGCAGCGAGCAGGCTGCCCTTGTCCACCCGTCCAGTTTTCCTAAGCCCCAAAGCCCCACTAAACTCGACAGCCCCCTAGGCCCAAGATCCGAACAAAGCTTGAAAACTGTCTCGGGCTGGCTAGTCGCGGAAGCATTTTGCTCTGCAGAGGTTGCTGTTGTCTGCATGCGACTGTTATGCATACATGCATACGTACATACATACATACATACAATGACATACACAGCATGGGGAGAACTGTGCATGTACACGCGTTGGACCATTGATGTTTGGGCTGTGTCCGTGGGTATATCACTACAAGTACTTTGAAAACCAAAGTGGCTGCATTTGCATGGCTTCTTTGGGGACCCAAAGCTACGGCTCAAGGTGTTCATGTTTCTTGCCGCTCCCTTCGTCTGCCGATGAGTAGGACGAGTATCTACTATTTTCAATACGGCTGCTCAATATGGGATCCTCAAGTATGTGGCAGTCCCTCAAAACGTACTGGGCATCCCTCATCACTGACTAGTTGTCTTTCTGTCGCTCGCTCTCGCTCTCTCTCTGCCTCCCTCTCCCTCGCTCTGCCTCTCTCGCTGTGTATGCATATGGATGTGTCACGTGTGTGCTTGTGAACATCAGGATGTTAAGAGGCTTTCGATCTGAACGGCCCGAAAGCCATGACTCCTAAAGTCTAGAATCTTGCATCCTTTACCATGGAACCATAAGGCCCCGAGTGTTAAATCCTACATCCGTAAACCCTTTGCCGAAGGCTTCAGTTCCTGCCAGCAGAGAGGAGTTTCGCCACGAAGGCACCGAATTCCGACAAGTCAGTCCTGCCTGGGTTCTTTTTCGGAGTTACATGTTTGTCATTGTTTCGCCATGGTGCTGGTAGATGCCTTTGCGTTGTGACATTAGCTTTTAGTGCTGAGTTTTTTTGTTGCTGCTATTTCCTTACATGTTGTGCTTGTGTGGCTTTAGCCCAGTCCCCTGGACTTTTTGGCAGGTCGCTTTCGTGAAGAAGATCTACTCCGACGGGAGCGTCGCATTTTCCTTTACATGTCGGCAGTTCACCCGTTTTATTCATGTATCTCAAGTAGAGACATTCTTGTATGTGTATAGAATATGTACGCATCTCTCTCTCTCTCTCTCTCTCTCTCTCTCTCTCTGTCTGTTTCGATAAGGGAAGCCTCAAAACAAGGCGATTGCCTGGGTATCCCGTGCCCTGGTCAATGATCTTAGGTTGTTACATAGGTGGAAATCGTGAAGATTCCCACATCCAGACCACACTCCCCTTTCTTCGCCGTCCCGGCTGCAAGTCATATCATGGTGCGGTCCGCATGTTTACCTGAACCCCGCTAGGCTGTGGTCCGCAGACTGTAGTCCTCAGAATCCAATGTGGTGTAGGCCTCTAGCCGTTGTACCTTTGAAGATGGTTGGATTCTGAGAGGGGATTGAGCTAGTTGTAGGAACATTGAGCTCGCGATATTCATTAGTTGTTATCACCTCATCCCTGTTAGAGAAGTTTCACTCGTCAGACTCCGAACCATATGCCTCGCCTGGATTGTCCGAGTGTGAGCGCCGAAACTGAATCCTAGCTGTGTTTGGATTTTGTTTAAGCGCCGGAGGCTGTAAGAGCTTTAGCTCTCGGGTGATGTTAGGCTCGAGACATGACTGCGGGGCTTAGTTCAGACCTCGACGCATGAAATCTGAAAGCCCTCATGGCATGCGGCTTAGGTTTTCGGGCTTCCCCTCAACTCTATGCCCCAGAATCGAAACCCCTAAACCCAACCTTAAGCCTGTAACGCGAACTCAGGGCTTTTCTGCCCCAGGAGCACCTGCCAGAAGTGCGACTTCGTCTGGAAGCAGTGTCCCGACTTGAGATGCCCAGAAGTTTCCGTCAGTCTCTGGTTGCCGTTCGGTACTTCGGGCCCTTGGGGTTCTGAGGGCTCGGACAGAGCTGTGCTTGAGGCTCGGGTGTTCGGCTTTTAGGCATCCGCGCTTGGGTGTAGGAAAGTTAAGAGGGGTCCGGGGGTGCGCTTAGCTCAGGGATTAGGGGTTCATCGGTATGCAGTATACATGCCCGGCATGGAAGCAGGACTTACTGCAGGCATGGTACTTGATCCACACGTGTTGTACAGGCCCTGGTTCGCTAGCATTTGTACCGTCGTGAGTTTGCAGTGTCAGTCTGAAAAAGCAGAGACAGACAAACCACAATTCAAACGGGGCTTCCGAAGTCTCGTTTGTTTGTGCTCCCAACGGATACCTGACAAGGTCAGCCTAAATTGGGGCAGGCCCCTGCAGCATGAAGCTGTCAGACCTGCAATATCTTACCTGCATCGATTAATCATGGGCACCTTGTTATTTCCGGACCAACGCAACTAGCTTCAGTAAGCAAGCTAGCAGCAGCTCGCCTCGCAAGGCGACTATTGCAAGCAGACCCCCACATCGTGGGATTCCGGGAAACCTGTACGACACTTCATCATACTCTGAACCAACATGTCACTTCTGAGGATTCAGAAGGACAACCTGGTTGATAAGATTGACCGCACCATCGTCGCCGATGAGCGTGGCATGGCATTCGTTGGAAGCTTCAGAGTTTCGGATTTCAGTCTCAGGTGCTGGGCAAGGTAGGTGACTTTAAAGCCCCTTCCGGTACCATGATTAGCAAAGTGAACCTAGCATTGGCTAGGGTGCTCAGCCCCTAGCTAGTAATGTACTTGCATGTTAGCTTACAGAGGTTCACAGGCACGGGCTTGCGGTGCTGCCTAACAGTAGCAGCATTATTTCTTACCATCAAAGCAATAATTTGATAATGTTCAAAAGTATGTTCATAATTCATAATTACAATAACAAAGCCACAGTTATGATTCGAAGAGAAACTAATGGTATGATCGTAGTGGTCATGAAAATAGCAGTAGTTACAACCTGCATACTCACCATAACCGCAACAGGAAGGATTGTAGCGCAACATAGGAGCAACAGTAATGAAAAAGCATAACCACAGAAGTGTAAACAACAAACAGTAATACTGCCCTAAACCCTAAAGGACCCTAAACCCTAATACTGGGGTCCTTGTTGCACCACAATCCGTCAGCCTGGATCCTTCGGACAAAAGCGCAAGCAGTCACTCAGGGGACCCATCGTCCGAGGGCATTGTTCTGGCGCAAAAGCACAAGGCCATAAGGGCTTCGTCAAGGCCTTGTAGGGCTTTATAAGGACTCAGAAATGTTTACCAGGGCCCCACAGGTCTTTACAAGAGTGTTAGAGGTATTTCTAACGGTGTTTTTTTGGGATTTCCAACCTGTGTATTCGTGGTTTACGGTTGGGGGTTAGGGTTGACGGGGGGGTTCTCGAACAGGGTTTGTATAGGTTGTTTGATGAGGTCGGGTTTCTATCCGGGCTTGTGGAGTGTCTTGAATAGCGAAAGACTATGTAGGCTTGGTTTTATGGTGGGACTGGCAGCATGAAGTCATAGCTGGCGTTTTGGGATGCAAGTTTTGACTGAGGAAGGCTCTGCCCTAGAGCTTCGCTGCCGGCATACACTGCAAGTCCGTGCTTAAAAAAGGATTACGGCGATTATGGGGTTCCCCAGCTGATGATGGCATAGAACCTGTGTTCAAGAAAGGGTTATAGGGTTCATGGCTGAACCGGGCCAACTTAGTCTAAGCTTCAATTTGAAGGGCTGAGGTTACATGCCGTTCTTAGTGTGTCAAGCTCTAATACTAGTATGTACGGTTGATGGTATAGGTTGCAGAGGAGAGGTTCGCATTAGTGGCTCGTAGAGTGCAAGCTTTGGTGGAAGACCCTATACTTCGGTATAGTACGACGTATGATAATAGCAGAGCCTAGTGGAACTTGATAGAAGACGATCCAGGTCCAAGCAACAGCATGTATTAACTTTTTCAGCACGATCTCAAACAAAATCATGTGCTGCCTAAACACCCTTGTCCGGAGGTGCAGCGAGCACCTTTCTTCGTCGTCGTTGACGATGCCAAGCCAGAGGTGCGGCTTCGGTAAGGGTGAACAAAAAAAACCCGAAACCCTAAGCGCTTAAGGGCTTCTTATATAGGTCGTTGTCAAGATGATGGCCCCCTCTTTGGGTACCCTACATATGAGGTGCCGTATTATAATAGGGACCCAAAAAGGGACCATAATTTTGACAACCACCCATATGGAGGGTTTTGAGGTTTTTGGAGCAGGGACATTGACTCGCTGAAGCAGGGTACCGAGGTTTCCTGGTGGCTTCGTCTTGTCATGCAGTTGGGCGGCGGCAGACTCCGGAATGGCAAGAAATTCGGGTTGAGGCTTGAGCGGCGATGGCTTTTAGATGCTTTTTAGGGTTTCGGGTTTGGTATAGCGGTTCGGAATGGTTTGGGGCCACAGTTGGTCGGAGAGCTGTAAGTTTGCAGGCTGCCGGATGTTGGCTTAAGTCTAAACGCAGCTCGAAGTGTTCCACGGGGTCTCCCTTCAAGCCGCGAGGAGGAGAAGATCTACGACGTTTACTTCAAGCTCAAGACGGGAACCCCAGTGTGGGGAGGGGCTTCAGGGCAACCTTAGACCGCTTGGTTTTGCTATCCAAAACCTCGTGAGGAGCATCTTGCCCTCCTTGCTGCCGGGGTTGTTATTGTTGCTGCCTCCTGCTGTTTAAGAATAGATACCGCAGTACCTTGTGTCTGATTGCGCCTTCTGCGATCAAGAATATGGGAGTTTCCGAAAATTCGGGGTACCTTATTCTGGGGTCCTTACAATAAGGATCCTACTATTTAGTAAAATTTAGTGTATTAGATTACGTAGATGTAGGGTCCCCTATTTTCGGAAACCCCCATATAGAGCCTGAGGCCCTAGAGCCCTCGTCCCTGGAGTCTTAAAACGTGAACCCGGCTGCCTTGCACCGTAAACCCCACAGCCCCAAGAGCCGTAACAGGTAAAGTCACCCCCAGGCCCTAAGACCTGAAGCCCTAAACTTGTAGCATCCTTTGTGTCGAAAGCCTTGAACCTTTCAACTTACCCGGGCAAGCTTCCAAGGAAGGATGTCTTTGACCAGGAGTCGGGTGAGAAGGAAAAGAACGAGGAGATCATTCGAGGTTCCTTTGGCTAAGGGTTTTGGGCTTAGGCTTCAGGGATTGGGGTGTTTGGTGTTCATGGGTATAAGATGATCTTTCGAGGCTCCTTTTATTGGCTATCTCATTGCTTCGGCTAATGGAGGAACTCCACTGACTCCACTTGTTGGCTTTGTATGTTGGGACTGGGAAATAAGGATTAAGGAGCCTGACTATACCTGACTAGTGCAACCGGCAGAAGTAAGGACCCTTAGAAAGGTAACCCTACTTCCTGCACCACCCCCCCAAATGTTGAAAAGCTTGGACAGCGAATCCTTGCTGACTACCAGAAGCAGTCACCCGAATACCGAAATCTTCCTGGAGTTTTCTGGAGTCTCATGCCGACCTAGGAACCTCAAAGGAATCCACCGGGCACAATCGCTCGGGCTGGTCGAGCATCGTGAACTTTGCAGCTTCTTAGCTCTCCAGGACAACTGCTTTTTCCAAGCCTCTCAGAGTCTTACAATGTAGTTTTACTCGTTGGAATTAGGGAAGTGAGGAGTTACACCTCAACCCATACAGTACGCCATACGCCCTCAAAGCGCAAACGTTGACCTCTACACCAGCCCCTGCGCTTTCATTCTTTCCGATGGCAGGTATGATGAAGCAAGTCTTCTAGATCAATGGGCCATGGTGCGCCCGGCGATTTGGGCTGGCCAGGTTCGGGGTTTGGGAATCCGAGTTTCAAAGCTGACCCGGCAAGGACCGGATGACCCTAAAAAAAACCAGGGGCCCCGTTCCCTGTGCACTCTGAGCCTTGACATGGTTGAACCTAAAGCCTTTTACGTCACATGTCGTCTGTAAGGGAACCACGCCAAGCCTTCGGTCAGGTGCTGATCGGGGCGAATTTTGCCTAGACGGCAGTTTTCCGAAGCAAGCCGGCAAATGCCCAGGCAACCTTGTCTCTCTAGGAAACAAGGCGGGCCGAAGTTTGAGGAAAATCAGGGTGCAGGGATTATTGTATAACCCCAAGATTATCATCATCGTTGGGATCATGATCGTCATCATCATCGCTGTCATCATCGTTATCACCATTGTTATCATCTCGCTATCATCATCATTGCCACCATTGTTATCATCATCGTTATCATCATCGTTGTCATTATCGTTATCATCATGGTTATCTCCATCATCGTTACCATCATCGTTATCATCATTGCTATCAATCGTTGTCATTATTGTTGGTATCCTCGTCGTTGTCATCATCGCTACCAGGCGTTATCACCATGGTTGGTACCATCATGGCTGGCATCGTCATGGTTGGTATCACCATCATCATCCTCACCATCATCATCATTTCCATCATCATCATCGTCATCATGCGTTTTTTTTTTTTGGGGGGGGGGGGGGCTGGGACCTTGACTAAGCCCTGGAACCCGAAGCCATCAACTCTAAAGCAAAGCCCTCGTGAAATTCGGGCCTTTACAGTCAGAGCCGTTTCAGCCATGAGCTGGACGTAAGGTTGCCGGGCTGTGTCACATCCTCGCCGCCTTCGGTTTTGACGGTGTCTCGTTGGTTTGGGTCAAAGGGTTCAGGTGCCTGAAGCCCCAAAGCCCCAACATCCTGAAAGCACAAAATCTCTTGTTTGCTTCACACAGTTCTGAAGGGTCATTGTTCGGGCTGGTGGAGTTAAAGTTAAGGGTTTAGTCAAAGTTAGGCGCCTCTGTAGATTCTCAGAGTGCTTCAGCCGTCCTTCTGCAGGGTTAGAGTAGGCTCGGACATCGCGTCTCTGCCGTGTATGTGTGACCCTTGACATGCCCTGAGAATGCAGAAGTAGGGTCCCTTGCAAGCCGAAGCCTCAACTGTAGGAGGCAAAGAGCCGAAGTTGAAACTTGTGTTTGACGGCTTAGATACACGACGCCGGGAAGCCGGCGACAATCCACAGCAAAGGCTGCAGACAAGACAAGCCTGCCCTGAGCACCCTAACCTCAAAGCCTTCAAGGTATGTTTTACAGGAGTTTAGGGTGTCGGGTCAACATGACCGGAGCGCTGAACCCTAAGCCTTCACGGTAGGCCCAGAGTGCATATTTAGCACGGAGTAGGTCCGTCGTCGAGCTCCCGAATGATGTAGGAGCCTTAACAATTGGAATCGGGTTATGGGCTACTCTATGGCTGCCTACTTAATAGGGGAAAACACGGGATACGAATCATATTTTATGCATACTTACGCCCTTACAGTATGTCGAAGGCGGGCATGGATCCACAACGTTCAGGGTTTGGGGTTTCTTCTAAAGCGTAGTCGCGCTCCCGGGCGGGCTTGTCTTTAGGCCTTACTCGATCGACTTTTCAGCTTGTTGGACGCTTCTCCAGCATTTGGCCGCATTGTCGTTAGGAGCTGGACGTGCCAGAACCTGCATATCACCTCGAGATTCGTGGGTGCACGTTGCAAGAAAGCCGTAGCCGGTTTTGCTCTTCAAAGAAAGTCATGATGAACCTCCAAGATGGCTCTAAACCCTTTGAGTCTAAACCAAGTAGACCTCAATCTCAGGATTTATCTACTTGACTTGGCCGATATTCATGACGTGGAGAGGTTGTGGCATGCTTCACAGCTGTCACGAAATCAGCGACCACGCTAGAGCACCTTGTCACAGGCACTGCTCAGCTCCGAGACAGGTGACCAGCGCGACATGCCATGCACCGAAAGGGCGCTAAAGCAGGACTGCGAACGTTTCCCAAGACAGGTTGGTCCAGACAAACAAAGAGAACACCGGTTTAAGACGGCTTCCTGTTCTTTACTCAACGAGACAGCATCTTTGCGGTGCTGGATGCCTCCCTTATGCCCGAGAAAGTCGAGTCCTCTTCGTACCATTCAACAAGTGTCCGGGTACATACGCAAACAACTCTGATTTGCAGGATTTTGGGTTCTCAGGTGTAGTACTCAAGGTTTAAGGTTTGAGGACCGAGGTAAGTCTGCAAAGCCATGGCTTTCCGTGAGCTGTTGCGATGTAGGGTTTAGGGTTTGAATATGGCCTCTAGATTCTAGAGGCCTCACCGCTTAGGCGGCCTAGAGTTTGGGGGTTTGGTGTTTACAAAAAAGACTCTGAAGTTTAGGAACTCAGGATCTACACCCCCCAGACCAAAAAACTTACAACCGCGATCCGCAGCAGTCTTGCTTGGCTCCTGTCAATCCCTGCTCCATGCCTTCCACGGGCCTTCAAAGACGAATTGCTCTCGGATCAGGATTTAGGACTACCGTAGGGCTTAGTTCCGCGCAAAGACATTTATCATGTTCTGGGGATGGTGTTTCCGTATAGGCCGTTTCGAAAGCCGAGGCAGGTTCAAGCCCTAGGCCAGAAGCTGTGATTTTTGATGACAAGGTCGCCTCGAGATGCCCTTTTCAGGGTTGTCGGGAAGGTCCATTGGAAACTGTTGGAAAAGCACATAGGTCCTTTAAACTGTTAAGACCTCTTACAGGGCTCAAAGACTAGAGAGTACATGGCCCTGGTTAGTCTTCTCACAAGGGCCAGCCTGACAAGTACTGCCGGTTGCACCATTAAATGCCCCGAAAAACGGAAGTAGAGGAACCTGTTTCTGCGCTGCACTTCAGTAGTCGCTGTAATCATCTGCGCAGGGTTGCTGCAAGAAGCATTTGGCCGTCGGAAAGTCGGAGAAGCAAAGCTTAACACCTCAACCCTACGCCCGCAACTTGGCCCTCGATCCTGCAGCCTTCGCCGTTGGGTTTACAGGGGCCTGTAGAGTCTAGAAGTCCCGTGCAGGGCCGTTGCACTTTCATGACGACGCCAGCGCTTTGCCGGAAAAGCTGCCATCCCAAGAGACGCTGCCGCAGGGTTCAGGGTTTAAGTAAAGGGGTTGAGGGATCTGGCCCAGTGCTTTCGAGAGGAAATCATGGTAACTGTCTAGCCTTGCAGTATATGAAGATCCTGGAGAAGTGGCAGGTTACGAAGTTTGTGTGGTTGAAGGGATAAACTTTACTAAACTAGGCTTCTCGCTGCAACTGTTGGAACCCGAACTTCATGCTGCAAGGCTACTCTCGCTGCTGATCGGCAGCCGCCTCAGTTACAGGTATGGGATTCTGGATCTGGAGTTTCGAAGACGAACCCCGTGAAGTTGTTTTAGGTCTTCGTTTAGGTGTTAATTCTTCCGGGCAGGGTGAACATGAAAGTTGCTTCGATGATGGTAACAAGCCCGTAACGGTAGCAGCTGCAGCAACCCTCAACAACAGCCCACATCGGATCGCCTAAACCTTCCATGTTTTAGAAGCCCCCTTTTTCCCGATGTATTCCTCGTGAAGTAAATCAGGGCCCTAGACCAGGCACTGAGACATCGCTGAGCTTGCGAAAACTCGTTGGTCTTGCCAGGGACCCCAGTGACTCCAAAAGTCATTCAGCATGTCAATGTGGGATTATATACAGGGTTTAAGGTGTAGGGGCGGCCTGGATCTGGCTAGTCCCCAAGCCCAGTTGCAAAAGGGGGTTCTTCTTATCATGGGGTATACATTCTGTCGGCATCCTGCTTAGGGTCTCTGACATCTCCGATTTGGGATTTAACCTCAATGTTTGCTTAGACCCTGTAGCGACTCATTCTATCCGACTCGAAGTGACTGCCTTCTCGCGCCATAGGCAAGCCCGCTAGAACGGGTTTAGGGTTCAGGGTATGGGCGGGCATGGACTACGTAGCCTGTGCACAAACGGTTTAGAGCACTTTGGGTTCAACAGTGCACTGTCCGGCTTGCGGGGAGCTCTGCCATTGGCCTCTGCTATGCTTGATCGGTTCCTTAGTCTTGGGTGCAGGGTTTAGGGTTTCAGGTTCATCTTCTCTGATCTTGATCATGTGGGTTTCCCTCGCTCTCATATTCCGCAAAAGGCCTCTTACCCTAACCCCATGTTTGAAGGTTTCCCGTTCGAGCAGTCAGTCTCAATCTTCGTCTGGCTGTTTTACACGCGATGATGCCCTACGCTGCCGCACATTGTATGAATCAGCACCTCTGGTTTTTGAGGTGCATAGCTTCTTGGAAGCCTACGCTTGCAGGAGGTTTCGGGCGGCGAATTGTCCGACGGGTCAAATGAGTCATTTCTAGGCGAGAAAACGCTCTGTTGCATCGCCCAGAGCCCTGCACCTTGTTCTTGCATGGCTGCTGGCTTTGGCTAAAAAACGATTATTCCCAAACTAGTATAGATAATTATATGACTACTATTCCCAAATATAGTATAGATAGGTAATTATATTGCCATAGTTCCAAAACGGATTCGGGTTGAAGCCCGACTTCAATCCTTCAGGGCTTCGACTGAGGGCCTAGCGCCGAGGATTGCTTTGTGTACTCGTGAACTGTGGGGGTGGGGGGGGGGGTTAGTGTAACCTAGGTAGAGCTTTGGGACATTTTACATTTTCCCTTATTGGGCTAAAGAGGATCTTATTTACTAATATTTTTCAAAGGCTTTAAAAGCCCCACCTAGTAACCATAGTATGACATAGCCTAAAGCCCTGTTCTAGATATGGCCTTGAAAGTATCTAGCCAGCAACTACCCTAGAAACACAACCTTGCCATGACACTTAGGCATTCGGATTGCTGGGAGCCTCACTCATAGCCGCCGGCCGAGCCATCTCTCTTAGGTTTGCTCGGGTGTAAGCCAGTTGTGACTTCAAGTCTTGGGGTTCTATCAGGATTGTCCGGTGTAGGGTGAGGGTGATTTGGGGATATATTTCATAAGCTAGTAATAACTAGCAGTCGTATCCCCTATTGTGCTCATCTGCGGTCACACCAAGCTCTACCGTAATGGACCCAAAACTATTCAGGGCCCTGCAGTAGGGCTTGGGGCTTGAACGGGTTTAGCCCATAAGCTTGTCTTTCGGACGGCCTCACGAGCTGATGTAACTGAGTACAAAGGCTGTTTTAAGGGTTAGCAACATGGGGTGGAATCCTTATAGGTTGTTTGGAGGGTATCAATGCAAACTGGCGAAGTCTCCAGAACCCCAGGGCTTTGGAAGGCGTATACTAGGACGGTCGGAGCGTGGTAGGAATTTGAGTTCGACAAGTAGGCTTATAGGAAGGGCACATACTCTGAGGTCCCCCAATGCCCAACCTCTACAAACCTATCGGTTCTTGAAACGCAGTATATTCTGAGAGTGTCTGAGTTGATTCCCCTGCGTTGTTGAACTGTTGGGTATGTAAGATACCCTAACCCTAACCTGCACATGTTCCCCAACCTGGGGTGAAGCCGTGCCCCGTCATCTGATGATACGGAACCTCCAACTCCTAGCTCCTCGCCCTGCGTGTGGTAGGAGTCTGTAGGCCACGGCTGCTCCCGAGCTTCAGGCTTCAGCCTCGTAGGCCAGGCAGCTCTAAGAATCTAGGAATCTGAACTGTGCAGCTTCTACAATCGTCCTGTCAAGGGTGTGCAGGGTCGCGGGTTTCGGTCAGATGCCTCATGGACCGATGAAGAAAGCCATGCTTGAGAGTCATGTGGTTGCCGCAATCTGCTTAAACGGACCAGCGAGCAGAACCGGCACAGAGCCCTCGATTCACCAGCATGGCTTTTTGCAAGAGAGCCGACGCAACCCGCTCATGCCTTCTTCACCGAAGCCTAGGCCATTACCTTTCATACTCTGATTCGGCTGATTCGTGCAGTTCTGCACTTGGCGTTGTCACGAAGGTCTTGCTGGACGCAGCATTCTGGACCGCTTCGCGAGCGGGTTCGACCACTTCAGGTCGGGTGCAGCAATCTGTTGGAAATCTAGGGCGTTAAGGGGTCCGGGATTCAGGAGGGACTAGGGTCTGTCATCTCCAACAAGAAGTGACTCTAAAGAAGTCCCAGCTCATATTAGAATGCTGACTGTGGATGGATGGCTTGGACCCTACTCAAAGGTCGGGATTGAGCGCACTGGTGCACTTGCGAGCTGACGACAGTAGTGAGCCCAACAAAAAATGGCTCGGTTCGAAAGGCGTGCGGAATGCCACCAATCCTCTGGCATCTCATTTTCGGAAGTGTCTTTTTGCCAGACTTCGATCTTATGCCCCGTGAGTGAACAAGATCTCAGCGGATATGCTATAAAGGCGGCAGATGACTTGGCTTGGGTGAATCTTGGAGCGTGGGCTGTCAGAGACCAAGGTTTAGGCATGAAGGGCTTTTTCTTTTCTAGGGATTGGGCATGGTCGATTGAGGCCTTGAGGCGGGCATGTGGTGAGGGTGGTTTCGGGTAGGGGGAGATTTGCCTTTAAGTGGTTCAGGGTCGCTGCCACCAGGTACAATACTAACCCCGAGCTCTGCCAGCTCTTGGCGCTGAAGCCGTAAAGCCCCGAACAAGCCCCAGGTGCCGCATTCCCGCCTCGCGGAAATTATGAAGCCGAGCCCGAAACTCCAAGCCTCAAGACTTAGGGCCCTTAAGTTCAGAAAATCCACGTTGTTCTCAAGAGTTCAACGCGTATTCACCGCATAGTAAGCATGTCTGAGAACTTGAAACTAATGAACACACTTCGCATCGCAGGGTGGGGTCACCTGGCCCTCTTCGCGCAGTCCTCAGGTTCTCAGATGCCACCCGGGGCTGTCGGCTCCAAAAGCCGAGGCTTAAATAGTTGGTAATGAATCGCCTCATTGTCGCACAGCGTTATACGCTAACGTGCCCCGGTACGGTAGTTCAAAGATTCAGGCCCCTCATGTTATACTACTTTGCGACAGTCGAAGATTGAAGGCTCAGGAGAGAGAGAGACCTCCGACGGGGCAAGTATGATCCTGATATATTCCCAAAGTGTACCTTCAGTTCCCTTCAAGAAAAGGGTTCTTTTTGGCACAAGGACCGCTGGGTTTGAGAATACCCCACCGCCCCCACCCCTCCGGAACAGTCCATCCCTCCCCCTTTATGCATGGGCGTGTTGGCAGGTGGCGGACTTTGACACGGACATTCATCATGACGCGGCTTACCAGCCACCTAGCTACGCTTCCGCATCGTGTGTGTGCGCGCACGAACATTGCGTGGCTGTGCTTGTTTGGGCTCGGCTGTTACGGTAGGCATGAAATCTCGCCTCAAGCTTAAGCCTCTATCAGGAACCGGAGCCCATTACATCTGGCGGACACTTGAACACCACAAGCCGCCGTCCCCAAAGCAGCTTGATGGCTCTTTCGGGCTGACAGCGCTGCAAAATCATGGCCTTAAGCAATAAACCCTCCCAAACATCCCCTGACCCGTGGCTATGGTGAGGTGTTCGGCTAACTGGTTCACAGGTTTGGACATGTTTTGGCGTGCTTTGCTAGGGTGGGCCCTTGGGGACTCGTCGTTACGTAGTCGTTACTGTTTTCAACCCCAAACCGCGAGCTTGCCGAGGTGAACACGATTTCGTCCTCCATGCTCTTTGTCCTCAGGCACGATGAGCCTGCGCTGGGCTGCGAGTTTTTCAAGCTAAGCTTCCGGCACTGACGATGGTCTTTGCAGCTCTGGTGCCGATAGATCGTAGGCCCTCCATATAGTTTTTGAGAATTCAAATCGTTGCTCCAGATATCTGGTGAAATCACAATGCATAGTCATGGTAAGAATAGAATTGTGGTCGATACACACTAAAGTGCCGGTAAATCCACCTCCCCCAAACAGCCAGCAAATCTGGTCCGGACCAAGCGCATTGGACGGCAAGTCTCCCTCCAAGGACAGCGCCAACTTGAAGATAGGTCATGGTTGGTGTTTCCATCAGAACACTGAATTGGGTTACAAGTAGCTCAGAGTAGCCACCCGGGTACTCAAATGATCACACTACTCAGCAGGTGCAGTCGATGGGCAGTCTTTTAACAGGTACTTCATCTTCATACTCAGCAACCGAGTTCATTACATGCCTTAAGACCATGCTCCAGAACTCATTCGGTGCGAGATCCAGGGCTTAGAAGTTCAGTTTGATGCGTAAGAGGCCCCAGAGGAACCTAACAGCAGCCCAGGCTAGCATGAAAACCTTCATACATCGCCACATCCCCATGATCGCTCAGGATATCGCTTTCCCCCCCCCCCCCCCGCGACCAACATTATTTCATCCCAGTAGTGGCGCCTCTTCTGCCGAAGGCGGACCCTGACCAAGCAGCCCAATGGCCTGGGGCCAAGGCAGGTTCTGTCCACGTAAGATCCCCTTACGTTCAAAATTCCGAACCGTCGTGATGGCATGGGGTTTAAGATGGAAGGCTCTGCCAGAGAGCTTCGCTGCCGGCATACACTCCAAGTCCGTGCTTAAAAAGGGTTAGATATGGTAGTCATATCCTTGCAGCAGTAGCAGTACTTTGCATGCCATCCTAGGCTACCCCTCTGTGTGTGTGTGTTTTGAACGCCTACATGGTCTAGGGCTTCCGGTTGAGGTTGGGACTGGGTTGAGTTGAAGGTCGGTGCAAGCATGGAGCCTGAAAATTTTGAAGTTCTAGGCCTCAGGATTCCTTACTTACCATAAAGAGCTATGATATAACACTCCCCAAACCGCCTGCAAGTATTGACACGGGCGGTTTAAAAGTTTGAACCCTACCAGCCATAAAGCGGGTTGTCAAGGAAATTGGTGAGAGATACAAAAGGACTGGTAAACAGTAAAACAAATGCTTTGCTCAAATCTGGCAATTGAAAGTCACGCTCCTGAATAAGCGCCCAGTAAAGAACGCCAAAAGCACCAGAATCTAGGGTTGTCGTAAGACCTCCTTCGAGACCTTAGATAGGCATGCGATAGCGGACCCACACCCTTTACTCCAATTATGCTGGCGCGGGCAAACTGCAGCCTCGGAGTCAACATGTGCAACACTATGCGGAAGGACTTTTGCTGAGCCCATGGGCCAACACTTTATGGGATGACAAGTGATATATACTGCTGGCAGTGTTGAAAACATTGTACAATGCTAGCAGAGAGTGAGTTTCAGAACTGCCATGTGTGCCCTTGCATTTTTGTTGAAAGAAATCCTTATGGGATGAACTCTCCTTTCACATTCCTGCGCTTGAAACAGCAATGGAGTTGAACGATTGTAATTAATCCGAGCTTGATGCCATCCGGATTTTGTTGCAAGACTATCTCTCAGTGTCAGACCTCGCGAGCGGACTTTGATCTCCAGCCATGCGAGAGGGAAAAAAATTATGCAGGCCCCCCTTCTTCAGGCCCTTTCGTCCTGAATCCTAAAGCCGTATTTTACACTTAACACGGCTTGTCACGGGTTGTGGGCCGTTTCACTCCTTTTTGAGGCCTCTCAGCGCTGGCCGCCGTCGTGGCTTGCCTGGACCCAGAGTGCCTAATCAACACCTTAACTTAGAACGTATTTTTTAGTCTTGAGAGTTTACGGTACCGGCTTATGCGAAGGAAGTAACAAGAAAGCTGATGATGCAGAATTTGGAGTGAGTTATTTCCGTTTGCAGAGTTCAAGCCGCAACCCTCGAAGCCAAAGCTTGTGCTTTTGTTCTTCAAGCGGCACGTTCGATTGTAGAGCCGTTGGGTCTAACTCGCGCAATTGAGGCCTGGACACACGTTCTGGCACTGCCGCTGCTGCTGCTCCTGGGCCTTGTAGGAAATGAGCTTGAGCCCCAACATGATGCGTTTTCAGGATGAGACGGTTGAGGCTATAATGAGGATGCAGATCTGTGGTTTAGTGATCAGTCAGAAATTTCTCTGCAGAAACCGATGGTTCTTGGCTTCGGCCGTTGCAAAAGCTTGTGTTTCGTGACCTGCAACCCACTGTGCCAAATCTGAGAGTACTGATCTTGTGTGTGTTGTCCGTTTCTTGTTGCTCTCGCTCTCCCTCCTGTCTCTATCTCTGTCTCTTGCTGTTTCTGTGTATGCATGTGTGTATGTGTGCAAATTTGCATGTTCGAACGTTCGCATGTATGCATGTGTTTGTGCACAGATACTTGTCAACCTGCATTCGTGTACAAGCGCATGTACATGTAAGCAAGTAAGTAGCGCATACCTCACACATACGTACGGACATTGACATAGACAGTATGAAATGCCGCCAAGAAACTCATTTCGGTATGTTCCGGCATACGCTCTCTCGTTCCTAGCAACTTCACAGCTACACATGTGTACACGCACACGCGCACACCGCACAGGTTCAAATTTGGACAAGCAAGCACAGCAATGAACGCATGTAGGAACCGGCAGATTCACACATGTCTCCCTCGCTCTCGCTCTCTCTCTCTCTCTCTCGCTCTCTCTCTCTCCTCTCTCTCCTCTCTCTCCTCTCTCTCCTCTCTCTCTCTGGGCATATATTTGTATGTTTTAGAAAGGCTGACTGCAGTGGCTCCCTTCTCACTGCTTGAAGCCCTGCTCCGGAGAAGTTAGGTCTTCTACCTTTCGGCGGGTGGTATGTGACGGCTGCGACAGCGTGCTGGCCTGGCCCTTGCGTGATTATGATTTTTGCGAGAGGTACAACAATGATAGGATAAAGTCGGGCGCCTGTAGTATCTGAGCGCGGTTTACGGTTTCGGCCATAAGCCTAGGCGGCAGTTCGGCACCCCAGTCCCTGCTGAAAAGGGTTTACGGCCTCACATCCTGCATCACTCTGCCTCGAAAGACGCAAGTTTGCAGTACCCCGGTCCGAGTATCCCCGAAGCTCCAGACCCTCCACCTCCACCACAAATGAAACACACCAGCTCCCTATAAACCCCGAACTCCTGAACCCTAAGCGCCCTGAACCCCAAGCCCCTAGGCTTTTGGATGATTGGGTTGCTTGATCCTGTCATATGACCATCCCATTAGAACGTCTGTCAGACTCCGAACCATATGCCCCGCCTGGATTGTCCAAGTGTGTTAGCCGAAACCCTCGGCGCCGAGCCCTAAATATCCCCAAACCTCTAAAGACTAAATAAACCCCAGAGGCACACCCGAGAATCGACCTCAATCAACTTTTCACACCGACTCCGCACCTAAGAACCTCGCCTGGCTGTGTCCGAGTTGTGAGAGCGTAAACCCCAGAGTCGAACTCCCACAGTGCCAAATATTTAACTGAGACGCGAGAGGCGCCGCCAACGTCGACGGTGTGGCCTGTCTGGGGCTCCGGGGGCAGGGTAGTAGGAATGGTGTTTAGGGTGGTGCGGAATCAGGAATCCAGCTTTTGTTTGCTGATTGTGACTGTTCAGTGTTCTGGGGGCCAACTCCGGGCATGCGTGAATTTGGGGTGTGAACGTTCATTTGCAGCTTCAGCATGCGTCAGAATCCTCAGATGCCACGTGCGGCAGAAGGATTTGTGTTTTGAGTCTTGCTTTGAGCCGAAAGTCAAGTCGTGTTCGTTAGTCAATTTCTGCATTCGTTTCGATACATGCACTCCGCACTCTGGAAAATGTGGGGTCTGGCGATTTTGAGGGTTTATGGCTTCGTGTCAGCCAGATTACACATATACACATGTGTATGTCCATTTCCACGTGTTTGTGTGTGCAGAGAGAGCGACACAGAGAGAAAGAGAGAGAGAGAGAGAGAGAGAGAGCGAGCCCGGCGCACAAAAGCAGACGAGTGACTGCGACGTGAGGAGTGCATGAATAGCAACGAAGTACACATAGATGCAACTGGGCCGATGCACAGGCGAATGAAGACGGGTACTTATCGGTCGTTTTTGGGTGCAGAGGTGCGCAGGTTTACTCCTTCACAACTCTAAACTCGGACTCCAAAATTTAAGGCAACAAAGGACCTCAACTGCTCAAATTGTCGCACTCCCTTGGCCCAGAGAGTGTGGGCCCCCCCCCACATGTTTTGCGGCCGCCCATCGCTAACACATGGCAGCTTCGGAGAAGGCAGTTCCCTACGTCCTCGCAGGGATTGGGATTGAGGGTTTAAGGATTAGAGTTTAGGGTGACAGGGATTTAGGGGCGCTGCAATTGAGGTTCGTTGGTTCCGTAGTTGTAGAAGCTTTTCGGGATGTGCAGGATTTGAAGCTCTTAAGTTACCTACAGTTTCATGGTTAGTGCTGAGGAAGGCTTGCTAGGTCTCCTAAGGAAGGGTTGCTATGTTCTGATTTTCGGCATCGAGCAATTGCAATTAAATCTTTGGTGCAAGAGCACCTGGGTCAGAATGGGGCCAGTGGTGAACTCGATGATATTGATGGCCGCCTGCTGCGTTAGGGGTTTGTTGTTCAGCGTCTTGGGGTCTACGGCCCATGTCACTAGAAGCGGTTATGCCCATATATAGCGATGGCCATGGCTATGGCAGTTATTGTGATGTTACGGTGTACCAGCTTGATTGACATTGATCCTTAGGTTGATGTTGTCAGCGACAGCTCAGATGACATACACGACCTTGACAGTTACGATGATCGTAGCGATGATGCGATGTGCTTTCCAACGGGGCCGGTTGGGAGGTCGATCGTGATGACCATGGAGGCGAACTTATTCCTGAGTATTGCGCCGATGAATATGGCTATGATGGAGGGGGTATCTCAGAATGGTGATGCTAAATCAAGATCATGATGACCATGGTGGCGGTCATGCTTGTTGTGATAGTGAGGTGTATTGATAGTGCGACGATGTTAGTGCTCCCGGGGCGGGATGACGATGAAGATGCTGGCTGTGGCGGTGGCCATGAAGATGAAGAAAAGGCAGAACAACAATCTCCTAAGACCTACACCCCTTACAGCCCCAAAGCCCGATAAAAGTAACCCCTACGCAGCCCAAGCCCTACGACCCCAAAGCCCCATAAATTTCTGCTGCCCCTCAAACCGCTGCCCTCAACACCCTAACCGATAGGAGCGTCCCTAGACCCCTTCCCTTAACACCCCAGTCGATGGAAGTGCCAGGATGGCGATGAGAAAAAGAATGCCCCAATGGAGCGAAGCTGGACGGGCGTCAGCAGCGTTTGGGAGTTTCAGGCAGGATCACGAGACTTGCTTCGGGTGAAGGGATTGCGGCTTCAGGGTGGCAGGGTTCCTTTGAAAAGGTTCCTGTATTCCTAAAGGGAGCTTTGGGCTTCAGAGGCAGGCGCCTTTGGGGTTAGGGCGTTTTGAGGGGGCGCTTCCCGTCGATGCAGGCCCGGCCGCAAAGGGATGGGTGGGGGGCTGCAGCGGTGAGTAAGTTTGGGTGACCAGGGTTTCGGGTTTTCCGAAACGAAACAGAGTTCAACGACGAGGGGTTGGGGTTAGATCATGAAGTCTCCAGGGTTCATTGCAGGGCTTCGGGGTATGTTGGGCCATCTTCCTTTCAACATGGTTAGTGTTGAAGCTTCAACAGTTGTGGTTCCGCGAATATGAACATACTTCACAGTAATACACCCAACCCCCGCCAGTTATAATTATTCAGTCGCCAACTTAGCCCGTTGACTTCGCAAAGGTAATCCTATGCCCCCGGCAACCTGAGTTGCACCTTGAGTGGTCCCAGGTGCCTAGCCATCGGGTGCTTTGACGTTTAGGGTAAGAGTTTGGGTCTGGGGTAGGGGTTTCGTAGGGCCCTAAGTTGATCCCTGGACTGCAGAGAACCCAAACCCGGCCTGGCAGATTCCCCTATAGAGGACAATTCATAGACATGGTAAGAATGAAGACAGGCCACCACAGTTCGATCTTCTGTGGAGCAGGCCATGCTTCTTGGGTTCAGGGTTCAGTGTACAGCTGCCTTGTACAGGGTTGGATGAGGGGTTTAGTGCATAAGAGGTGTCTGAAGGCTTTTGGGCTTCTTACGCTTTCAGTAGTCTGATGCGGGTCGCCTTCAGCGAGGTCTGAAAGCCGTATCGGTTTGGGCTTTAAGGTAGAGGGCTGCGCCGGTTCAGAGGAATGCAGTGTTGCTAGCTTCAACAGATAGGAGAAGGCCCTAACACCCCTCACACCTCAGACGCTAAATTCTCTCGACCTCTCATGTCTTAGTCTTATTCCCCAGGCCCTCTCCACCCTCACTATGCCCTGCCGATGCCGAGGTGCAGAGCCCCACCACCCAATCGGTATGTGTCAGGATTCTGTGCAAGTTTTTTCCATGTCTTATTATGAAGGCACCCCCCTTTTTTTCATATTTAACCCACGAACCATCCTGCCAGCCTGACTCTCCTGTGCCCTCTATGAACTGGCACAACGAGTAGGCCGCGACAGCCTGCGAATGAATACACAGTAGGGGCCTTCATGACTAGAATACTACGGCTTCGAGTTAGTAGTACTCCTAGTAGTCAGGTTTCTGTGCTGCGCAGGTTTGCCTGGCTAGCTGGTCCACACACAGCAGTTGTCATGACAGCTGGGCCGGCAAAATCTGAAAGGCTGCAAGCCCAAACCCATGACACTTACAATTCCCGCGTCAACAACACCCAAACACCGTTCCAAGAACCTTATGGTGCCTTTCAGGGAACCCTACAACAGTACCGTTAAAGTAACCCCATGATCGTACCCTTCCAGTACAGGCCGGAGGCCGAGATCCTGTCGCCTCAGTATCTTGGTTTGCATGGTAGGAGGTACTCGCAGTTTCGGTGTTAGGGCTTTGGGTTTGGGTGTTGAGGGTTTGAGGTTGGGCAGTTTTTGTCAGATGACGGCGGGCTGGGAGTCAGGATTTAAGGATGACGGTTTGTGCTGCTAGATAGCATATGAAGCACTGCTTGCTCTGAAAGAAGACCCCCAACCCCAACTCCGTACACCCTCCAGCTAGCAGTCCCGGATTAGCCCCTCACTGGCTGGGGGGTGGGGTCTCTGAAGGTCATGGGGAGCAGGGGTGAGCGCCCAAGTCGGAGCTCTAAGCGAGTTCAAGCTACACCGCTCCAGGGGCTGCTGATACAGGAAAAGCTGTATGTACTGCCACCATAACCAGACGGATTGTGTTTTGGGCTTGGGAGCCCAGCCCCTAATCTAACCCTCAGCCATCCTCAACCCGAAATCATCCTAAATCCCGAACCCCGCAAGCAAGGAGATGCCAAAGTATCTGAACGAGGCCCGGTGCATGTGCTGCAGGGATGGCGCTTCAGGGGTGTGGCTTCGTGGGAGTATGTTAAATGGTTGGCGCGGTTTTCCCTGCCGCTTTCCTCGCTTTTCGGTGTTGGGGGGGTGGGGGTGTGATGACGTCGGTTCTAACCGCGACTATACCCAGAAAAATAGTATTTACACATGGCGTTTTTGGCATTTTACAGCGTTTGTGACTTTTTGTACAACATTCGATGTGGTACGTTATTTTGGGTTCCTTGAAATAGAGTTAGGGTCCTACTATTTTAAGTTTGTGCGAGTCCCCTCGGGTCTTGCTAGGGCTTTGCTACGGGTGTAGACTTGAAAGAGAGGCCTTGGCTGAGTTACTGAGTTTGCCTAGATGGGAGTTTCCGAAAATAGGGGGTACCTTATTTTGGGGTCCTTATTGCAGGGATCCTAGTATTTAGGGGTACTGTATTAGGGTGCCCTATTTTCGGCAACTCCCAGTTTTCTCCTCCATCCCTTAGAAAGGGAGCAGCTCAGGGATGAGGGTACCTCAAGCCGATAGCTACCCAGATGCTCCTAACCCCTGGTCCCTGTCCCGAAAGGTGGAGTCTGTCGATTCAGGGTATCGGGTGTAGGCAGGCCATGGTTACTTCGGACTCCCAGATGCAGTTAGCCACGCGGCTCTCAATACAGCCGGAGTCGGAGGCCGCATGATTCGAGCCCGAGGCCCACCAGAGCTACCAATGTCATGTCATGTCGAAGGTGCCCTCATCATAGCCCTGGCCCCGAAGCCTATAAGCCCCAAACATCGACCTCTCCACTCTCCACCCCAAAACCCCTAAGGCCAACACAGGAAGCCGCCAGTCTCAAACCTTCAGCCCCTGGAAGCCCGAAGAGCCATCTTCCACACTTTAGGCGCTCACACTTTAGGGACTGTAGACGAAGCCCACGCCCTAAACCCTGCCACTAAACCCTATCTTACCAACCGTGAACTCTAAGTCCGAGCCCCAACTCGAAGTCAGAAGCAGCACAAAGCTTGCAGCGTGCAGAGGCAATCCTGGGGATGCGAGGAGGTCCTGGGGACTCGAAGCAGAAGGACGGCTACTTGGGAGTTTCGTAGTAGGATTTGGGGGTTTAGGAGTGTGGGGTTAGGATACCTAAGAATTGCAGAGAGAGCGCTTAGGCGTG